TCCACCTTGCCCAAATCTTGCAGGATAAGGATGCCCATACGACCCTGAAAGTGGCTAGGTTCCTGGTCGCTGTCCTTACCCAAAAGCGTCGCCAAGGAGCACCACAAGCTAATTAAGGCGTAGTATGCCATTCCATCTTATAGTAGCTTATTGTTATAGTATTGTTTTAGCGGCTGTTTTTTTTCCCCATGTGCACAGGCTGTTATTTACGTCTTGTTTTTATCTGTATGGGCCTACGGCCGTAATAAATTATTATTATTATTATTATTATAACTTACGAAATGGCTGCAAATCACCAAAGTCTTCAAAATCCTCAAATGGCTGCAAAAGAAGTTTTGGGAAAGCTTTAAAAATCACCAAAGTCTTCAAAAACCTCAACTGTTCCCCCAGCCCCTCCCCAACTGTTGCAAACCCCTCTCCAACTGTTGCAAACCCCTCCCCAACTGTTGCAAACCCCTCCTCAACTGTTCCCCCATCCACCCAGCACACAGAAATTCAAACCTAGATTTTTTTTTCAAAAAACAACAACATGGCCCAATGGTCACAGAAAACCATAAAAATTCAAAAAAAAACCACACAAGCTCCCAGATTCTTGCAAACCCCTCCCCAGCTGTTCCCCCAGCCACCCAGCACACAGAAATTCAAAACCCAGAAAAGTTTTTCAAAAAACAACAACATGGCCCAATGGTCACAGAAAACCATAAAAATTCAAAAAAAAAACCACACAAGCTCCCAGATTCTTGCAAACCCCTCCCCAGCTGTTCCCCCAGCCACCCAGCACACAGAAATTCAAAACCCAGAAAAGTTTTTCAAAAAACAACAACATGGCCCAATGGTCACAGAAAACCATAAAAATTCAAAAAAAACCACACAAGCTCCCAGATTCTTGCAAACCCCTCCCCAGCTGTTCCCCCATCCACCCAGCACACAGAAATTCGAAACCCAGAAAATTTTTTCAAAAAAAACCCAACATGGCCCAATGGTCACAGAAAATCATAAAAATGCAGAAAAAACCACACAAGCTCCCAGATTCTTGCAAACCCCTCCTCAACTGTTCCCCCATCCACCCAGCACACAGAAATTCAAACCCAGATTTTTCCCCCCCAAAAAATAAACATGGCCCAATGGTCACAGAAAATCATAAAAATGCAGAAAAAAACCACACAAGCTCCCAGATTCTTGCTAACCTCTCCCCAACACCAAGTCCTTGAATTCTAAACACCCCAACCCAAAATCCAAAACCCCCCAAAAAAGTTTTAAAAGTTTAACTTACCAAACAGCTGCAAAAGAAGTTTTGGAAAAGCTTCAAAAATTCAGCAAACTCTTTAAAAAGCTCAAAAAGGCCACCACACCGCAAGCAATGTGTTGCTCCTCGAAGTCAAGTCGCAACTGCACCTCTTCCAGCAATGCACCCTGGGTTTTAACGGTTTTACGAAAAAGGAAACAAACTTGCAAGACGTTTTCGTCTTGCGAAGCAAGCCCATAGGGAAATTCGTCTTGCGAAGCAACTCGAAAACGAAAAAAACTTTCGTCTTGCGAGTTTTTCGTCTTGCGAGGCGTTCGTCTTGCGGGGCACCACTGTACAGTGGACGCTGGGGTTGCAAACGTGATCTGTGTGAGATGCACGTTCGCAACCCGCAGTGTTCACAACCCGCAGCGGCGCTTCTGCGCATGCGCAATGCGTGATTTAGTGCTTCTGTGCATACGCGACCGCCGAAACCCGGAAGTAACCCGTTCCGGTACTTCCTGGTTTCGGTGGGTCCGTAACCCGAAAAAATGCAACCTGAAGCGTCTGTAACCGAGGTATGACTGTAAATGTAGCCAGCCATCTCTGTGGGCCTCAGTGTCGTCTGTGTGTGTGTCAGCCAGTATGTTGTGTTGTTGCAGACAGAGTGGCTCCAGGACTCCAGTTAATCAGTAACCAAGATCTGTGCCTCTGTGAAGACTAAGATAGCTGCTATGAGCACTCTGTGTATGCTCTTTGACTACGCTGTTTATGAGCAAGTTTATTTTCTTCAGTAAACCTTTATTCTGTTCATGAAGAAGACTCTGCTTGATTAATTTACTGCTGCGTGATATGTTGGAGGGTATGGGGCGATCCCATGTTCATTAAAGGGGGCAGCAACCTCAGCAGCTTTTAAGAACAGGTTTCCTCTCATAGACAGCTATAAAGCTATTACCTGGACATCTTTCTCCTCACACATTTATGAAGCACTATTTCTGTGTTTACTCTTCTTCTGATGCCTCTTTGGGAGAAAGGTTCTGCAGAGGGTAGTAATGTGTCCTCACCAGGGGGAACTCAAGCATGTAAAAATGAAATTGGTTTTTACCATGAATTTCTATTCACTGCTTGAATTCCCCTTCAGCCTTAAAGCAACATTCAGATATGCTACACTGATAAGAGTTGAAATCAAGAGTAACTCTCTCCTCTCACACAGCTGATCAGAATGCTTTTAGTGCAGATCCTGAGGCCACCAACTTTATTGGCCCTTGTCCTGGGAACAGTCCTTATCCTCAGCTACACCTTCCACAGAACGGAGACCAAGGTAGGAATCATTCGTCACCCAGTTTTTTCTATGAAAATAAAATGTTGGCAAAGCGAAAGAGTGGAATATAAAGTGCCTTAAAGAGTTTTTTTTTCCTTTTTAAAAAGAGGGTCACTCCCTGATGTTACATCCAATATGTGTTTAGTGCCTGGTGACCCTTAAACATAAAGTGAGCATCTCAACTGGAACTTAAATAAATAAATAAGAGAGAGAAAGAGGAGTTTTCACCACAATATTAATTTAGAGTTCCCAGAGGTATGACCATGTTAATCTGGAGCTGCAAAAAACAAAACAAATCAGCACCTTAAGAATCTAGCAAATGCATTGCGGCATAGACTTCTGTGGATTTAAGCCCATTTCATCAGATGCATTAAGTGAAATCTTTGTAGGTAGGATTATGTATACAGTGGTACCTCGGGTTACATATGCTTCAGGTTACAGACTCCGTTAACCCAGAAATAGTGCTTCAGGTTAAGAACTTTCCTTCAGGATGAGAACAGAAATTGTGCTCTGGCGGTGCGGCAGCAGCGGGAGGCCCCATTAGCTAAAGTGGTGCTTCAGGTTAAGAACAGTTTCAGGTTAAGTACGGACCTCTGGAACGAATTAAGTACTTAACCTGAGGTACCACTGTGTATATATACACACACACTGTTGAATGGCAATGTGATGCAAAAACTACAGTCATTATAATAAGAGATTAAATGTATGCTACAAATGTAGCAATTTTACCAGGGCTTTTTTTTCAGCCAGAACATGCCAGAACGGTGTACCGGGACCTCTCAGTTGGGCCAAGGAAGTGGAGGGAGAGACCTGACCAGCCTCAGCAAAGCCCTGCTGTGCCTCTGATTCATGAGGAGACCCTCCCAGGAGGCCAAAGGGGACATCCACTACGAGCTCTGGAAAGGGTCTCCTTGCAAGTTGGAGGTGCAGCAAGGCTTAGTTGAGGCTCTTCAGCCTCCTGGCTAATAGTAGAGGCGTGTGAAAGCTCTGCCTCAGCTGAGCAAGCCCCCCCCCCACCATTCTGGCTCACATGAGCCAGAAATGCAAGGTAGGGATTCATTCAGCTGCTCAGATAAGGTGCAGAAGGCTCCCCTCACCTCAGCTGAGCAGCCTCAACAAGCTTGAAGTGAGTTTTCTGAGGGAAGTGTGTTCCAGCACCCTATGTCTGGGGAAAATGCACTGAATGTTACAATTGCCTTGTTTGTTTGTTTGTTTTCTAATATTTATATTTTATTAAGGTGATTTCAGTTAAAAGAAATAAAGTGTTGGAAAGAAGGAAAAGTGAGAGGGAGAAAAACAACAAGGATACATATAAATGTGAAAATATACCAAAAAAGAAGAAACAGTATACAATATTCCCATACGTTCATGTATAAATTGCTATAGTGTTGTTGTCCTAGTGCTTATGAAAATGTTAATAGCCTACTACATTTTGTATAAACTCATTCCAAGTGTTCTTGTATTTATCCACACAGTGTCTGCACCTGTAAGCCGTCCGTTCATAAATTGCCTTGTTAAATCAGACCAACTGCCATGTAATCCAATATTTAGCTTTCGGTTGAGGCCAATCAGAGACCTCTGGGATGCATGGAACTGTGCGTGTTTGTGTGTGAAAGTGACCCCCTTCCCCAGTCCTTTTGTCCCTGCCACCTGATATTTAGGGGTATACTGCTTTTGTATATGGAGTATCACAGATCATTACTTACACCAGAACTGCGTGAAGCTGACATCTCCTCTTAAAAAACAAAGTTGGCATTTTTGCCCATCACCATATTAAACATCTCTTGTTACATTGTGCCAGTTCACCTCTTTGAAACAACCCCTCCTATGCTTTCACAGTTTAGCCAAATCCAGCCTGAAGATGTATATATGTATTTATTCAGCAAGTTATAAGAGGAAAGTGGGAATCTATCATTCAGTGCCTGTTTCCGCAAATATATTGCCATTGAATTGTGAGGGTATTGGCTTGATTCTGCCTCCAGAAATCAGTGGCCTGAGAATAAACTCCCCCCACCCCTATGTTTGGTGATTCAGGATGAGAAATTATTTTGGGGCGCTAGGGAAGAACCCACATTTTGGTTTCATCATTTCCAATTTGCTGCAAATGAACCCATTGGAGCTGAGGCAGTGTCTCTGTGCTCACCCTTGAAATTATTTATTTTTAATTCCACACTCAAGTTTACCATCTTTGGAGGCCTTGGGAAGCAATTTAAAGAAAATGAAGTTCCTGCAGGTATTGGTAAGCATTTTCTTGTTAATTTTGTAACCACACCAGGCATTATATCAATACAACGCATTGTGAACAATGTTCATTTTCAATAAAGAAAATATGTGGTGCAGCTTATTCCCTACCTCTGTTTCCCAGATTCTTGTAAATTAAAACATTTTTAAGATGATGGAGGGATTGCAACTTGGTGGTAGAACAGTAAGACCTAGGACACAGGTAGGCAAACTAAGGCCCGGGGCCAGATTAGGCCCAATTGCCTTCTAAATCCAGTCCCGGAATCAGTGTGTTTTTACATGAGTAGAATGTGTCCTTTTATTTAAAATGCATCTCTGGGTTATTTGTTGGGCTTGCCTGGTGTTTTGACATAAGCAGAATGTGTGCTTTTATTTAAAATGCATCTCTGGGTTATTTGTGGGGCATAGGAATTCGTTCATTCCCCTCCCCCCAAAAAAAAATATATAGTCCGGCCCCCCACAAGGTCTGAGGGACAGTGGACCAGCCCCCTGCTGAAAAAGTTTGTTGACCCTTGACTTAGAATGACTGCCCAACATTTCCCATTAAAAGGACAACGTAGCAGCTAATTTGAAAAACCATCTGCTTGAGGCCCTGCAGAATCTGCACCAATATACAGACAGTCCATAATACTGGGCTACATGCACTAAGTGTCTAATATAAGGTGGCTTCCTTTTTAATACTATTAAATGCTTCAATCACAGACAGCAGGAGTGAACTTTGGGCAATGAAAGATGGAACCCCGAGACATGCTAGAATGGAATGGGCAGAAAAGGACAAAGAAATTAAAGCTGTCCTTAGAAAACTAGATGACCTGATGCCCAGCATCACTTTCATGGATATCAATACCACCACAAGTGCTAAGAACAGCAAGGCCACCATCTTAAACTACAAAAGCTCTTATTGTGTTGGCGAGTATTTGATGGTTCGACTGGATTTATACAACTACTTGGGCAAGAGGAAGGAATACGGAGGAGACTTCTTACGAGCGAGGATCTCCTCTTCAAGTCTTAGGGCTGGAGCTTCTGGGCGCATCACAGACTATAGGAATGGGACGTACCTGGTCAATTTCACTTTATTTTGGGAGGGCGATGTCAGAGTGTCCATCTTGCTCATCCACCCCAGCGAAGGAGTTTCAGCACTGTGGGCTGCAAGGAAAAAAGGCTACGACAAAATAGTTTTCAAAGGCAAATTTTTAAACAAAACGTTAGATGTCTTCACTGAATGTGGATTTAACAAGACCACAAATGCAGAACTGTGCGAGTATCTAGATGAGCGAGACCAGGAGGCCTTCTACTGTGTGAAACCAAAATATGTGCCATGTGAAGCTTTCGTCCAGCTTTCGTCCAACAACAGACCCATCTCATACTTAACAGCCATAGAAAAGAGACTTTTAAACAGGTACATTCTTTGCTGTTCAAATGCTTTATCTTAGGGAAGTACTGAAAACTCCTATGGGATCCTCTAAAAGGTTCTTTGAAAACAAAATCTGAGTGATGATATCTTATCATCTCTGCTGGCCATGCTGGGAAGAAAATCTCCCTTGTTCCATCCATTTGCAGAACCAGGGAAGGTTTCTTCACAGACCATTAAGTGCACACCCTCCAATATTTCTCCAATGAAAATAGGGACATCCTATTCCATAACAATAATAATAATAATAATAATAATAATAATTTTATTATTTATACCCTGCCCATCTGACTGGGTTGCGCCAATCACGCTGGGTGGCTTCCAACACATACAAAAATATAATAAAACATTAAACACTAAAAAATATAATAAAACATTGGCTCAGGGGTTGCACAATCCCATGCCCTCCAACATTTCTCCCACGAAAATAGGGATGTCCTAAGGAAAAGTGGGACATTCTGGGATCAAATCAGAAACCTGGACAGCTTCTGTAAATCCAGTACTGTCCCTGGAAAAAAAAGGGATACTTAGAGGATCTGAAAGTGGCTTTTGAAAACAGGGAGAAGTTGTGCTTCCATCTCTTTTCTGAAGTTCGGTTATCAAAACAGGTTACAAACAGGTGTTCCCACTCCCCTTCCAATGGAAGCTTGGCTCAAGTGTTGAGTTTCCAGCAGTAGCCATTAAGGTGTGTAAAAACCTAATTTGTCCTCGTCTGCTTTTCTCTAATGAGTATTTTCTCTTTCTTGAACGTCCAGTGTTGGAATTCAGATACCTCAGAATTTCGGGAACATTCGTGTCGTGCCCTGCAAAAGTAAGCTAGACTATCCGGTTCTGGTCACAACTTGAATGCAACAAATGACGAAATTGAGGGAAGGCCTGTATTTTTAATTGGTATTGTAAGACTGAGGTGCAATGTGGCAAGAACAGGACTATTTGAAAAAAGATGATGGGAGGAAGAGTTTGAAAGGGGCAAGAGAGAGAGGTCATGGGAAGAATAATGGAAGGGAGAAAATTCAGTTATTGCTTAGGATGACTTGATTTCCTACAAAGATGAGAATCTGAATAGCCAATCACTTCCTGGAGAGGTCTTGTGTGGTCAGAGGCAGTATCAGCGACTACTTCCTTCTTCATCCTCTCATTTGTTATATTTCTTCAGCGAGTAAGGTGACGAGAGAGAAGTGCAGGATTGGGATGGCTTCTCCTGTCCCCAGTGGCTACGTTTTGCGCAACACCTGGCACCCAGAATTTTGCTCCATCCATGATTTCAGCACTTTGGATAAGATCCGTGCGAGTCTGAAGAGCAAAATGATTTATCTCATGGGGGATTCAACATCATTTCAATGGATTTATTACCTTACCAAGAGAGTGACAAGTACGTCCTGGCTGGGTTTTGGATTTTCTCACTCTTCTGAGATCCAAAATGTTGTTTTCCTTCCTTCCTTCCTTCCTTCCTTCCTTCCTTCCTTCCTTCCTTCCTTCCTTCCCAGTTTAGAAATTTTGGACTACACCCTCCTTTGAACAGCAGATCCCCAAGACCTGTTATTGCAATGGGCAGTTTCTTAAGTTTCCAAAGCAGCTTGCTTTGCAGAATGTGGGATGTGGGACTGTAGTTTAAGGCAGTGGTTTTCAGCCTCAGGTCCTCAGATGTTGTCGAACTACAACTCCCATCATGCCCAGCCAACTTAGTCAATGACCCAAATTGAAGAACACTGGCTTTAAGGAATGCAGCCCTCTGTAGTTACACAAAGATAGCTGCGTAATTCTGCGGCGTTAGAGTCTTCAGTAAAGAGGAGTTTCCCTGCCTTCTCACATGAGATACAATCCTTGACATTTCCAGTTAAAGTATCTGGAACCATCTGCTTGCTAACAAGTGCTCTACCACTAAGTTATGGACTCTTGGACCTGACTACCTAGTATTGTGAATGAGCTCAAGCGCTCTGAATAATTTTTGGGGAGGGAATGTTGTTGGACCCTTGGAAGATCAAGACATGTAGGGCAGAAAAGTTATCCGCCCAAGGCATGATGGAAAACAGCAACAACTAGGAAAAGATAGACATAACATTTTACAAGGACAGGAAGAAACACCATGGACAGAATAATTGCTACACACAGGAAGAAGAAGGATATAGTTTGAATAATTCACCTGTTGATTTATAAATCATTTAATGTGTCAATAAAAATGGAAGGCATTAATATTGCAGTTGTTGTATAAGGGATTGTTATTTTGACTGGAGTGTAATTGAAATTAATAAGATTTTTTTTTTTTCAGGGTGTCTTCCTGGTTTTTACTTTTTGTTTTTTTTTAATAATTTTTTTATTAAGGTTTTAAACAAACAAAAAAGAAAAACAACACACACAAAAAACAATACATAACTTAACAATAAAAACACAAAACATAACAATTAAAAACAAACTCTCTTTTCCATTTCCAATTTTAAATTACTTATTTTCTGGACTTCCTCATACCTCCCTCTTTTGTATTCCAAGCTACATTATTTGTCCAGCAATTTCTTTTCCACTTTTTTAATCCCAATCTTTAATTTAATAAAACGTTAAAATATATAACCTCAACTTTTTTAAACCTAATCCTTGATCTTAATGTCATATAGCTTTAAATTTTTCCCTTTTATTATCAAATTTCCATTTCTTAAAACATCTTTAATCTTGATCTTTAATCTTAATCTATCCTTAACTTTAACCTGTACAGCTGGAAACCACTTGTTTTCAGTCCAACATCACTCTAACATTCCTTAATTTTGCAGTGTTTCTGAAGATAGTCTTTGAATTTCTTCCAGTCTTCCTCCATCGACTCTTCTCCCTGGTCACTGGATTCTACCAGTCATTTCCGCCAATTCCATATAGTCCATAAGTTTCATCTGCCATTCCTCCAGCGTGGGAAGTTCTTGTGTCTTCCAATACTTTGCGATGAGTATTCTTGCTGCTGTTGTTGCATACATAAAGAAAGTTCTATCCTTTTTTAACACCATTTGGCCTACTATGCCCAGGAGAAAGGCCTCTGGTTTCTTGGGGAAGGTATACTTAAATACCTTTTTTAATTCATTATATATCATTTCCCAGAAAGCCTTAATCTTTGGGCACGTCCACCAAAGGTGAAAAAATGTACCTTCAATTTCTTTACATTTCCAACATTTGTTATCGGGCAAGTGATAGATTTTCGCAAGCTTGACTGGGGTTATGTACCACCTGTATATCATTTTCATAATATTCTCTCTTAAGGCATTACATGCCGTAAATTTCATACCTGTGGTCCATAACTGTTCCCAGTCAGCAAACATAATGTTATGACCAACGTCCTGTGCCCATTTAATCATAGCCGATTTTACCGTTTCATCTTGAGTATTCCATTTCAGCAGCAAGTTATACATTCTTGACAAATTCTTGGTATTGGGTTCTAACAATTCTGTTTCTAATTTGGATCTTTCCACCTGGAAGCCAATTTTCCTGTCCAATTTAAATACCTCCATTATTTGATAATAATGAAGCCAGTCTCGCACTTTGTTTTTAGTTTTTCAAAACTCTGCAATTTCAGTCTATCTCCGTCTTGTTCCAAAATTTCCCAATATTTCGGCCATTTGACCTCCATATTGACCTTTTTCAAGGCTTTTGCTTCCATTGGTGACAGCCACCTTGGAGTTTTATTTTCTAGCAAATCCTTATATCTTATCCAGACATTAAACAGTGCTTTCCTGACAATGTGGTTTTTAAATGCTTTATGTGCTTTGACCTTATCATACCATAAATATGCATGGCATCCAAATACATTATTAAAACCTTCTAGATCCAAAATGTCAGTGTTTTCAAGAAGTAGCCATTCTTTCCAACCAGCAAAAGGCTGCTGATTCATAGTACAGTTTAAGGTCTGGCAGGGCAAATCCACCTCTTTCCTTTGCATCCGTTAATATTTTAAATTTTATTCTGGGTTTCTTGCCCTGCCAGACAAATTTAGAAATATCTTTCTGCCACTTCTTGAAACAATCCATTTTGTCCACGATCTGCAAAGTTTGAAACAAAAACAACATTCTGGGCAATACATTCATCTTTATCGCAGCAATACGGCCTAGCAGTGAAAGCTTCAAATTTGACCAAAATTCTAAATCTTTTTCACTTCTGACCAACATTTTTCATAATTATCTTTAAATAAATTCCCATTTTTTGCTGTCATGTTAATCCCCAAGTATTTAACTTTCTTAACCACTGTTAAACCTGTCTCATTCTGAAACCTCTCTCTTTCTAACGGTGTTAAATTTTTCTCTAAAACCTTGGTTTTTTTGACTTATTAAATTTAAATCCTGCCACTTGACCAAATACTTTAATCAGTTCTAAAACCCTTTTGTACTAGATTCTGGCTCCTGTAACGTCAATACTAAGTCATCTGCAAATGCTCTCAATTTATAATGTTTAATTCCAACCTGTATACCTTTAACCATCTGGTCCCTTCTAATCATATTCAGCAGAACCTCCAGGACCAAAATAAAAAGAAGAAGTGGGACCAGATGGTTAAAGGTATACAGGTTTATTTAAATTAATAAGATTTTGGAATGCAGAAATAAAGTAAATCATCAAACCATCAATTCTAGCACACAGGGGGGCACCTAAATTATATAATTTGGCATCTGAATGGTTGGTATTAGTAACTGTATTATAATATGGCATTGTTATAATGAGGCTATAATTGGAATATTGTAATTGAAAACTAATAAATATATTATAAAAAAAAGAAAAGCTGTCCCTTGGAACCATCACAACTTCCTTGCTATTAGTTTTCAAAACATTCCTATTAAAGTATTTCATTTCCTCTTTCCAACCTCTTCTTTGTTAGCGCTGAAGTACTTTGATCACCAAAGCGTTCCAGTCTTCAAGACACGTGTGGCTTTGGACCTGGAGAGGAACACATTCATCCAGTGGAAAAAACACGGATACCCCCTCGTGACAAAGTCCTTCTATTCAGTGAAAGATCTGAATTACATTACTCGGGAAATCGACCAAGTAGCAGGGGACAGCGACACAGCCATCGTCATCGCTATAGGTCAGCACTTCAGACCATTCCCCATGGATCTCTTTGTGCGAAGGGTTGTAAACATTCGCCGCGCCATTGAGCGCCTTCTCCTGAGAAGCCCTGACACAAAAGTCATTGTCAAAGCAGAGAATATCCGAGAAATGAATGCAGACACAGAGCGATTTGGCGACTTCCATGGCTATGCCCAATACCTTGCCATGAAATACATTTTTCGAGGTCTCAGGGTTGGCGTAATTGATGCCTGGGACATGACTATCGCCTATAATTCAAACACAGTTCACCCACCAGAACAAGTGGTTTGGAGCCAAATCATGATGTTTCTAACATACCTCTGTTAAGAATGACCTTGCCCCTTATGATCAACGGAGAGAACCGTCTTGCCTGTTCCATTTGTGGCTGCTAGGCTGGTGACTGGAGCAGCCCGATGGGACCATGTGTCTCCACTCTTGAAGGCACTGCAGTGGTTGCTGGCCCAATTTAAGTACTAGCATGCAAACCTGCAAACAGCTTGGGATCCAAGTACTGAAAAGCACCTCCCTCAATATCAACCATCTTGGGCCCTACGATTGGCAGGGAGTCCACCACCGAATGCTGCCTAGTTAGCACTGATCCGTGCCAGGGGTCTTCTTGTTGGCATTTGTGGAATGCCCTCCCTGGTGAGATGTGTCTGCCTCCCTCACTAACATTCAGGAAAAACTTTAAAACATTCCTCTTCACCCCGGCTAAAAGATGCTGTTCCTAGAAACCTTAAATTATTAGCTGTGGAATCACTCTCAAATAGCGAATAATCAGATTGGGGGCAGCTGCTTCTGTGCAAGTAACCAGCAGGAAGCCTCTTGGCTAAATCTCAGTGAGAAACATGATCTATCACATGAAGTCTCTTGGGAAACTTGAGCTTGTGTGTAACATCCTGGTGTGCATTTGCTAATAGCCTAATCTTCCAATCCCAGGGTGGCTTCCGCTGAGCCAGGTTACAACAACTGTTGCTCGGGCTGCACTAGATGAGCAGCAGTTCAGCTTTTTATTCATAGGCAAAAGTACTGCACATGGCTGAGTGGAAACCAGAAGAGGGAGCTAAAGGCACTGAGAACAGACACTAAAATAGAACTCTGTATTGATTTCTAGTTGTGCAGCAGGGCTGGCCACCATTCTGTTTACCAAAATGTGCCTTTGTGCTTGTGCGGAATGCTTTTCGTTTGCAAAAGGAATGCTTCATCATACGTCTGGAGGGCCATTGGGCTATTCAGTTAAACCCGGTGCCTGGCCCTTGTCTGTGTGTCCAGAAGCTACCTTGTCAGAAATATGGCTTGGATTTCAGGATAGAGAAATCTGTCAGCTTTGGCTTGCCAAGTTTCCAAGTTTCTTAAATTTGGTTACCTGCATTTCCTCTACAATTAGATTTTTTTTAAAAAAAAGATATCCTCACGAAACACCATCAGCATATTAGTGTAGATTTCTCCTATTAAACATGTTTCCGTATGCAGTTTTGACCAATATACACATTCTTGCAAGCAACTTTCTCGAAAATAATGCATTTTGTATGTTATTTTTACTAATATGTGCACTACTCTTTGGAACTCCCTTCCCATTGATCTTCGTCGGGTTCTTTTCTGTATTGGTTTCAGCAATTGTTTTTGTTTCCGCAAGCCTACCAAGGCATGTAATTTTCATATATGTGTAGCAACTGTTTTATTTACTGTATTTTTCGCTCTATAATACGCACCAGACCACAAGACGCACCTAGTTTTTGGAGGAGGAAAACAAGAAAAAAAATATTCTGAGTCTCAGAAGCCAGAACAGCAAGAGGGATCGCTGCGCAGTGAAAGCAGCAATCCCTCTTTCTGTTCTGGCTTCTGGGATAGCTGCGCAGCCTGCATTCGCTCCATAAGACGCACACACATTTCCCCTTACTTTTTAGGAGGGAAAAAGTGAGTCTTACAGAGCAAAAAATATGGTATATTTTTAAAATTTGTGCTAACTTGTTTTTCATGTTTGTTTTTATCTGCATATATAAAGAAAGTTTTAGATTACCACTCAGGTGCCTTCTGTCAAGGAAGCGACTTACAATTTTTATTAAATAAATAAAAATAAAATCAATGGCCTGGACCTTGAAGCTCTCTATTATCCAACCAGTTGTTTGATAATATGTATTACGGACTCTCTGCAAAACTGGATGAGTGTGTGCAGAATGTGCTGGAAAAAGATCTCCGTGGACCAGAAGGGGTGTGGAATAACTTTTGCTAAACCTCCTCCAGGAGAAATCATCACCTCCCTTTTTTACACATGTCTCTAAGAGGTACCTCAAACTAAGGCAGGGGTTGCCCGTGTGTCACCCATATATGTCTTCCTTGGTACCCACAAGGTCTTCTCCACCTGCTGAAGTTTGGAGTTGTTGTTTTAAAGCATTCTGTTGTAGCTCATAGAATAGGTGGGTTGAGTAGCACAAAAAGAATGTGCTGTTTTGGCAGATAGGTTATGCCAGCCTGATCCTGGTACTAGATCTTCCAGTGCCAGGATTCTAGGAATTTAGCTGTGACATGGGATAGTCCCATTATCGACTAGAGTAAGTGATCCCAGGGTTCCACCCATTTGCAGGTAACGCCTTCTGAGCTAGGAAGGCATTTGGGGAAGTTTTTAATGTGTGACATTTTAATGTATTTTTAATCTTTATAGGAAGCTGCCTAGAGTGGTTGGGGAAACCCAGCCAGATGGGTGGGGTACAAATAATAAATTATTATTATTATCACCTAACGGAAGGTATGTATGTGGTGGTTATTGTGCAGAGAGGTAAACCTGCATATCCCCAGGGGGTCTTCGTTCCCCACACACCATTATGTTCAAAGTTGATACGCAGAAAGCATCAAAAGGAATTAGAAGAGTGAATAAAGCCGCCTTGTAACTTGGTTGAATAGGCTTGGGCATGGAGAGAGCATGAACTATGGACTAAAGCTGTCCACATTAAATTTCCTTATGTACATAAGGGAATATTGATATTGACAATGGGTTCTTTCATGTGCTTGTTGATACTTTCCAAAGACTCAAGAGACGCTGTTGTCATAATGCCAACCTTTTGGTGGCTTTTGCCTCAGGCCAATTTCACTAAATATCCACACCAGCCAAATTCACCCGCAACCTGGTTTTGCTACTGGGGACAATCAGCCTCTGACCCCAGAACTGACACAGTTGTGTTTCTGGCTAACTTTGACTGTTTAGCTGATTTTTCAAGGCCTGCGTCTTCTGGCGAGACCTTTAGTCAGGGCAACCATCTTAGCCTAACCCAACCACTGGCTTCCTTCTTCAGTTCTTCACCAGCCAAGTATTGCTAACACACTTAGGGTGAATAGCTTAATATTCAGACCTCAGCTCTCCACTATTGACCCTAACCCCTCAGTCTTTTCAAATCTTTGCCTCACACTTCGCCCATCAACTGACTTTCCCAACCGACTTTCCAAACTGATGTTTGTTTTCCACAGTTGACAATTAACTACCCTTTATCCACCAACCAGAACTTCCAGCCAATCAGAGCCTGCCGTTCCCTTGACCAATCAAAATGGAGTTTTCTGATCCAGGCCCCTATAAATACTCGAAGCAGTGCTATCCCTCTTGCAGAATCTGTTGCCAAGCTGCTACTGCCAAACAGGCCTGCAACATAGTAAGAGTTCAAGGCTTTGGACTTTGAGGATGTTGCTCTACATCAACGGAGGCCGCAGAAACCTTTTTTGTTGTTGTTGTTGTTTATAAAGGGCAAAGAATGTACAGATATACACATAGCATTTTTCCACACTGTGTCTCAAATTTGCTAAGATTCTTCCATCCCCAGATGGAAGACTAAGATATGGCCTAATCAATCACATGATATAAATAAAATAATAAGAAAATTTTATTTATATCCCGCCCTCCCCAGCCGAAGCCGGGCTCAGAGCGGCTAACAACAGTAAAATAATACAACATTCTAAAATCATTTCATTATATGGTACATTCACACTATTTGAATGGCAATGCCCATCAACTTTGGTGGGGCCTGTCCCCATTTAAAAAAAATGGGGGGGGAGGGACCTCAGTCTCTAGGCGTTGGCTCCTATGCCCTCCCACCCTATTTCTTTCTGTAGACTTCTGGGATATTATGCTCCCTCACCAGTCCTTGAGCCCAGTGCAGCACTGTACTTTGATTCCTATGGTCAGAGAGTCTGTGTTTTAAAGGGCCTGCCTGAGCATCATGCCTTCTTCCATTCTTGAGATCAAACATCAGAGGTTAGAGGTGAGGTCAGGTGGTTGGCAGCAATTTTGATGAAAAAGAGGGCACCCTTCACCCACTATGAGAGAAAGAGAGACAGCAACAGAAGCAGTTTTGAACAAGGAAATGATAGACCCAGAGAGAGGCCTAGCTAGGAGTTTGAAAGTGGTCTCCGCCTGTGTTATTCATATATTTGTAAACAAGCAAGGTTTGTTTGTTTGCTTGCTTGCTTGCTTGTTTTTAAGGACCAAAGGCCCAAGTACTCTCCAAAGGAAGCCATCTGCTGGTAATCTCTACCCTGGAAGTATTATTATCAACATGATTATTATTTCACTTACTTATTTTCAATATGTAACATGGGAATTCTTACAACTCAGAGAAGTAGGGAGTGCATATTCATCCATTCAAGACTCAGGAACTACAACCAGGTGGAGGTCTTCATATCTGAAAATCAGCAGTATTTTCAGTTATTAAAGGGTTTATTTGCATTATAGAAATGCATATCCTAATAATATCAGTAAGAGTGCAACAGAGTAGAAAAGAGAGAGAAAAAGAGAGAGAGCTCCTACTACTCTACTAATGATTTTCTGATGTCAATACTTACAGGCTACTGGGTTAAATGAATATTCAGTGAGTTTTTAAAAACATACATTCTAGAATAGTCTGTTGGAAAGTATTACTACTCTCCCCCTGCCTTTGGTTGCAACAGGTTTGAAACCAAAGGCAGTGAAAAGGAATTTCTCTGTGCCTTTTGACAGAGGTGCCAGGAATATCTTTGGTTTATACCATGACCTCAACAGCCTTCCTGGCTCTCGTGCTTGGAGTCAGTTTCTTCATCATCTACACTGTCCACATCTACAAAACTGATACCCAGGTAGAGTGTCTTACCTTATTCAATAACACAAACTAATTCATAAAGATTTTTTTAAAAAAATGGTGTATGTACATATACCTGAAGGAGTGTCTCCACCCCCATCGTTCTGCCAGGACTCTGAGGTCCAGCACCGAGGGCCTTCTGGCGGTTCCCTCACTGTGAGAAGCCAAGTTACAGGGAACCAGGCAGAGGGCCTTCTCGATAGTGGCGCCCCCCCTGTGGAACGCCCTCCCATCAGATGTCAAAGAGATAAACAACTTCCTGACATTCAGAAGACATCTGAAGGCAGCCCTGTTTAGGGAAGCTTTTAATGTTTGATGTTTTATTGTATTTTTAATATTCTGTTGTCAGCCACCTAGAGTGGCTGGGGAAACCCAGACAGAAGGGTGGGGTATAAATAAAAAGTTGTTGTTGTTGTTGTTGTTGTTGTTGTTGTTGTTGTTGTTGTTAAGACATTTAGTTAATTAGCACCTGATGGCCCTGAAATACAACATGGATTGGACTCTGGTGACCATTTGAAAATAGAAGTAAATAGTTTGGCTCTTGCGGTGTGACACTTTTGCAGAATGGAATTTTAAATGCAATATTCACATTGAGTAAATGTTTCTCTATTTTTCAGGAAACCTTTTATTGCAGCCTTTCCCCCTGTGGAAAAACATTGTTTTTTAACTGCAGCCAACTGGATGGTTGTGGAGGCCGCAAATGTATGGTTGGGGGCTCAAGGCAGTTGCCCTTCCCAAATTATTTTGACCCTGGCACCTGCTATTCAGATATGCTTCCACATGGAGGTTTTGCTTGGAAATTGTGCCTTACTACTGCTCTGTTTTCTCCTTGTGAACGCTTGTAATTCTTTCTTTCTCATTGCATGCTCCAGATTCTCATCTTCAGAGGTATCACAATGAGCCATGTATCAAATCAGATCAATCACTTTGCTGGTGACATTGGTGAGGCCTTTTTCAGTTCTCATATCTATTCCCTACCAGCTCTTTCCCTGCTCCATCCTCTTCCCATTCCCTTTTGCCTTATGTTGCTGGAGGCTGGCCGCTGCTGGCGCTTGTCAAAGGCGAAGCTGAGTCTGGTCTTCACAGAGCTTCACAACTGTGTGGGGTGGAATGCTCTCTTCCTCCTCACATACTAGAATGAAAGTGAGGGAGAAGTGAAGGATGCGAGAGCAGCAGCAGCAGCAGCAGCATCTAGACTTGAAAGAGAAGGGTGCTTCAAAAGCAAAGCATTATCTCAACCTGGAAGATGCAGGCGGAACCAGCAGGGAAATCTTCCTAGGTTATAGCCCAGTACTGAGTCAGGGAAGCAAAATCCTTACAGGAACAGGTATTGGGAAAATAGTACAGGTTGATGCATAGTATAGCAGGGAAGTATACTAGGGGCCTAAGAGCTCCCCCACACTTCCGCTTGTTCGTGCCTAGAAAGCACAGGGGTCTGGACAGTTTTCCATTTGTTCCATTCTTTCCAGCTAAAATCGAGCAGTTTTGCCTTTCTTCCTGGAAAACCAGTTCTTTAGCGCTAAATCAGAACAAACAGCAATTCTCAGAAAATCCCAATTCCCAATTGTCCTGATGCAGTGCTAAATCACGGGTTTTCCTGGGTGAAAGTAGTGGAGCAAATGGGCTTGCAAAACCCTGGGCTCGTTCACACTTCTGCTTGTTCCGTGCCTGAAAACAGTGGCGTAGCATAGGGGGCACGGGGCGGTTGTCCCAGGTGCAAAATTGTTAAGGGCGCAAATTTCAACATCTGGAGCTGCCTCAATACAGCTGTGTGTGCTTCCATCACTCAGCTCCATTGAAAACAGCTTCTCCATGTGAACCAGGAAGTGACCTCTCCAGATTATGGAACAACTCTTCTTATCTCTGTGGCTATGATCTCCTGTATGACATGGATGATGTTAAGCCGTTGAATGTGCATGTGTACTCCTTCGGTTTCTCTTGCTCCCACCCCTCCACGTGGTCCTGGCAACCCACGTTACACCACAGCCTAGAAAGCATGGGGCTGTTGTTTTCTGCTTGATCCATGCTTTTTAGGTATGGGTCTGAGCAGTTTTCCACTTACCGCTCTCCTTTCCCAGGAAAACCTGCTATTTCGTGTTCAATCAGAGCATACGCTGATCTGGAGGAAACCCAAATTGCTGTTTGATCTGACTGAGCACTAAAGAGCAGATTTTACCTTAGGAAAGGAGCAGGATTAGAGGAAGTGTGGACAAAAACCTCCAAAATATGAGCTTTTGCTATTCTGAGAACAATCGTACATTGACAGCATGGAGGCAGAGGGGGAAGAGAATCTAGAACATGAAGGATGCTACGTAAATATTTTAAATTGATATTTGTAAGCCTTTATAGGAGCCTCTTTTTTTCTTTTCTTTTTTACTGAAAAGTAATGTAAAAAATGCCAATATTAATATCCATACCAGCCATTACTTAAAGTAATTGATTAGGGGAAATTATAAAATACATTTTAAAACAAAGCATAAATAAATAAAATCTTGATTGCGGTCCAAAGACCCACCAAACAATTTCAGAACAAAATACAGTTAAGACAGCCAACCACAAAAGAGAGAGGAACCGAGGCGGTCATTTTGTTTTGTCTCAAGCATGATGATCCTTGATTCTTTTAACTTCCGAGAGAAACTTTGCCATGGCCAGTGTAATATCATTAACCCTGTCATCCAAAAGATATTTAATATGGGATGCTTCAGATTTGTCCGGCAGATTTGCCAGTAGGGGTTTGATTAAAACAAAGCATATTACTGTTTTTTAAAAAATGTGTCTGATTTTCTTCCCATGCTTCCTAGACTTTTATGAACGAATCCCATATTTTCCTAGCATTCAGGTTTACTTGTAATCACTTTTTTGATTAATTTGAAAGTATTTTGATTCTTTAAACAAAAATTATTCCATCAAAGACAGCAGGAACAGAATTTTGTCTATGAAAGGCGACATCCTGATGAATATGAGGATAGAGTGGGAAAAGAATGACAAAGAAGTAAAAGACATTCTGAGAAAGCTGAACCAGTTGATGCCGAGTGTCACTTTCACAGATATAATGACCACCACAAGTGCCAGGAACAGCAAGGCCACCATATTAAACCAAAAGGGTTCTTATTGCGTTGGAGACCCCTTGATGGTTCGGCTAGATTTGTACAACTACTTGGGGGAGAGAAAGAAGTACGGAGGAGACTTCTTATGAGTGAGGATCTACTCTTCAAGTCTTGAGGCTGGAGCTTCTGGGCACATCACAGACTATAGGAACGGGACGTACCTGGTCAATTTCACTTTATTTTGGGAGGGCGATGTCAAAGTTTCCATCTTGCTCATGCACCTTAGTGAAGGAGTTTCTGCACTGTGGGCTGCGAGGAAGAGAGGCTACGACAAAATGGATTTCAGGGGCAAGTTTCTGAATGGGGCCTCACACGTCTCCACTAAGTGTGGTTTTGTCAGAAGCACAACTGCGGATCTATGTGAGTATCTTGATGAACGAGACCAGGAAGCCTTCTACTGTGTGAAACCAAAGAGGGTGCCGTGTGAAGCTCTTGTGAAACTTCAGTCTGACACAAATCCTACCTCACAGACTTGGAATGAAGACTTTTTAAGAGGTATTTCACTCTCCTGTCTCTTCTTAAGGCCAACTGTCAATGCATTTCATAACTCGCAGCCGGGTATTTTAAGAATTCTGCTGTTCATTCTGTGAATGTTTCATTTTGAGGCAGTTTGGGTCTGTGTGTTTGCTCTCTGGAGCTCATCGGCAGTCAGAAAGCCATACAGAATCCCCAGGGTCAATGATGAATAAGCGGGTGCAATGCGGTGTCTTTTTAGAAGTATCTAAAAATAGGAGTTATGGATATGGCTTTAAAGGGGGATTTGACAAATTCATGGAGGTGAGGGCTACTGGTGGCTACTAGCCATGGTGGCGATGCTCTGCCTCCACAGCTAGTCAGTAATGCTGGAAACCACAGGAGGGGAGGGAGCTCTTATGTTCATGTCCTGCTTGCAGGTTTTTGGTCAGATGCTGGGCTAGATGAGCCATTGGCCTGATCCAGCCAGTGTGGTGTAGCCACAGACCAAACAAGAAGTCTTTTATAGTCTTCCTTTCTGTTCAGGAGGCCGGCCTGGGTGGTTGGGGACATTCTGGAGCAGAGTTTTCCCAAACTTGAGTCTCTAGCTGTTTTTGGACTACACTTCCCATCATCCCTGACCACCGGTCCTGCTACTTGGGATGATGGGAGTTGTAGTCCATAAGCAGCTGGAGACCCAAGTTTGGGAAGCCCTGTTCTAGAGCTGAACAGTAGTTGGGGGGGGGCAATGTTCCAATCTGCAGTTCAGGTGCCTCACCACATGGGGGGGTGATGTGTGGTGTAGTGGTCTCTCAGCCTCACTCACCTCACAGAGTGTTTGTTGTGGGGGAGGAAGGGAAAGGAGATTGTTAGTCGTTTTGAGACTCCTTCGGGTAGTGATAAAGCGGGATATCAAATCCAAACTCCTCCTCTTCTTCTTCTTTTGTTCCCATGTGTGTGTACGTGCCCCTTCTGGGGTTGTGCAGGCTGAAATGATTACAAATGGGTAAGCTGTTCCTCTCCCAAGATAGATCCTCTTCCCGGCTTGGTTGCTCAATACAATGATGATCAAGATTATTGGAATCTGTTTGCAGTATTGAGGAAGAAGATGGGTAGAAGGTTTCATCTGCTGGATCCAAGCCTCCAGCATGCATCACAAAGGCAGTTGGTTACATCACCAGTTAAATACACATTTGTGTTGCAAAATATTGGCTTTCAACAGTTATGTGGGGCAAACAATTGCTTAATTTCCAGCTGAAGATTGGGCAAGTTCTGCAATAGAAGTGAACAGTGGTTGGAGTGGTGTTGGTTGTGCGGGCACATCTTTACCCTGTGTTCTCTGTTAACTTGTATCTTAGTTAATCTCTAAGATCCAGACCCAGACAATCCTCAGAGCACCAATATTGGGCTTATCCACACTCACCTTTCTTCCTACACTTCCTAGGCACAGATCTGTGCTTTATAGCTCCATGTCTGAGTGCTCTTCTCTTTGTCCCAGAGTTTCACCCACAAAACTCGCTCCTTAAAGCTGAAGCACAAAAAAACAGCAATTTGGGGTTTTTGTGGTTTGCCATTTGCTCCAATTCAGCGTTAAAGCATGGGTTTTTGTGGGGGAAGCTCCAGAGCAAAAAAATAAATAAATAAAATTACATTACAACAATATAGAAGTCATACTTGTCACAATCAGAACTTACATTTATTTAAAATATTGGTGTGCAGCATTCAGAAAGGCTTCCAATAAAAAGACAGAAAAACAGTACATTATACAGTGGTATCTCGGGTTACATACGCTTCAGGTTACATACACTTCAGGTTACAGACTCTGCTAACCCAGAAATAGTGCTTCAGGTTAAGAACTTTGCTTCAGGATGAGAACAGAAATCGTGCTCTGGCGGCGCGGCGGCAGCAGGAGGCCCCATTAGCTAAAGTGGTGCTTCAGGTTAAGAACAGTTTCAGGTTAAGTACAGACCTCCGAAACGAATTAAGTACTTAACCCGATGTACCACTGTAATGCGGAATACTTTACAGGGGAAATGCAAGTAATAGAACAAATATTTCCCTTAAGCATTCATTGCACAAGGAGTGAATTGAACCAAATTTCTTTCTTTTTATCAGGTCCATTTTAATGTCATTTTCTACTTGACCCAATAAAAACCTGACAATGTACAAAAGGCTTTGCAAAATCAGATTAAGATTCACCTTCCATTTACAGCAGCAACATGTTAGATGTGAGAATTTAGTGGGAAACATTGATGATGGAAATATTCCAAATATGCTGACTTCCTTTTTTCCCCCTTGAAGGAACAAAGTTGGAGCTGAGATCCTGCATCCATTTGTGGGCATCCATGTTGTATCCTGTGGAAGTGAGTTAGACCTTCCAGTTCTCAATGCAACGTTTTGTTGGCACATATAATGAATGTAGGAATTTGGGATACATTTTTTAGCACATCACAGCCTTCAAATACCTTGAGATGGGCAGAACCATCCTATACTCCCATCTTGCCAGGAAGAGGCTTACACCACCACAATGGCTGCCATATATTACATATAAATGGGCAATCCTTTCAATGTGAGGGCCACCTTACCTCTTGAATAACCTTCCAGGGTTGTATTCCAGTGGTGGGTGTGATCAGAGCAGAAACACGCAGTGACAGACTTTGGGCTTTCACATTTCAGAGGCGCCCTGTGTGACACCAAAATCCCACCCCCTGCCTCTCGCCCTCTCTTCCAAGTCATTTTTGCAGTGACCCCTGCAGCGCCCTCTCAGCTCGGTGCCCAGTGGACGTGGGTGGTACTGTGGTCTAAACCACTGAGCCTCTTCGGCTTGCCGATCAGATGGTCGGTGGTTCAAATCCCCGCGACGGGGTGAGCTCCCGTTGCTCTGTCCCAGCTCCTGCCCACCTAGCAGTTCAAAAGCATGCCAATGCAAGTAGATAAATAGGTACCTCTGCAGTGGGTAGGCAAACAGCATTTCCGTGCGCTCTGGTTTCAGTCACGGTGTTCTGTTGCACCGGAAGCAGTTTAGTCATGCTGGCCACATGACCAGGACAGTTGACTTTGGACAAATGCCGGCTCTCTCGGCCTGAAAGCCAGATGAGCGCCACAACCCCATAGTTGCCTTGGACTGGATTTAACTGTCCAGGGGTCCTTTACTTTTACCTTTTTACCAATGCAGGTCATGCTCCGCTAAATCCGCCTCTGAAACAGCATGGAGCAATGAACACAACTCTTCCCTTTTTACAGTTTTCTACACTCAAAGGTCATTCCTCTTTACCCAGGCCTATGGCTATTAAATTATGGTCTGTGAAAGCGGAGGAGATGGCTGTTACAATGATGACTCTTTTATTAATAGGCTGTCTGTCAGTATGCTTTTTATTATGTTTTTATCATTGATGTTCTCTAATGTGTTTTTATTGTTGTACTCAGCCCTGGGATCTTTTGATAAAGGGCAGTATGTAAATTGAATTGATGAAAGTGTTGTGGACAAGTATCCAATTCAAACAGGGTTAACTTAGCCAATGATCACACCGGGAGTGGAAAACAAAAAGCAGTTTATTTGGTTATAGCAGAAGGCACAGAGTGGGCACCTCTGATGAGCACACGGTGAATACTTAGACTGTTCCAATACATTGTTACATGTGAGAAACGTTTGATCCTGATTACAATGGGTTACATACATGTGGCATTAAGCATAGGCATAGGTCTCAACAGAAAACCTTGGGGCTCAATTCCCAGAATCTTTTGGCCACTGTCCCTTCCCTCCTAGTTACAGGTAGGTAGCCATGCTGGTCTGCCATAGTCGAAACAAAACAAAACAAAAAACATTCCTTCCAGTAGCATCTTAGAGACCAACTAAGTGTGTTATTGGTATGAGCTTTCGTGTGCATGCACACTTCTTCAGATACCAATAACAAACTTAGTTGGTCTCTAAGGTGCTACTGGAAGGAATTATTTTATTTTATTTTGTTCCTTCCCTCCTGGTCATTGCTTTACTGAAAATGCCAGGAAATCTCCATCCACAAAGTCTGAACAATTTATACCTTCCCCCTAAAAGTACACATACTACCAGGAAATTTCTAAACACAAGATCTGCACCAGCATTTTCAGGAAATGTGCAACCACAAGGTCCCTTGCAAGTGGACAGTTTGACTTTTGCTTCTTGAAAGCACCTTGAGGACAGCTAAATGGGTTATACTTAGTAGGTCATGCCATTTGTAATCATAATCTAACTGGGGGGAAGCCAACATTATGGACACATAGGCCAAGGGTCTCTCTTTTTCCTTCAAAGGCTCCAGGCGAGCCTCCCTGGGGAGAGCATTCCACAAGTGGGGAGCCCCCACAAAAAAGGCCTGTTCTCTTGTTGCCATCTTCTGGGCTACAGAGAATGATCACAGAGTCCATGTTTATTCATATGGGGAGAGGTGGGTCTTGATATTGAAAGAGAACAACATCCCCCACCCCAAGGACCCCTTTCCCATGAGTTGTTAAACCCCCCAAATACAGAGCTGGTCAAGTTGACTGGTGGGGTTTCTAAAGTTCAAACAGAATCCTCCATACTATTTTCAACTTCTCATTTCTTCTTTTCCTTTTGGTAGGGAAGAAGACAATGGCTAACATGAACTGCAGAGTCGGGATGACTTCCCCATCTCCCAGTGGCTTTGTTTGGCAGAACCAATGGTATCCTGCTTTCTGCAAAGTGCTCAATGGCAGCACCTTGGATAATGTTTACTCTTGCTTACAGGGAAAGCAGGTTTTCCTCCTGGGAGACTCAACTGTGTGGCAATGGATCGAGTATCTCTCTAAAAGAGTGAGCAGTACGTTTTCCCACCCAGAGAAACCACAATGTAGTATTTGGCCTATTAACAGTATCAACTTCTATGTACCCAGAAACTTTTATTATTTAATGATAATAATAATAATAATAGTAATGTAGGAAGACTTCTGTACAGCTTGGTGTTAGCTATAAAGAGCCACATGAACTGATCTGGTTGCAGTGAAAGCCTGATTAGAGACACTTTCCTTGGATGGCAGGAGGGTTTAGTGAAAGTTGGAGAGCTTTGTGAAATGAAGGGAATGTTGTGAGAGATCATTCTATTTGGTGGCTGAAGTGGTATGGTTAGAATGAATCCAGCACAGATGATAGATATAGATAGATAGATAGATAGAGAGATAGATAGAGAGATAGATAGAGAGATACATAGATAGGCTGATAGATTGATCAATCGATAGTAAAGGTAAAAGGTAAAGGACCCCTGGATTGTTAAGTCCAGTCGAATTCAACTATGGGGTGCAGCACTCATCTCCGCTTTCAGGCTGAGAGAAGTGGCATTTGTCCACAGATAACTTTTCCAGCTCGTGTAGCCAGCATGACAAAAACTGCTTCTGGCACAACAGAACACCATGACGAGTACTGGAGTGCATGGAAACTCCATTTACCTTCCCATCACAGTGGTACCTATTTATCTGCTTGTGCTGGTATGCTTTTGAACTGCTAGGCTGGCAGGAGCTGGGACAGAGCAACGGGAGCTCACCCCATTGTGGGGATTCGAACCGCCAACCTTCCAATCAGCAAGCCCAAGAGATTCAGTGGTTTAGACCAAAGCGCCACCCACATCCCCAGATAGCTAGATAGCTAGATAGAGAAATAGAGATATACAGTAGACACAGATGTGCTTGTTCTGTATTCACTCATTTAGGTTATGCAAAGAGCAAGGAACTTTTCTGGGGGACTTGTGTATGGGAGAGCAGTAAGTTGTGCCTAAGAAAGAGAGCTAGGCTTGCTGCAGGTGGACGTTTTTGGCTGTTTCTCTATTAAACAAGCAACATCTTTGCTCAGTAAGTTTTCCTCGCAAAAAGTAGGAGTGGGGGGACCCCCAAGTCTGCAAAGGTGGTTATATTAGGTTCAATATATTTCTCATTGTAAAAGTGGAGCAACTTTTTTAAAACAACAACAGATCCATCTGTTTTTGTCAAGAGGACCTTTATTTAGACGTAGGTCTATGCAAATGGAATATGAGACCTTGCAGGGCTACATAGTGAGCATTTACAAAGAAGTCTGTGTTTTATAGCTTCTGACCAATATATTTGCAAATTATTTTCACTTGATATCAGTTTTGGTTTTTCAATTCCTAGTCTCCTGATTATCTTTTAGTGTTTTATTCAGAACTTTGTACAAGGTACCGTATTTTTTGCTCTATAAGACTCACTTTTTCCCTCCTAAAAAGTAAGGGGAAATGTGTGTGCGTCTTATGGAGCGAATGCAGGCTGCGCAGCTATCCCAGAAGCCAGAACAGCAAGAGGAATTGCTGCTTTCACTGCACAGCGATCCCTCTTGCTGTTCTGGCTTCTGAGATTCAGAATATTTTTTTTCTTGTTTTCCTCCTCCAAAAACTAGGTGTGTCTTGTGGTCTGGTGCGTCTTATAGAGCGAAAAATACGGTAATTAACTGGCTTGTCCTGTTCCTTTTCCATTTCTGTTTTGCCCCACTTGAAATAGTCCAGTGATTTCTCAGAGGATTTTACATATATATATATGTAACTTGTCTTTATTTTGCATCTGTTCCCATATTAGCGCTTTCGTAATTTGATACCCAAGGACAGAGCATAATCCAGAGTTCTGTCATTGTGGACATGACCAAAAACATTACAATCCATTGGAGAAGGCATGGGCATCCCTTTTTATCTTTCTTTATGCACTCAATGAAATCTCACACTTACATTGCTCGAGTGATTGACATGGTGGAAGGCAACAGAGACATGGTGGTTGTCATCTCCCTGGGCCAGCACTTCCGCCCCTTCCCCATTGAGCTCTTCGTTCGAAGGATGGTTAACATCCGGGGAGCCATCCAGCGCCTTCTCCTGAGGAGCCCAGATACAAAGGTCATCATCAAAGCAGAGAACACCCAGGAAATGGACGATGACCAGGAGCTATATAGCAACTTCCATGGCTATGCCCAATACCTTGCAACAAAGGATATTTTTCGGCATCTTAATGTTGGTTTCATTGATGCCTGGGACATGGCAATTGCCTACAAAGCTCACCAAGGTCACCCGCCAGAAGACGTAGTCTGGAATCAAATTGTTATGTTTCTAACTCATATTTGTTAATACACTAAAGCACAGCTAGTGTGCAAACTTTAATTAAACAGAGCAGCATATTTTGGATCAGCAAGTATGTTTGTTTAATGCACGAGACCCTTTGTCAAATGTTGCATGTGCATGATTTTGTCCCATTGGGTTTCCATAAGAATCCCAGAAGAGCCTTGCTGAGGGTCAATCTAGTATCACCTAAACTTGCTTGTAAACTTCATCCAAGCCTCATGAAAAATTCCAGCCCCACCCCGGCAACAACAACAAAAAGAAATTCAAAAAAAGAGAAAAACTCTGTTCCCCTGAGTTCCTACTCAAAAACAAACAAACAAAACAACCCCTGATGTAATATGATCACAACATGCTGTAGCACTTAGTAAACTGGTCATTGCATTCTGTACCAAGGGGAGCACCAGAGAATGAACTGCTGTTGCTACGCTATCATGATACAGCAACAATTTGTGTGAAAGTTTCTTGCATTGTAGGGGGTTGGACTAGATGACCCTCATGGTCCTTTCCAACTCTACAGTCCTAGGATTCTGTGAATACATCATCACCTCCTAAGCTCCAAAAATTATTTTGGTGTCCTACTTCATCCAGATGACACACCAAAGGACAGGAAAAGAAAACAGTAGCACTGCAATATTTTGTCTAGGAGCAGCTAACCTGTGGCTTTCCAGATGTCCTTAGTTTCTCCCATAAGCCCCTGCCAGCACAGCCAAGCACCAGGAGGTAATGGGAACTGTAGTCTAACATTACGTGGAATTACCTGGGGTTTAATAGCCCATCTTTAGGTCAAAGAATGCAAATCTCATTTACTTATTTCATGAAATTTTGCAAATCTTATTTACTTATTTCATAAAATTTCTACACCACTTGATTTTTTTAAAAAAAACCAGAACTCAAAGCAGTTTACAAGAAAATAAAGAAAAGGTTCCAACTGTACAGTACTTTAAAATATACAAAGATTGTGATCTGACCTTATGCCAGTGATAGCAGAAATGTCACCCACATGATGCCCCTTACCCCATTTGCAAAGGGGATACGTTTTATATCCATATACAATGGACTAACCACGTATACCTGATTCCCTACTCCCCCTTTTTCTGAAATGTGTTTAACAGCTGACCCCGTTTCTTAAATCTAGCAGCACCCATGTAGAGCCAGAACTAATGGTCAATATTCCATAGACAACACACTGAAACTGTCTCCTTGCCCAACGGTACAGACAACTCGCTGTGATCTCTGGGTCCAGGTTTTGAATGAAAAGTCCATCAATCCACCTTTCATGTGGTAAAACCAAAAGTCACTGGGAATTGAGAGGAAAGCTCTGGTAGATGTCCTAAAATAATTATTTAATTCCTATGTTTGTTTAATTTGTATCCTGCCTTTGCTCCCAAAGGAGCAAGCCATTAGAGTTCATTAGCATTCTAGAGGGTGTAGCCCAAGCTGGTGTATTGCCCTAGCAAAAAAATAAATAAAAAATCAACAGATAATTCTGCAGCATCTTGAAGGTGAGCCAAGTGACATCTTTTTGTGGTCCCGATGCCATCTGATTAAGAAACGAAATGAGTATTTTTCCCTACAGACTGAGGCCAAATGGGGGAGCCAATGTAGAGATAACAATGAGTGTGTCGGGCGATGAGCAGAGTGCAAATCCATACAGAATCAAATGAAAAGAAACGCAAGTCCAAAGTCCTCATGAGGACCCACTGATGCTTAACAGACATTACACAGTGGAGAATGTAAATCAAATCTTAGAGTGGGGCAATTTGCTTTCTGCGCTGAGTTAGCCAATCTCAGGATTGATTGAAGCCAAATCCTTTATTTGTTCCATTATTACAAACCAAGGAGAACAGAGATTTTAGGGCCTAGGGTCATCATTGCAACATTCTCTTACTGGTTAATGATTTATTGCTTATTCCCAATGTTGAATGCAATGTCTTCTATTGGGCTCACTGAATTTTATTCTTTGGTAGATTTAGAAAAAAAGAAAGACACATTTTAGAAAGGGGCAAGATTAGACGCAGATGCACAATGCATTAAAAAAAAAAAATCAAGGCTCCATGTGCTCCGCTTCCCCTTTCTTTCTGCTCAGGGTGGTCCTGCCCTCTGCCTGCTCCTTCACAGCAGCCACCAACCCCATTGTCATCGCTTGGGACAAGGGCTGGCTTCTCCTCTTCCCTGAGCTCAGTGGCGGCAGTGCTGGTAGAAGAAATGGGGACATTCCAGAATCAAATCAGAAACTGGGATGGCTTTCATAATTCTGGGACTGTCCCTGGAAAATCGGGACACTTGGAGGGTATGCAGTTGCCCCAGGCTTCGGAGGGCTCAGCTGGCCAGCGGGTTCCACTAGGGGCCTGCCGGACTTAGGCTGTCATGCCAAGAACAGGACCTGGGCCTCAGAGAAGCTCATCATGGCCTGGCTCACAGTAACAAGAGACCAGGTCCAGTCGCATTTGAATCCACTGCTTCTTCTTCCCGATTCCAAGCTTTTCAGGCTAGGTTATAACTCTAAATGCATGCATAGGATGTGGCTTGAAAGTACAGTCATCCTTCCATAAATCCTTAATGACCACTTGGTTTAAAAGAGTGGCAAATTAAATACACAAATCATTGCTCCAGCAATGGTGTGGAGCCAACAGAAAGCCTGCGTAGTCCGCTGGTCCTAAAGGAGTTCTGCCTTTGTCTGTAGGCACTGGCTCTGTCACAGTTTTTTTTGTTTCCCCTGCCCGCTGTCCCTGGAGGTGGGGCAGGAGGTGGTAAGAAGATGCACTTCTGCTGGAGTGGTCATGTACCCTCCTTTGAAGGGGGAATTGTCCTCTATTTTAGGGTTGCCATACATACAGAATTTCCCGGACGTAGGCAGAATACGGCAGTCGGAAACAGCGTACGGGCGGAAATCGCAGAAATGTCCAGGAAAATCTGGACGTATGGCAACCCATGTCGGAAGTGTAGATTTTGGCAAATTTTATTAAAAATAGCTCAAAAACTTTTTTTTAGAAAGCTCAACTAAAAAGCAAAAAAAAAGAGCTCAACAACAAGTTTGCCCCACCCCCCCAAAAGCCCAACAACTCTCATGTTTGGATTTTCACTTTTTGAAATAATAAAGTAATTCTAAATAGGAAACATCACCAATTCGGTGGTTTAGGCATTGGGTAAGCCTTAGTCTTGGTTGGGGAGTGAGAAGATTGTAATCTCTGCCTGCGCCTCCCAAAATCTAGGGTATCTTGTTAAAGGGGTCCAGGAGGAGTTGCTTCTGTGTCTGTATGCCCAGGCAGGAGCTTGGACCTCAGCACTCCTCAAAGCAGTGTCCAGGGCTGGATTTAGATTTGATGAGGCCCTAAACTACTGGACGTGGGTGGCGCTGTGGGTTAAACCACAGAGCCTAGGACATGCCGATCAGAAGGTGGGCGGTTTGAATCCCCGCGACGGGGTGAGCTCCCATTGCTCGGTCCCTGCTCCTGCCAACCTAGCAGTTCGAAAGCACGTCAAAGTGCAAGTAGATAAATAAGTACCGCTCTGGTGGGAAGGTAAACAGTGTTTCCGTGCGCTGCTCTGGTTCACCAGAAGTGGCTTAGTCATGCTGGCCACATGACCCGGAAGCTGTACGCCGGCTCCCTCGGCCAATAAAGCTAGATGGGCGCTGCAACCCCAGAGTCGGTCACGACTGGACCTAATGATCAGGGGTCCCTTTACCTTTTTAAGCTACTGAAGGTAATGTGGCCCTTTCTATGTCCAACTGTCCTTTGTCAACAACAAATTGTTGCTGTTTTTTGTGTTGAAAATATGCTATAAATATGGCAATTTATGGACCTAATAGGAGCCCACACAACACTGTTGCTGTATGTAGGTTTTATTTTATTTGTTTTTTATCTTATATTTTGGAAATGTACATCCAGTTTCTTTTCCTTTAAATTTTTTTGGGGCCCCCAAGAGAGTGGGGCCCTAAGCTATAGATTGTTTAGCTTATATGTAAATCCGGCACTGGCAGTGACGCCCGCAGGGGTCCCCCTTATTTGTTGTAAGTCATAGGAACCCCCGCTGCTGGGTTGAGCCTTGGTGTCACTTCCGGCAGGCGGGCCAGAAGTAAATGGTTGCCCAATTGCCTGTGCCAAACCTCTTACATTTGTTGTCAATAAACTTGACCCCACTCAAGCCGTGCTGTGTCCTTTATTTACCTTTCCATCAAAGAGGTGGGGGGCAGAGAGAGTGCAGAGCCTGAGTATGCAACAGAATATTGTTGCAGAAGAGAATGCAAAAGCAGGTTGCTGGTAACTTCGTTGCAGAATAAATGTGCAATCTCTTTCGCAACGAATTCCTATAAGCGCAGCTATTGCACTGATTTCCTCTATTGCCACAGTGTTTGTGCAACATTACAGGCTCAGCCACACTTCTGCTTGTCTCGTGCCCAGAAAGCTCAGGTCCAAGAGGTTTGCCACTTGCCCTGTGCTTTCCTGCTTTTTCATTTGCCCCGCTGCTTTCCCCGGGGAAACCTGCTGTTTACCACTGAATGGGAACAAACATCAATCTGCAGAAAAACCAACTGAGAGGTAAACAGTGAGTTTTCCCAGGAGGGAGCAGTGAGACAAGTGAAGGAGTCCTGAAATTCACCTCTGTGCTTGTGAATGGGAGAGACAGCCTACTAATAATAATGATGATGAATAAATAATAATGATTAGTTGTCCTGCCTATCCTTCACCACAAAGTCCCAATGCAGGTTACAACAGTGTAAAAACCTAGTATTAAAATCAGATACTCCTTGTTTGAAGCGAATAGGAAATTCTCCAAAGCAACCATATTCATGATTGGCTATGTGGTCAGTCAACCTTTCTACAATTTAGATGAGAACTTGCTAGACAATTTCCCCCCCTCTAAATGTGCATTGGAGAATTTTTCTTCTTCTTCTTTCAGAAACCACTGGAATAAATGAGGTGTTAATTGATATTGAATGGAAGGCAGTTTTATATTGTCCCAGATTGAACTCTTAGCTCTCTCTCGCTGGCTGGCTGGCTCTCTCTCTCTCTCTCTCTCTGTCTCTCTCTCTCTCTCTCTGTGTGTGTGTGTGTGTGTGTGTCTGTTTGCGTCAAATAAGGTGATGTCAGGAGTGGTCTGGAAATAATATTTCTAGCAATGTTGAAATAAGGCAAAGCTTTCTGCAGTGGCAGAAGCTGTCGTAAACTAGACTTGGTGGTTTTTATACACATCAGCAGTGACTCCCTGCAAAGGTTCTGTTGCAGTTTACTCAACAGGAAATTTTCAGCTGTTACCTATTGCTTGTTGCATGTAACACAAATAGAATAGACGAGGTTTAAGCAGAATCCTTTCATCTCGCATTATTCTCATTCACCTCTACTGATTTCAGGGATGGTGTTCTAATATGCCAATGGTGTGAAAAGCAGATTTGAGCAATTTGGGTCATATTTCCCTCCTGGAGTACTAGGAACATAGTGGCTTTGTGGCTTATGCCTCTCTATTTTCCCTAAAAACTCTGGCTTTTAACACCTGAGATATTTTTATGACCCACCTCATTTATGTAAGTTGTTTTTAATATTGTGTTTTAATTGTTGTAACTGCCCTGGGAGCTGAGGGGGAAAGGTGGGTTCATCCTTACCCTCATCATCTGACTAATCATGTCCTTGTTGTCAGCAATGCTTGACAACTGAATTCTCATGGTCTTTAAATTATTTTTTGTTTTAAAAAATGCAAACAGCTTGCCTAAATGGTAAACATTGCCATCATCAGAAAATGCTCTCTTGTCTGGTTTCAGATTTTTTATTCATATATTTGGTCACATTGCATATGATTGACAATGTTCAGAATTACAGAAAACGTACTGTATACATTAGCCAAAAGGAAAGAAGTGATTATAGCGTTCCATGCCGGAATGAACCAATGCCATGTATATTCCAGATTATAATTCTGCAGGTAATGGAGTAGCTCATTATTATGCATATTGCTGCAGGATATCAAACTTATGCCTACTACCAAGAATTTCACATTAGAATTTGCAAAGCTGTGAACATAATGAAGAAGATCCACTCCCAACCAGCGTGGGATACTCAGCTGCTGCTTGAGGGTTTCCCCCAGGGATCAGGGGGGCCACAGTGAGAACAGGAAGCTGGACTAGATGGGCCATTGGCCTGATCCTGCAGGGCTCTTCTTAAGTTCTTAAGCTGTAGTTTGGATGACTGTGTCATGAGAGGCAGGCCTATGTGGTGATCAGGTAGCGGAATTCCCAAGGTTATTTGTTTGTGTGTGTGTGTGTGAGAGAGAGAGAGAGAGAGAGCGCGAGAGAGAGAGAGACTCCATATCCCTATTTTCCAGGGACAGTCCTGGATTTACAGAAGCCGCCCTAGTTTCTGATTTGATCTTCGAAAGTACAGCGGTACCTTGGTTTTCGAACGTAATCCATTCTGGAAGACCATTTGACTTCTGAACATTTGAAAACTGAGGTGCAAAGGGAGGTCTGCAAATTCAATAGAGAAAAATGAAGGGGAAAAAACTCAATGGAAGCTGTTTGACTTCTGAGGTGCATTCAAAAATGGAAGCATTTACTGCCAGATTTTTGACATTCAAAAACCAAAACATTCAGCTTCCAAGATGTTCGAAAACCAAGGTACCACTGTACCGCTTTTCCTTAGAACATCCTTATTTTCACTGGAAAAATATTGGAGGGTTTGACACGTGTGTGTGTGTGTATAGATATAGATATAGATATAGATATAGATATAGCTATAGATATATAGCTACCCTCACACTGATCTGCATGTGTGGCTATGTCTGGACATTGTAAGATTATTGCTTTCCTTTGGCCTCCTGTCATTTCCCCACAAGCACCTACACCTTGATACGTTTCTGGGCAACTAGGAAATAGACATTCTTACAATCACTATATGTTGGTGAATAGCTATTTTTGGCCTCTTCAGACCATAAGATATCAAAGCCTGCCTCTGTCACTGCACTGTCTACAGTTTCCTTCTCAAGGTAAAGGCAGAAGAACATTTGCTCGCCAGCCATGTAGAAGTTTCCTCCGAGAGCTACCAGGAGCACAAGGTGCCCCCCGGGCTTTACAAGGGAGCCAATGTTCCTCAAGGCGGCATGGTAGGCAGTGAGGTCTTTGCACGCAGCCTCCAGGCAAAGTGCAGAAGTCACACAGCTAGCTTGGGCCACCACCAGCGGAGCCAAAGGGTTGACTTGGGTCACGTCACATTTCAGCACTCGCCGGATGGTGCTTCGTACCTTCTCTCCCTTTTCTACCCATTTCTCCCTGGGGAAGAGCAAAGGTGGGAAAGAGCAGGAAACAGTGAGCACGCAAACCTCCTTTTCTGGCAAGCCAGCAACCTCGTCCCCCTGCAGGAGCATGTGAAATAAAGCAACCTGTTTATTAAAATATTCAGCTACCGCTTCCCCAGTTGCTGAAAGTGGATTACGAAACTGGAAGGGGTGTGAAAAGTGCTTTGCTGCTGGTGGTGGACAGCATGTGCCTTAATTTTGTTGCACTGGTCAAATTGGCCAGGCAGGCTTTTGCAGCAGTATGAAACCTGCCATCCTTGTTTAGAGGTGAAATGGGGATGGGTGTGTACAGGCCAGCTGCCACATTCTGGTCCCATCCTAGGTCATGGCCATATTTCTGTTATAATGAATATGCATTCTAAAAACAGTGGCAGAAGATTCTTGCAGCACCTTTAACACAATCCTAATCAGACCTACTCTGAAATAAATCCTATTAAATTTAGCAGCGCTTACTGCTAGGTTATTGTTGCAGCCTAAGAAACTTAAGAAAGTAAGTCCAGTTCATCAGATGCATGGAGATTATGTGTTTGTTAGGACAAGCTATTTAAAGCAATTCACAAATACCTCCCTTTCTGTAGTATTCCCAAGTGTAGGTCCCTGAATGGTCACTCTGATCAGAAACCAGAATGTTGTGCTGTGCCCCTCTATAAATGTCGTTACTTAGTATAAACTTGTGGAGAAACTATAGCTGAAATGTCCAAATCTACCAAGTATGCTGCAAAAGAGAGTTCCCAGCATTGGCAAGAGGTTGCACTAGATTGAAGTACTTTCAAACTGTAGGGTTCCATGAGTTTATTAATGAATGGAAGTTAAAAGCCCAGTACCTGTCTCCCTCCAGCTCACACACATATTTCAGAGCCTGGCTCCAATCAAAAGCATCTGGGTCCTTCTTCAACCACCTCTTAATCTCCTCCCTGTTCTGGTCAGTGTAATCTGTGGCAATGATCTCTCGGAAGGACCCGCAGGAAGAGAGAAATTGGTAGATAGTGGGTCCGCTTCCAATATCAATCAGTGTGTCTCCTTTAACTCCATCTGCATTTGAAAATGATAATGAGGTTACTGTTACACCCACACCCACACACCCGCACGATTCCTTATCTTGGCCACATTTTGTCTGCCCTCACTAGGATGATGATGGCATCTTTTGCACAGGGTGACAAATTGAAGTGGCAGTAGACTTATTTGCTCATGGGGTCTGAATCATAAGACGCATGCTCTTCTATGATGCAAAGTTCCTGGATAATAATTAAAAAAGCTTGGTATGCCTATACGTCCAACTGCATGCACTAAAATATCCTCTTCCTCCTCATTAACAATATTAATTACAGTGGTACCTCAGGTTAAGTACTTAATTCGTTCCGGAGGTCTGTACTTAACCTGAAACTGTTCTTAACCTGAAGCACCACTTTAGTTAATGGGGCCTCCTGCCGCTGCCGCGCCGCCAGAGGACGATTTCTGTTCTCATCCTGAATCAAAGTTCTTAACCTGAAACACTATTTCTGGGTTAGCGGAGTATATAACCTGAAACGTATGTAACCTGAAGCGTATGTAACCTGAGGTACCACTGTAATGTATATAGCACCACCATTGTTCATAGGGCATTATAGAATGCAACAGGGAACTTACAGGCTCAAAGGAGACAATGTATACTCCAAAAGGGTACTCCTCCCACCCAACAGTTATGCTGTGGGCAGGAAGACAATTGTAGTTTTTCCAATGCTATGGAATATCCTGCTGCAAGCTGGAATGACTGCTCTGATATGATCTTGCTTGCCATACATTTATTCATGCAAAACATCTAATGTCACACCTTTTAGGGCCACTGGCCAATACAGTTTTCCCTGGAAGGAGAAACCTTTGCCTTCCAGATGTTACCAGCTGGCAACTTCCATCGCCCCTGCCTATTGGCCATGCTGGCTGAGAGGAGTGCACAACCATGGAGGCTACAGGTTGCCCAGCAATGGCCAACAGTGATCAGATGTGAAAGAACAATTGGGATTTTTTTAGGGCAGCTTCTCATGCAGAAGGTTGAGCAAGGTGCATCCATTTCACACATGTTTTCCAAGCAATTTCCCCAAATAGAATGCATCTTTACCAACACATGGATTTTTATGCATGCTTAGATTAAGCTGGTTTGTTTTTTAAAAATGCTACATGCTTTTCTTCTCATCTCTTCTTTTTTGAAATCATTATACTATAATTTGAACAGAATCACAGTCCATTTCACCGCAGTGGGACTGCTGTGGCTGGATGACCAGCTCAGTCTGCTGCCTAGAAGCTCAGCGCTGAGGGGCAATTTCAAGGCAATCCTCCTGCTCTCTTTTCTTAGGGTTTTGCATCTTTAAGGAAAAACTGAGCAGGACAGAGGATGTCCAGAGAGAGGATCATTCCTCTGGCACTCCTTCATGTGAGGGCTGTCCTTTGCAAAGCTGGACATGCAGCCACTCTATGAACTGAACTATTCCAGCTGGCTGTGGAAAATTTGATCAAGGAAGTGATTGTTTGGATCAAAACAAAATTCTTGACCCGGCTGAATAGCGGCTTGGGGACCTGGCAAAGGGGCAGTGAGTCCTCTTGGCCTCTTGCCCAGTGAAATAACTAATTGGTCTGAGAAGTGACCCACTGGCTCCTTGTCCTTGGCCCCAACAACAAATGCTCCAGGGATAAAGGGTGGTTGATCCCATTTCTGCCTCCCACCATGATTCTTGTGGGAAAGGGATGACCCCTGCAAATTTTGCAAAAGGTGGACACGCTTGTAAAAAAAAGAATATTAATTTCGAAGCATTCTCTCCATCATGAACGACAAATTGACAAAGCTCAGCCAGCCCACCAGTGCCAGAAAGCAATCTATGGGGTACTCACCCACGGTGAAAGTTTTGTGGAATTTTTGCAGATAAAAATTTAGGAGAGCATCTTCTTGAGAGCCGTCTTCCTTGCTGAAGGAATAGTACATTTTTAAATAATCTTTTGGAGAAAAATGCTTCCCGTAAACATCTTTCCCAGTGAAGTCCCCCTCCATCCTTCCTCCAAGTCTGCAATACACACAAATGACATTTGTTCCTTTCCATTCTCATTGATCCAACCTCCCACTCCACCCCAAAACATATCCCTGCCTATTCCTGGAATGAAATCTCTGTCCAGTTGTGGACTTCATCTGGGGAACATTTGGAATTATTAACAAGATAACTCCTGCAAGGGCCAAATTAAATGTGATGTTGAAACAGCAGACTTCTGTGTGTGCAGAAGGCCATGGGTTCAATCCCCAATGGCAACTGCAGGTAGGACTGGAAACTCCCTGAATCCCAGGGGGAGCAGCTGCCAGTCAGTCAGCAGAGACAAAACCAAGCCATTTGCCTTGGCAACCTTCCCTGGGGCTCCATGCTGATGAGAGTGAGCCCATGGAGAGGGCTGTGGAAGAGGAAGAGCAGCAGGTTTCCTGTGGAGCCATGTGCCCTTTCTCCTCCAAGGCCCTGCCATTCCTCTGAGCCTTCAAAGGGTCCTGGTGTAGCTTCTCCCAGCCAGGCCCTTCCATCAGGAGGGAAGGGGGAAGTCAGCCAGTGTCCTGCCCACCTGGAATTGAGCCAAGACTCTCATTGAGGTTCTCCTGTTGACTTTTACTGAGAGAATGCTTTGGTACATTAGCCCAAGGCATTCTGGCAACACCCTATTCTTTGCTGCACCCGTGTTCATGCTTTGAAATTCACAGCATCATAGGGTTTTTTTCAAGTTTTATTGTTTGGAATATTTTTAAAATGTTATATTTTTGTAAACCATGTGGAGATTTCTCTGGCATTAAAATACAGGAAATAAAAAATACTAACCCTAGAGATACGTGACACCACCTAGAAGCCTCTTCATATGTAGCTGTTGTTAGGAAGGGTGCATCTCCAGTCTCCAGTTAGAGATCTGGGAACCCTAAACATGTATCTATGCCCTTTTGACATCTTCGTTTCCCACTCTAGTTTCCAAGAGCTTTGGTGTGCTTTTGAATGCCAGCTTTGTTCAATTTCAAATTGTCTGGCACATCAGCATGCCTGAATCCACAGTTCAAATCACACAGGAATTTTGGAACAGAAGTTCAAGACCCAGTCCAAAGGCTAAAGTTAAATGTCCGATTGTGCAAGACCTTCCCTTCATTTTTTGGCTATGAACCCTTACGAGAGGCTCCTTCTGGACAGAGATTTCGCAAAGCTTCCATGAACCATGCCAGGACTTTTAAAGGGGAAAACACAGAACTGCCCAGTGGTATGTGATTATAATTTGTGCACAAAGCACTATGGCACACCCGTGCATTTTCCTTGCGTGTGCATACATGCTTAGACGAGTCACATTGCGTGGCACTGTGGGTTAAACCACAGAGCCTAGGACTTGCCGATCAGAAGGTCGGTGGTTCGAATCCCCGCAAAGGGATGAGCTCCCGTTGCTTGGTCCCTGCTCCTGCCAACCTAGCAGTTCGAAAGCACGTCAAAGTGCAAGTAGACAAATAGGTACCACTCCGGTGGGAAGGTAAACGGCGTTTCCGTGCACTGCTCTGGTTCGCCAGAAGCGACTTAGTCATGCTGGCCACATGACCTGGAAGGACAAACGTCGGCTCCCTCGGCCAATAAAGCAAGATGAGCGCCGCAACCCCAGAGTCGGTCACAACTGGACCTAATGGTCAGGGGTCCCTTTACCTTTACCTTACAGAGTGAAAGAAAACATTCAGAACTGGGAATTTGACAGCACTAATGCAAGGGGGTGGTTTTGAGGCACCCCCCCTTTTTACTGGAGCTTGCATTTCTTTCGAGGAATATACCCCATTGGTGCCAATGGGAGATATCCCTCTTGTGCAAAATGGATGGGATTTTCCTGAGGGTCATAGTACAGAAGGAATGGGTCAATCGCTTGCCCCCCCCCCATGCCTGCCACAATCCCAATAAATATCATGTCTCCCAACTAATGCTATTTGCATTTTTTGGAAAGTCTTGCATAATTAATACAAAGACTGGTGTTTCAGCATCACATTTAATTTGGCCCTTGCAGGAGGTACGCTGAGTCCACCTTCACAACTGATGGAACAGCAGGTGTGTATACCAGCAAACTGAATGTCAGCCTCCATATTCAACAGAGATAAAATGATGGTTCCCAGGTGGAAATGGACTCTGTCTCCCTGCTTCTCTCTGTTCCTCCCTAGTTCTTGGTTGTGTAACTGTTTGAGAAAACTTGGCAAATGCAGAGACCCAGAACTTTTCTATTATACAAAACACTTCCCCACCCCTATATCCTATTTTTTAAAAAGAGGAGGCAAGAAGAATGGAACTGCCATATTCTGACAGAGGAGGCACCTCCCCCAACCCTTGTGTTGCTTCTGTACCTTTAAGAGCATGGGTAGGCAAACTAAGGCCCGGGGGCCGGATCTGGCCCAATCACCTTCTCAATCCGGCCCGCAGAGAGTCTGGGAATCAGCGTGTTTTTACATGAGTAGAATGTGTCCTTTTATTTAAAATGCATCTCTGGGTTATTTGTGGGGCCTGCCTGGTGTTTTTACAGGAGTAGAATGTGTGCTTTTATTTAAAATGCATCTCTGGGTTATTTGTGGGGCATAGGAATTCGTTCTTTTTTCTTCTTCTTCAAAATATAGTCCAGCCCCCCACAAGGTCTGAGGGACAGTGGACCGGCCCCCTGCTGAAAAAGTTTGCTGACCCCTGTTTAAGAGCATTCCCCTAAACAGAAATGAAATAGCTAAGCTTATCCAACAGCTGGAATACCACTAGAGGCAGTTCCTTTTTCATTAACATCTTTGGGCTGGGCTGCTGTTAAAGAGAGGGGATTAGAGGCAGCTGAAAAGTTGGCAACTACATTATGTGGATATTTAAGAGGCACCCAGTTCCTTAAGCATTAGCTATTGAGATAATATTTGACAAACCAAACCTACCCATCCTGCAAACAGCTTATCCCTGCAGTATTTCCTATTTGATACTAGCTATTTTATGGATGAATTGATAGATTCAACTGATGAAGGCCAGAATAATTGATGAATTAATGAATTGCTGAACTGATAATAATATACTGATTGATGATCTAGGCTGATGAATTGATTAATTTATTATTTGAATACAAATGATCTGTTTTTATAGGGGATAAATTAATAAGAGTTAAGTTGTAAGAAAGTGAGGTTTCTCCTTTAGAAGTAAACAACTTTCGCAAATTTCCGAGATTTCCTAAGCATTATCTATTGAGATAATATTGGACAAACCAAACCTACCCATCCTGCAAGAGGTTTACCCCAGCAGTAGCAGCACTAGTTAATAATTCCAAATGTTCCCCAGATGACGTCCACAACTGGAAAGAGATTTCATTCCAGGAATAGGCAGGGATATGTGTTGGGGTGGGGTGGGAGGTTGGATCAATGAGAATGGAAAGGAACACTTGTGTGCATTGCAGACTTGGAGGAAGGATGGAGGGGGACTTCACTGGGAAAGATGTTTACGGGAAGCATTTTGCTCCAAAAGATTATTTAAAAATGTACTATTCCTTCAGCAAGGAAGATGGCACCCAAGAAAATAGGGCCCTAACATTTTATCTGCAAAAATTCCACAAAACTTTCACCGTGGGTAAGTACCCCATAGACTGCTTTCTGGCACTGGTGGGCTGGCTGAGCTTTGTCAATTTGTCGTTCATGATGGAGAGAATGCTTCCAAATTCATGTTTTGTATGAATAAGTGTACAGCAAGCAAATTGAAATCAGAGCAGCATCACTGTTGGGTGGGATAAGTACCCGTTGAACCCTTCATATCTTTGAAGGGCAATGGCCTCTGAGCAGTGGCAGAGTTTCATGCTCCAGCACTGGGGGGGGGCAGAGAGCAGGCAGGGATGGTGTGCTCCCCAGGGGCAGGGCACTCCGCCTGCGAGGGCTGGGCACCCAGCACAGGTGCGGGGGGCAGCCGTGATGTCACCCCAATGGGATCGCGCTGCCGGGGGCGGCGCGCTCCCCCATGCTCCTCTTCCTCCTCTGAATCAGTCAGCTGCCTTGATGGGAAAGGAGAAATAATGGAATGGTATACATTTTCACTCTTGACCCTGTAAGCTCCCTGTTGCATTCTATCATGCCCCATGCACAGTGGTGGTGCTATATAAATTAATTAGTATTGTTAATGAGGAGAAAGAGGATATTTTAGTGCATGCAGTTGGACGTATAGGCATACCAAGCTTTTTTTATTATTATCCAGGAACTTTGCATCATGGAAGAGCATGCATCTTATGATTCGGACCCCATGAGCAAATAAGTCTACAGCCACTTCAATTTGTCACCTTGTGCAAAAGATGCCATCATCATCCCAATGAGGGCAGACAAAATGTGGCCAAGATGAGGAATCGTTTTGTGTGTGTGTGTGTGTGTGTGTGTGTGTGTAAGTAGTAGCAACCTCATTATCATTTTCAAATGCAGATGGCGTTAAAGGAGACACACTGATTGATATTGGAAGCGGACCCACTATCTATCAATTTCTCTCTTCCTGCGGGTCCTTCCGAGAGATCATTGCCACAGATTACACTGACCAGAACAGGGAGGAGATTAAGAGGTGGTTGAAGAAGGACCCAGAGGCTTTTGATTGGAGCCAGGTTCTGAAATATGTGTGTGAGCTGGAGGGAGACAGGTACTGGGCTTTTAACTTCCATTCATTAATAAACTCATGGAACCCTACAGTTTGAAAGTACTTCAGTCTAGTGCAACCTCTTGCCAATGCTGGGAACTCTCCTTTGCAGCATCCTTGATAGATTTGGACATTTCAGCTATAGTTTCTCCACAGGTTTATACTAAGTAACTACATTTATAGAGGGGCACAGCACAACATTCTGGTTTCTGATCAGAGTGACCATTCAGGGACCTACACTTGGGAATACTACAGAAAGGGAGGTATTTGTGAATTGCTTTAAATAGCTTGTCCTAACAAACACATAATCTCCATGCATCTGATGAACTGGACTTACTTTCTTAAGTTTCTTAGGCTGCAACAATAACCTAGCAGTAAGCGCTGCTAAATTCAATAGGATTTATTTCAGAGTAGGTCTGATTAGGATTGTGTTAAAGGTGCTGCAAGAACCTTCTGCCACTGTTTTTAGAATGCATATTCCTTATAACAGAAATATGGCCACCACCTAGGATGGGACCAGAATGTGGCAGCTGGCCTGTACACACCCATCCCCATTTCACCTCTAAACAAGGATGGCAGGTTTCATACTGCTGCAAAAGCCTGCCAAGCCAATTTGACCAGTGCAACAAAATTAAGGCATGTGCCCTCGGCCACCACCAGCAGCAAAGCACTTTTCACACCCCTTCCAGTTTCGTAATCCACTTTCAGCAACTGGGGAAGCAGTAGCTGAATATTTTAATAAAGAAGTTGCTTTATTTCACATGCTCCTGCAGGGGGACGAGGCTGCTGGCTTGCCAGAAAAGGAGGTTTGCATGCTCACTGTTTCCTGCTCTTTCCCACCTTTGCTCTTCCCCAGGGAGAAATGGGTAGAAAAGGGAGAGAAGGTACGAAGCACCATCCGGCGAGTGCTGAAATGTGACGTGACCCAAGTCAACCCCTTGGCTCCACTGGTGGTGGCCCAAGCTAGCTGTGTGACTTCCACATTTTGCCTGGACTCTGCCTGCAAAGACGTGACTACCTACCTTGCCGCCTTGAAGAACGTTGGCTCCCTTGTAAAGCCCGGGGGGCACCTTGTGCTCCTGGTAGCTCTCGGAGCAAGCTTCTACATGGTTGGCCAGCACCCATTTTTCTGCCTTTACCTTGAGAAGGAAACTGTAGACAGAGCAGTGACAGAGGCAGGCTTTGATATCTTATGGTCTGAAGGGGCCAAAAATAGCTATTCACCAATACATAGTGATTGTAAGACTGTCTATTTCCTGGTTGCCCAGAAACGTATCAAGGTGTAGGTGCTTGTGGGGAAATGACAGGAGGCCAAAGGAAAGTATTAATCAATGTCTAGACATAGCCCACACATGCAGGTCAGTGTGAGTGAGGGCAGCTATTTAGATATAGATATAGATATAGATATAGATATAGATATAGATATAGATATAGAGAGAGACACAGACATACACACTCCAACATTTTTCCAGTGGAAATAAGGATGTTCTAAGGAAAAGTGGTGCAGTGGTACCTCGGTTTTTGAACATCTTGGAAGCCAAACGTTTCGGTTTTTGAATGCTGAAAACCCAGATATAAATGCTTCCATTTTCAAATGTGCCTCAGAAGTCAAACGGCTTCCGCTGCGGGTTTTTCCAATTTTCTCCACTGAATTTGCAGACCCCCCTTTGCACCTTTGTTTTCGAATGTTTCAGAAGTCTAATGGTCTTCCAGAATGGATTATGTTCAAAAACCAAGATACTGCTGTACTTTCCAGTATCAAATCAGAAACTAGGGCGGCTTCTGTAAATCCAGGACTGTCCCTGGAAAATAGGCATACGGAGTCACACACACACACACACACACACACACACATACATAACCTTGGGAATTCCACTGCCTGATCACCACATAGGCCTACCTCTCATGACACAGTCATCCAAACTACAACTTAAGAACTTAAGAAGAGCCCTGCAGGATCAGGCCAATGGCCCATCTAGTCCAGCATCCAGTTCTCACCGTGGCCCCCCTGATACCTGGGGGAAACCCTCAAGCAGCAGCTGAGTATCCTATGTTGGTTGTGACTGGATCCTCTTCATTATGTTCACAGCTTTGCAAATTCTAATGTGAAATTATTGGCCATAGGCAGAAGTTTGATATCCTGCAGCAATATGCATAATAATGAGCTATTGCATTACATGCAGAATTACGATCTGGGATATTTATTATTATTATTATTATTATTATTATTATTATTATTATTACTACTACTACTACTACTCTGCCCATCTAGCTGAGTTTCCTCAGCCACTCTGGGCAGCTCCCAATCAAATATTAAAAACAATACTTGGCATTGGTTCATTCTGGCATGTAAGGAATACTATATAATCACTTCTTTTCTTTTGTCAAATGTATACAGTATGTTTTCTGTAATTCTGAACGTTGTCAATCATATGTAATATGACCAAATATATGAATAAAAAATCAAAAACGAGACAAAAAAACATTTTCTGATGATGGTCATGTTTACCATTTAGGCAAGCTGTATTTTTTTAAAACAAAAAATAATAATTTCAAGACCATGGGAATGCAGTTGTGAAGCATTGCTGACAACAAGGACACGATTAGTCAGATGATGAGTGTGAGGATAAACCCACCTTTCCCCCTCAGCTCCCAGGGCAGGTTACAATAATTAAAACACAATATTAAAAACAACTTACAGAAATGAGGTGGGTCATAAAAATATCTCTGGTGTCAGTAGCTAGGGTGAAGAGGTGTATCTTCAGTTGGTTTTTAATGTTTAATGTTGAACAAACCCTTCAGGTGTTTGTCTGGAGGGGGACATTTTCATTCTAAGCACCTGATCCCCTAATACACAATCTTTCAGAGGCTGCAATCCAGTAGCAGGTAGGGGGGAAATGAGCTTTGAGCTGGCTCCTCCACCCCCTCGATCCAACTTGGAACTCAAACTTTTGTCACAGCTGGAGTTTTTCAAGTTTTCTTTAAGAAGTCAGCATGACAATTCAACATGGGACTGCAAGTGTCAGGGGTTGAGCTGGATCAGAAGATTGGGGAATGCAATCACAGGGAGATTAGCTCCTAACAGAAGAGGAGGGGAAATATTTGCCCCCCCCCTTCCGCTTCCAGACACAGAAGCTGCACAGTTGAGAGAGGAGCTACCCAGCTATGAGATAGTAGCTAAGCAACCGCAAGAGAGGGAGCAGCTGGGCGATACATCAATCGAGAGTGTGGGGGAACCCCCTCCCACCCCCTGAATTTGGAGGTCTGAGCGTGTCAGAGAACAAAGGAGACTCGGTGGGAAGGGACTTCCCGTTGGCGTGTTTCTTGCTGCGGAAGTGGGGAGGAATCAGAGTAAGCAACTGATATCCTTGTGGAGTGCCTGGCTTGCTCTGGTCCATGGAGTCACAAAGAGTCGGACACAACTAAATGACTAAACAACAACATTCTTGTGGAGGGTTGCCTATTTGTGCTTGTAACATAATGCTGTAATGAAAGGACTATAAATCTACCAAATGCTTGTTAAGTCTTATTGGTGGGCTACCAGAAGGGAGAGGGGAACTCCTGTACTTGACAGCAGGTTACAAAGTTCATAAGGCATGGCAGAGATCTGGGCATTAGCTAAGATGTTGCAGCTCTTCACCTATATTGATGTCAAAAAGCTTGGGAATGGGCAAGCAGGCAAGCAGAAACGTCTCCACAGAGGTTGGGAGCACAAGGTTTGTTTGTGCCGGCACTATTGCTTTCACGTCCTTGGAAATGGAGATGGAGTCAACAGAATAATAATAATAATAATAATAATAATAATAATAATAATAATAATTTATTATTTGTACCCCACCTATCTGGCTGGGTTTCCCCAGCCACTCTGGGAGGCTACTAACAAAGACCAAAAATACACACTAAAATGTCACACATTAAAAACGTCCCTGAACAGGGCTGCCTTCAGATGTCTTCTGAATGTCAGGTAGTTGTTTATCTCGTTGACATCTGATGGGAGGGTGTTCCACAGGGCAGGCGCCACTACCGAGAAGGCCCTCTGCCTGGTTCCCTGTAACCTCACTTCTCGCAGTGAGGGAACCACCAGAAGGCCCTCGGAGCTGGACCTCAGTGTCCGGGCTGAACGATGGGAGTGGAGACGCTCCTTCAGGTATACTGGGCCGAGGCTGTTTAGGGCTTTAAAGGTCAACACCAACACTTTGAATTGTGCTCGGAAATGTACTGGGAGCCAATATACGGTAGGTCTTTCAAGACCAGTGTTATGTGGTCTCGGCGGCCGCCCCCAGTCACCAGTCTAGCTGCCGCATTCTGGATTAGTTGTAGTTTCCGGGTCACCTTCAAAAGTAGCCCCACGTAGAGCACATTGCAGTAATCCAAGCAGGAGACAACTAGAGCATGCACCACTCTGGTGAGACAGTCTGCAGGCAGGTAGGGTCTCAGCCTGCGTACCAGGTGGAGCTGGTAGACAGCTGCCCTGGATACAGAATTGACCTATGCCTCCATGGACAGCTGTTAGTCCAAAATGACTCCCAGGCTGCGCACCTGCCCCTTCAGGGGCACAGTTACCCCATTCAGGATCAGGGAGTCCTCCACACCAGCCTGCCCCCTGTCCCCCAAGAACAGTACTTCTGTCTTGACAGGATTCAACCTCAATCTATTAGCCGCTATCCATCCTCCAACTGCCTCCAGGCACTCACACTCCAGTTGGCTCACCATTGGACTTATCTCCGGATGCCTCCCTGGAAGGGATTAACTCTTTGCTGGTGTGGGGAGGGAAGCACCTGAGACAGAGCCGTGGGTGGAGATATTACACTTGGAGTATCTGGTGGCACAAGTGTGGGCCATTCTCTTGACAACCCACTCGGCCCTTACTGGGGATCCAGATCTCCATCTCCCAAGCTCCAGAGTCCCTCCCCTGGGACATATTGCTCTTGGGATCACAGACTCCCAGCTCCACAGCCTGACAGGACCTTTCCCCAGCTCTCTGATCCCACTCCTCCCTGTCATCCAACGCCTCGTACGCTCCACAACATCTCCATGAGACTTATCATAGGCATGGCCAGTGGCAAAAAGTAGGCTGGACTACAGCTGTGACTTCTACATTTGCACCATAGGCTATGTTCCAAGTCTGAGGTTTCTACACACCAAAGGCAATTTTAGGGCAAGGTGAATGGTTTCACCACGCTGGGCGCCAAGCCTAGGGTGCGCCGCAGGGCATCACAACTAAGACGTAGCCATAGAGCATTGAGCAGAACAGAAGGCAAGGGGGCGCTGAATTTTGGCCTTGCACAGGGTGCTGCTGAAATTTGAAAGACCGAGGTCCTCTCCTGTAAACACATGCCCCATCTCTATCCAGGCAACCGAAAAAGCATTATCAAAACTCAAGGGCACATTCCAGCCAGGCTCAAGCATTCAAGGGTGTGTGTGGAGAAGGGCCAGCAAGGGTGTCGTGTGCCCTGAGCAGGCTCCTGAGGGCCAGCTAGAAATATATGGTTCACATTCTGCCCTTGGGCCTGAGGTTCTGCAGAGATAAACCCTGAGCTAACCAAAGTCCTCTGTGATCCATGTTGAACTGAGCCGTTGTCCCGTCATCTCTGCTGCCTGTAACTAAAACAGGCAAGAAATATGTTTGTTTCCTCGCCTCTCTGGTTCAGATTATAGAAAGCAAAACGTAGCCAATTGCTGAGTCACTTTTTCCAGAAACAGATTGTTTTTCAACTGTAGCAGAGTTTTCATCTGCTTAGCAGGTTCTTGTATTCCCAGATGGAACAGGCATAAAGTTTAGCAGATATATCGATCAGACTAATTACTTTACAATCCCAGCCTTCCTTTTTAATCATCTGCCTTTTAAATCATCTGCTCTCCCATCCCGGAAGGGGGAAACTCGTTTTGATTAATTACTGCAAAGAGCTTTTGCCAGGATACGGATTTTGCCCTACACTTGTGGTTCCACTAAACTGATGTGACTGTGCCCAAAGAGTCATTCCAACTTCGTTAGCATACTCGTGCCAGCTGCAGCAACGACTGCATGCACAGAGTGGATCGGTGTGCCCCTCTCAAAGCAAACAAAGGCTGGTGTTAGATCTCTGCACTCTCTCTCTGCTGCCCATCAGCTGCAGCAGTAGTCACATGTAATCCCTCCAGTGTTGGGCCCTATTCAGCCATGTCTACACCAAAAGGAGATGATTTAAAGTATTGTTGTGCACACCTCAGTCTCCAAGCAATGAGATTCAAGGACTTCCAGGGCTGCCCAAGGGTTTTGTTTCCTTGGAATGAAGGGCAGTGCAGACTGTGGTGTCTTTAGGATGTATGGTTTTAGTTACACATATATACAACCTGAGCCTAGGATGGAAGGGCTCACAGCACTAACACTCTAGCACAGAGGTTTTCAACCTTTTTGAGTCCACAGCTCTTTTAACCAACTACATTCTTCCTGCAACCCCCCTGTGGGGCTCAGGAACCCAGTTATGTCAACCCTTGCTTGCAGAGCTGGCAGCCTCTCACCTTTGCGGGATTTGAAATCTTTCCACAGGGCCTGCAAGACAGAGCTGTTCCGCCAGGCCTTTAGTCCGGGCCCATTCTGACCCCCTTCTTTCCATGAAACCCTGTATGTAAGTGGCCCCCTTGGCCCTTTCTATCAGCCCATATGGGGCCAGCATGGGTGACCAGGCCTGGCAAATATTTAATATCCCTACCTTCATGGCTGTGATTTGTGGGTTGGCCACTTAATTTTATTTTGATTTTACTGTGATTTTGAGTTATGTTTTAATCAGTTGTTTGATTTTGTGTTTTTAATGTACAGTGGTATCTCGGTTTAAGTACTTAATTCATTCCAGAGGTCCGTTCTTAACCTGAAACTGTTCTTAACCTGAAGCACCACTTTAGCTAATGGGGCCTCCAGCTGCCGCCACGCCGCCAGAGCACGATTTCTGTTCTCATCCTGAAGCAAAGTTCTTAACCTGAGGTAATATTTCTGGGTTAGTGGAGTCTGTAACCTGAAGCATATGTAACCTGAAGCGTATGTAACCCGAGGTACCACTGTATTATATATCTGGTGTTAGCCGCCCTGATCCCGAGGACGGGGTATAAATAAATTATTATTATTATATTATTATTATTACACCCTCCCTTGTGTAGTGTTCACTCAGTCTCCTCTCCCCTCCCCTCTCCTACACCAGTGTGGTGTAGTGGTTAAGAGCGGTAGACTCATAATCTGGGGAACTGGGTTCACGTCTCCACTCCTCCACCTGCAGCTGCTGGGTGACCTTGGGCTAGTCACACTTCTTTGAAGTCTCTCAGCCCCACTCACCTCACAGAGTGTTTGTTGTGGGGGAGGAAGGGAAAGGAGAATGTTAGCCTCTTTGAGGCTCCTTTGGGGAGTGATAAAGCAGGATATCAAATCCAAACTCTTCTTCTTCTTCTCCTTGGGAGTCCTCCAGGCAGCTGCTGCTGCCGTCCCTGGTCTATGAGCTGCCCCCCCCATACTGCAAAGAGAGATGCCTTCCAGAGGCACCATTCATCTGTGGAACTTATAGCCAGGGCTGCTGCAATAAACAGTTGTGTAAGCCTTTGGGAGACAGAGAAACAAAAGGGCATCAGAGCAAGGAGGGGAGAAAAGAGGGACAGAGGCCAGTGTCACCCACGGTACCCCTGACCATCATTCAAGGCACCCCAGGGTGCCACAGCACACTGGTTGAAAGCCACTGCTCTAGAAGATCTTGCCTCCCCCATTAGATTCCCAGGGAGATCCCCAAGCCACAACTCTAGGTCCTGCACAAAGCAAGACAAACCTCTGTTCTTCCAGCTTCCAGCCTGAGGCAAAACTCTCTTTCGTTCACACATATTGCCACCCTTGGCCTATTGTTCTCTCTCCTAGAATGATGTGATATCCAGCCAGAAAAGATGGGGGAAAGGCCCATTCCTTTGTCTCCATGGCAACAGGGTACTCTTTGGACATGTGAATGGAAGTACTTAACTGGCCAGCTAAAGCTGTTGTCTTACAAAGAAGGTGGTCTGACCACACCTATAACAGTATTTTGGTCTCTGCAGCTAGACCTCCCCAGCTATGTGCACAAAATGGCAACTCGTGCATGTGCTGTAATACTGACCAGCAGGTGAAGAATACAATCAACGCGACCGAATCGAGTGTAGGAGATGAACTTTATAGGCACGTGGCAGTGCATGGCTTGGGAAGAAATGACACTTCACATACAGAGGTGCACTTGAAATCTTGTTTCCCATCAGCAGCCTTAAAACTTACATCTGGGCAACAATAAAAATGTATTGCCAAACAAACTGAGAAGCCGCAGCATTCCTTCCCAGAAGTTGAGCAAGGATTGCCCAAGAGAGTGCCAAAGTTGTGAGATGATAAAACTTACAGTACGCTGCAGAGGAAATGGTATTTAGAGATCCCAAACAAATTGGTTCTAATATGGAAAATTTGCAAGGCATCAGAGGCAATAGCTCAGTTGGTAGAGCATGAGAGTCTTAAATCTCAGGGTTCAAGCCCCTCATTGTTGCACTGCAGGAAGTTGAACTAGATGATCCTCGTGGTCCCTTACAACTCGACAAAACTATGAATTTGCATCTGGTTCTATTACTGGATGACAGTTGTGATTGCTGATGTTCGTAACGTTTTAAAATGTAGAAGATCCCCATAGCACTATACAACATTCTGATTAAATACAACATATTGTTGCACGCCACCACAATCTCCAAGCAGTGCAAGATTCCAGGGGGCCCAGGGGCCCATTTCCTCGGAATGAGGGACAGTGGAGACTGTGGTGCCTTTAGGATATATGGTTTATTTACACACATATACAACCCAAGCCTACGATGGAGGGGTTCACACCATTAACACCCCAAGAAGGTCTTGTTTCTCTCATGGCCATGGCCTTGAATTCCAGCAGAAATCAGGCATGTCTCTGACTCTCTGGCTTCTGCCTCCTTCTAGCTTCCAAATGCAAGTCTCTAGATCATACTCTAGATCACAGTCTCTAGATCTACTCTCAACTCTGGCCTTTGTCTTTCTAAGTACTGACAAAGAGTCACTTCCTTTGTTGCCTTAACAACCCATGTTGTTGTTTAGTCGTGTCCAACTCTTCGTGACCCCATGGACCAGAGCACGCCAGGCACTCCTGTCTTCTAACAACCCATACTTAGGCTATTACCTCACCAGGAATTTGAATCCTTGCTTAGATGCTAGCACTTGAAGGATCCAGGGATTAAGAGGGTCTCAGCATCTAGCCTACTTTCCCCATGGAAAACTTGCTGTTTACTGCTGAATTGGCACATTCGTCAACTTGGGAAGATATTAAAATAAATTTGCAAATATGGAACATAATGAATCTTTCACTATTAGGCAGAGTGTCAACTATAAAAATGAATGTATTACCTAGAATGCTATTTTTGTTTCAAACAATTCCGGTGATTGGCAAGACAGATTGTTTCAACGTATGGCAAAAATATATTTGGCAAGGGAAAAAACCAAGAATAAAATATAAAATATTGATAGATGCAAAAGAGAGAGGAGGTTTCTCCCTGCCAGATATGAGATTACACTATGAAGCATCTGGTCTTTGTTGGCCGAAGGAATGGATGACATTGGAGAATTCACATATTCTAGACTTAGAAGGTCATGGTAATATTTTTGGTTGGCATGCTCATTTATGGTATAAAAAGGTGAAAGTACATAAAGATTTAAAAATCATATAAATTGGAAAAAAATGTATAGAGTATGGGATAAATACCAAAATCTATTTGAGGTAAAAACACCACTTAGGCTCTCACTGTTGGAAGCTATAGCGGTAAAGAAAAAGAATATGATAGAAGGGTAGACAATTTATTGAAATTTATTAAAACAAGAAGGAGGAGAGTATCAATTGAAATAATTTAAGGAATTGGCAGATTGACATTTGTTCCAATTTAGTGGTAAACAGCTAGGAAACCGGCAAGGTAGGCAGAAAGCCCCCTGGACACATGACTAGAAATGTGGACAAGTTCTGAATTTCTGCGCATTTGTAAAGCCAAGGTGAGGAATGCCTCTGTACAGGCCTGAGTACTTCATAGGACTGTGGACTATATTTTTGTGGGTTTCCCAGCAGCCACTGCTGTTCTGTTTCAGCAAGTAAAGTCTCATCAAACATCACAATAGTGTGCTTATTGAAGTAATCCACCAAAAGTGGAACTATATATTTGTAAATACTATCTATTGATCGATTGATCTATCCATAAGTTACATAAATGCTGCACCCAGGAATGTCCACACTGCTCAAAGAAGCATTGTGAGTGGTAGCTTTCCATTGTGCCAAGAGGTTAATTATTTCCTGGTATTTTGATACCAAAGCTTAACCTTTATTACATAAATGGATTATGGGATTTTCTCTCTCTCTCTTTATAAGATACTAATATCCTTATTAGCTTCTCTTCCCACCTGTCTAAAAAGCAAGCAAACAAGCAAAATAACCACCTTGCAAAGTTCTTCTAGGTTTACCTCTCTGGCACTCTTCCATATATTTTTGAAATTATCTGTTGTAATTTTGAAAATATATGTAAGAGTGCCAGAGAGGTAAACCTAGAAGAACTTTGCAAGGTGGTTATTTTGCTTGTTTGCTTGCTTTTTAGACAGGTGGGAAGAGAAGCTAATAAGGATATCACAACATATTGGAATCCGCAAGGCTTCATTTTTTAAGAATGGAAACATCACAACAACCCTTGGTTACATAACAGGAATGCAGAGGTGGAGCCAGAACTCCAAAAAGAAACTCCAAAAACCTCTCAGCAGAGCATTTCCAAGGATCGTGCAAATGGCTTTCACCGAGAAAGACTTCTATGCTGGACATTTCAGCCCAAAAGACTATTTGGACACCTATTACACCTTCAGCTCTGGAAAAGAAGATGAGAATGGCTTTTTGATTTTCTATCTGAAAAATCTCCACCAGGCATTCATTTTAGGTAAGTGCTGGTGTATTTCATGGGTTCCAGAGCTGTCGCCACACTGGGTTGCCTGGAAAGAGATCCCCAAAAGGGATATGAATGATCCATTTGATTATGTCAGCCTCTAAGGTGGCCCATGGTGGGGGAGACCTTTAATACCAGTTGGATCTATAGCAGTGGTAGCTTTCCAGCTCCCGTTAGCCCTGGCCAGCATGTGTCAATGCTCAGGGGAATGATAGGAGTTGTGGTTCAGCAACATTTAGAGGGCTGCAGGTTGGAATGGGCAAGCCTGTCATCTGTTGTTTCTCATTCTTCCAGCCTTAAGTCCAGTTCCCCACATTTCCATTTTCCAGTCTGTAGGGGGAATAATTACATCTGCACAGAAATGCATCAGCATTTTAGTACTGATTTAACTGCATAATTCTGTGTGCATTTTTTGCATAATACACAGATTTTTTGCAAAGCAGTCTTTGCTAATACAATGCATTTCAAAAAATATTGTTTTAGCTAAGATATAAACTTTTATACACATTTTACCCTGCTATATATATTTCTGAGCCCATTCCTAGAACTACACTGCAAAATTCAGAGATGTGTGAATTTTGAAAGCTACCTGTGCGTCAATTCATATATTGTTTGGAAAAGAGCAGATTAGGCAGGTTTGCCTACCAATGCAAATAGAATTGAATTTCTCCCTCCCCCCATTAGCACAGGTTAGCCACCCTTGATCTATAGGGTTCAGCAGCAATTTTGAAACACGTTGAAAAAATTCCCCTGCTGATATTCACATATAACGTTTTTGACGAAATGTGAAATGACCAAGCGAGGCTGTTTGTTGTCCAAGAATCATGGCTGACATTGGAACATATGTGTTATTGGGTTGATGCCATGCAGATGACATAAAAGGGGACACCCTGATTGATATTGGAAGTGGACCGACCATCTACCAGTTCCTCTCGGCTTGTGAGTCCTTTCGAGAAATTGTCGCCACAGATTATTGCGATCAGAACAGGGAGGAGATGCAACGATGGCTAAGGAAGGAGCCAGGAGCTTTCGACTGGAGCCCGGTGGTGAAATATGTGTGCGAGCTGGAGGGTAACAGGTATGGAGAATTTGATGGGTTGCTTCCAACATAGATAAAAACATAATAACACATTAAACATTTCAAAAACTTCCCAATACAAGACTGCCTTCAGAAGTCTTCTAAAGGTTATACAGTTACTTATCTCCTTGGCTCAGGGGTTGCATAACTCCATACCCTCCAACATTTCTCCAAAGAAAATAGGGACATCCTAAGGAAAAGCGGGACATTCTGGGATCAAATCTATAACTGGGATGGCTTCTGTAAATCTGGGACTGTCCCTGGAAGTTAGGGACACTTGGGGGGTCCGGCATTGTGGGGCACGGGAATCTTTTCACATTCATCTTGCATTCTCCCTTAGGGAAAAGTGGGAAGAGAAGGAAGAGAAGGTCCGAAGAGCCATCAAGCAGATACTGAAATGTGATGTGACCCAGCCAAGCCCATTGGGCCCTGTGTCTCTGCCTCCAGCAGACTGCTTGCTGTCCTCCTTGTGCCTGGAAGGGGCCTGCAAAGACCTGGCCACCTTCCGCTCTGCTCTCAAGAACATCAGTTCCCTTGTCAAACCAGGGGGGCACCTCGTCTTATGCTCCATCCTAGAAGAAACCTACTACAAGGTGGGCCAGCGGCCCTTCTCCTGCCTCTACTTGGAGCGGGCATCTGTGGAGGAAGCCCTCAAGGGGGCAGGCTTTGCTATCAAGTGGCTCAAGGAGACCAAGATCAACTTGCCGCTCTCTGTGACAGACGCGAAGGCGGTCTGCGTTGCCGTGGCCCAGAAATGCCAGAATTGAAGGAAAGAACACTGAAAGAAAAGCAGGGCGGAGCAGGAAATATTTTGTGGTAGAATTTGTAAAAAACATTAGTTATTTCTTTAGAACTTTTATGTATGCGACAACAGCAGCTAAAATGTTATATGCACAGAAATGGAAAGAAGAGAAGGTTCTACCGAAGGAGGAGTGGCTTTTAAATTTAATGGACTAGGCAGAAATGGCAATGTTGACAGAGAAATTAAGAGATCAAGATGATGAACTGTTTATAGAAGAATGGAAGCCTTTTGTGGACTATTTAGAAAAAGATTACACTCAAATGAAATAGCGGGCAGGATTTGAGATTAAAGATATTATGGTATATGCTTTGATAGAGAATCTATATGGCAAGAAAATAGGGACGTCCAATTGTATATTGAGAATTTTACTATTTATACCCCATACATCTTACTGGGTTGACCCAGCCACTCTGGGCAGCTACCAACATATATAGAAACATAATAAAACATTAAACATTTTTAAAAAAACTTCCCTATACAGTGGTACCTCCTGTTGTGGATGGGATCCATTCCAGAGGTCCGGTCAGATCCCGAGGTTTCTGCAACCTGAGTACCGCTTCTGCGCATGTACGCACAGCCAAACCCGGTAAAATACTTCTGGGTTTGCCGCACACACATCCCGAAGTTTACGTAACCAGAGGGTTAGGTAAATGGAGGTACGACTGTACAGAATTGCCTTCAGATGGCTGAGTGGTCAGATAACTCCATACTCTCCAACATTTCTCCAATGAAAATAGGGACATCCTAAGGAAAATGGGACATTCCGGGATGAAATCAGAAACTAGGACAAATTCTCTAAATCAGGGACGTCTCTGGAAAATAGGGATAGTTGGAGGGTCTGATTTTGTGGGGTCCCCAGCAGCAGCTGCTGTTCTGTTTCACCAAGTAAAGTCACATCAAATATCAAAATGGTGTGTTTATTGAAGAAATCCATCACAAGTGAAGCTATATCTAGAACTATACCTGCTGTGAGCTGCTTCCGAAGGACAACAGACCTACATAAATGCTGCACCCTGGAACTGCCACACAGCTCAAAGAAGCAGGGCCAGTATAACATTATGCAAATAAGTTAATTATTTCCAGGTATTGTGATCCCAAAGTTTAAGTGTTTTTACTCAAAGGGACCTTAGGATTTAATGTCTCCGTTTCCAAGATAATAATTGTTTGCAGCAGATAATTTCTCAGACATAGGGGAGAAAAGGTTAGCTTACGAAAGATGTCCCAGAGGTAAACCTGGAAGATATTTAAAAGGTATTTGCTTGTTTGCTTGGTTTTTAGAGGGGCAGGAAGGCTGGAATTCTGGTGACTTCATTAAAGAAAAAAAAGAAGAAAAACCCCCTAACGACCCTAGATAGCAGAATAGGAATGCAAAGGTCGAGCCAGTAAACAAAACTCCCTATAAACTCTCCAAAAACCAAGCATTCAGCAGGTTTCAAAGTATTGTGCAAATGGCTTTCACCGAGAAAGACTTCTATGCTGGACATTTCAATCCAAAAGACTATTTGGACACCTATTACAACTTCAGCTCTGGAAAAGAAAACAAGAATGCCTTTTTGTTTTTCTTTCTGAAAAATCTCCACCAGGCATTCATTTTAGGTAAGTGCTGGTGTATTTCATGGGTTCCAGAGCTGTCACCAAACTGGGTTGCCTGGAAAGAGATCCCTGAAAGGGATATGAATGATCCATTTGATTGTCCTGAGTTGCCAGCCTCTGCGGAAGCCCATGGTGGGAGAGACCTTTAATACCAGGTGGATCTATAGCAGTGGTAGCTTTCCAGCTCCTGTTAGCCCCGGCCAACATGCGTCAATGCTCAGGGGAATGATAGGAGTTGTGGTTCAGCAACATTTAGAGGGCTGCAGGTTGCAATGGGCAAACCTGTCATTTGTTGTTTCTCATTCTTCCAGCCTTAGGCTCCATTCCCCACATTTCCACATTCCAGTTTGCAGGGGGAATAATTAATTTCTTATGAAAATGCATTAGCATTTTAGTGCAAACGTCTCCTAACAGACAGAATTCTGTGTGCAATTTTTGTATAATACACGGATTTTTGCAAAGCAGTTTTCCCTAATACCTTTCAAATATTGTTTCATAAAGACATGAACTTTTATGCACACTTTACCCTGCTATGTCTATTTTTGTACCCATGTCTTGACTGTAGATCTACACTGCAAAATTCAGAAATGTGTGAATTTTGAAAGCTACCTGTGCGTCAATTCATATATTGTTTTGAAAAGAGCAGGTTAGGCAGATTTGCCTACCAATGCAAATAGAATTGAATTTCTCCCTTCCCCCATTAGCACAGGTTAGCCACCCTTGATCTATAGGGTTCAGCAGCAGTTTTGAAACACTGTGAAAGCTTTCCCTTCTAATATTCACTTATAAAGTTGTTGACGAAATGTGAAATGACCAAGCGAGGCTGTTTGTTGTCCAAGAATCATGGCTGAAATCTGAACAAATGGGTAAATGGGTTAATTCCATGCAGATGACATAAAAGGGGACACCCTGATTGATATTGGAAGTGGACCGACCATCTACCAGTTCCTCTCGGCTTGTGAGTCCTTTCGAGAAATTGTCGCCACAGATTATTGCGATCAGAACAGGGAGGAGATGCAACGATGGCTAAGGAAGGAGCCAGGAGCTTTCGACTGGAGCCCAGTGGTGAAATATGTGTGCGAGCTGGAGGGTAACAGGTATGGAGAATTTTCTGGCATGGGACATTGAATGTGGAATTTTAAGACTCCGCGGCTCTCAGATACCCTCTGGAAGGAAGGTTGGTACAGCCATCACAGGTTCTTGTAGATCACAAATGAAACAAACAGAAATCAGGCACTGTAGTTTAGTTTCCCCAGTTGGTTTACGTGAGCACAGCAGCACAGCACCTTTACTGATCCAACGTCTAATAGGAAAATAACATCTGCAAAGCAGAAAAGCACATATAGAGTAAATTGCACCTCACTTGTAACTTGTAGGACACTGGCTCACCCTTTGAGATCCACAGCAACCAGGAATTATTCATACATTCAGCTGAGGATGTGGAGCGATCCTGAGATGTGCCTGGCTAGAATTAGGAACGTCTGAGGACAGGGGTTGGGCATTGTGGGGTGCAAGGATCCTGTCATGTTCATCTTTCATTCTTCCCCAGGGAAAAGTGGGAAGAAAAGGAAGAAAAGGTCCGAAGAGCCATTAAGCAGGTACTGAAATGCGACGTGACCCAGGCCAGCCCATTGGGCCCTGTGGCTCTGCCTCCAGCAGACTGCTTGATGTCCTCCCTGTGCCTGGAAGGGGCCTGCAAAGACCTGCCCACCTACCGCTCTGCTCTGAAGAACATCAGCTCCCTTGTCAAACCAGGGGGGCACCTCATCTTAGGCTCCGTCCTAAAAGAAACCTACTACAAGGTGGGCCAGCAGCCCTTCTCCGGCCTCTACTTGGAGTGGGCATCTGTGGAGGAAGCCCTCAAGGAGGCAGGCTTTGCTGTCAAGTTGCTCAAGGAGACCAAGATTGATTTGCCACTATCTGAGACAGACGCAAAGGCATTCGGCATTGTGGTGGCTCAAAAATGCCAGAGCTGAAGGGAAGACCACTGAAAGAATAACAGGGTGAAGCAGGGGTGTGTGTTTTTTGGGGGGGGTATATTTTGTCCTGGAGATTAGTTATTTCTGTAGAAAGTCTATGTATGTGATAACAGCATCTAGAATATTACATGCACAGCAATGGAAAGAAGAGAAGGTTCCACTAAAGGAGGAGTGACTTTTAAAATTAATGGACTATGCAGAAATTAGAGTTGCCATACGTCCAGAATTTCCCAGACGTATCTGGAATGCTGCAGTCAGAAATAGTGCCTGGGCAGAAATTAGAGAAATGTCTGGGAAAATCTGGACGTATGGCTTCCCATGTTGACAGTGCCCGTTTTGCCGATTTCCCTTAAAAATAGCTCAGAAATGGCCATTTAAAAAATAAATAAATAAATATGGCAACTCTAGCAGAAATGGCAATGCCGAAAGGGAAATTAAGAGATCAAAATGATGAACTTTTTATAGAAGAATGGAAGCCTTTCATGGACTATTTAGGGGGGGAGATTACAGTCAAATGAAATTGTGGGCAGGATTCAAGATAAAATCAGCGGAATAAAAATGACAAATAATTGTAATATAGAAACCTATTGTAATAAAGATATAACGCAATAGAAAAGGTTTGAGTAAAAACACTGAGGAGCTGAGACAGGTAAGTCAGCTTATGAAATAATGTAATTATTTGATTTGAAGGTTATTGTAAAAATGTTTGGGGGAAAAATAAAAGAATTGTATGTTAAAAAAAGGGAAAGAAAGTCACCCGGCCTAGCACAGGAATTAGAAGCCACATGTGTTAAGTTGTGGGTGAACATATCAGACGACACAGTGATTCTTCAGACAGCTCTTGTTTATTCACAGGCCAGAACTGAACTGAACTGAAGGGTTCAGTCAGCGTGCTTATATAGAACTCCAGTACAATGTAACTGTAACAATTTTCTAAAACTATCCAATCACTGAACGTCACTTTCGATCCCTTATTTGTATAACTATCTACAGTATCCTCCTGCTGGCCCAGGGTGAGAACCTCAGTACATAACAACTTGTGTCCTCCCTCAGGCTTACAAACCAAAGCAGGGATGGGGATCCTGTGGCTCCCCATTCAGATTTTGTTGGACTACGGTTCCCATCAGGCCCATCAACCAGCATGACCAAAGGTCAGGGCTTGTGGGAGTTGTAGTCCAACACCATCTAGAGCAGCAGTAGCCAAAATTTTGGAACCAATGGGCCCATATCACATTCTTAGGGAGTGCTGGGGTACTAGTCACAAAATGGCTACCATGTAGGGGTATGGCATAGCAAAAAATTTAGAGCTGACAACTTTATGCTTACTGTGGGAAGTTAGCTATGTTGTGCCGGTCCTGATTGTGGAGATCACACAACAATTATCTCCCTCCCCACCCACACATTGATGTCATTGCTGTCCAACAATAACAGTACCAGGAAAAATATACATGCTGGCCACACCAAACTCATTTCACAGAAATTGCCTAGAAGGTACCTGCACATTTAGCCCCATAACTTTCTTTCAAGAAAAGAAAGCTCAGAAGTTGGGTCACCTTTCCTGGGGTACCAATGAAAGCCTTTACAGATGCCATGGCACCCATGGGTGCTGGGTTGGTGACCCAGGGTTTAGAGAGCCCCAGGGTTCCCTGACCTAAAGTGGTCAAATCAATGAAATCAATATTCATAAGTACCCAGGGTGTCCACACACCATCTTTTGCACTGGGCCCCAAACTTGAAAAAGTTTTTTTTTGTTTTGTTTTTTAAGCCAAACATGACTTACCAATAGCTGGGCCTGCTGCAAAACATTGTGTCTGTTGTTGGGACTCCTACCCACTGACCTTCACTCACTCAGAGGCCTAAACCTGTATCTGTTAAGTTGTGGGTGAACATATCAGCGATTCTTCAAACAGCTCTTGTTTATTCACAGGCCAGAACAGAACTGAGCTGAAGGGTTCAGCCAACCTGCTTATATAGAGCTCCACTACAAAGCAACAGTAACAACTTTCTGTAACTATTCAATCACTGAACGTCACTTTGAATTCCTTATTTGCATATGTGGACCTGAGTGAAAACTATCTACAGTATCCCCCTGTTGGCCTAGGGTGAGAACTTCAGTACATAACAGTATCTACACTTAAAAAATTAGCACGGGGAAAGGTGTGCTATTTAAATGCCCTGCAATGCCCCTGGCAGGGAGTGAAAGGCACTCTGCACATCCACAGAGGTGCTCTCTTCTTCCTTGACCTCGTGCCGCAGGGCTTGTGGCTGATGCGGAAGACAGATCAAGGAGCTAAGCTGCAATGAGGACGTGTTGCACAGGGGAAGCCCTGCCTGGCTGTTGTCAGGAGATGATGTCCTCGCTTTGCCCATCTTTGCAACTCGGGAGGACAGAAGTGGTGGCTCCTCCTTGGTGGAGAAGAGCTGAGCTAAGCAATGGGGACCGTGGTTGCCATGTGGTTTTCATCTGCAGCGCTAGGTGGAGCTGAATTGGGGTGTTGAGCTGCCAGATTCATAGCATAATATTTTTCTTTGCGAAGCATCCAGAGGCCAGCGTCCCCTGGGCTGAGGCCCCCTGTCCTGATGAGTTCCTGGAAGCACAATTTGTGCTTGCACAATAAAAGTGTTTATGGTACCCCTTCTAGACTGAACACAGACATGGATCTGAAACTATGGCTTCCGCTATTTGTTTTTCTTTAATATCTGCTCCTGCGTGGGAGCAGTGCTTTGCTGAGCCTGGTTTTGATTTTCAGGCTTACTGCTTCCTAGGGAGCATTCATCCATCAGGCAAGAAGCTCTTAAAGCTTGAGGGATGGGGACGCTCTATGGTCAGAGTAAATTATGGTACACTGTTGTGCCCATCCTTTCAACATTTCTCCGATGAAAATAGGGACGTCCTATTCCATAGTAGGGGACGCGGGTGGCGCTGTGGGTAAAACCTCAGCGCCTACGACTTGCCGATCACATGGTCGGCGGTTCGAATCCCCGCGGTGGGGTGCGCTCCCGTCGTTCGATCCTAGTGCCTGCCAACCTAGCAGTTCAAAAGCACCCCCAGGTGCAAGTAGATAAATTGGGACCGCTTACCAGCGGGAAGGTAAACGGCGTTCTGTGTGCTGCGCTGGCTCGCCAGATACAGCTTTGTTACGCTGGCCACGTGACCCGGAAGTGTCTGCGGACAGCGCTGGCTCCCGGCCTATAGAGTGAGATGAGCGCACTACCCTAGAGTCTGGCAAGACTGGCCCGTACGGGCAGGGGTACCTTTACCTTTATTCCATAGTAGCAGCAGCAGCAGCAGTAATAATAATAATTTTATTATTTATATACCACCCATTAAACATTAAAAAAATATTCCTATACAGGACTGCCTTTAGATGTCACCTAAAGGTCGTATAATTACAGTGGTACCTCGGGTTACATACGCTTCAGGTTACAGACTCCGCTAACCCAGAAATAGTGCTTCAGGTCAAGAACTTTGCTTCAGAGTGAGAACAGAAATTATGTGGCAGCAGCGCGGCAGCAGCAGGAGGCCCCATTAGCTAAAGTGGTGCTTCAGGTTAAGAACAGTTTCAGGTTAAGAACGGATCTCCGGAACGAACTAAGTACTTAACCCAAGGTACCACTGTACTTATTTCCTTGGCTCGGGGGTCACATAACTCCGTACCCTCCAACATTTCTCCCATGAAAATAGGCACATCCTAAGGAAAAGTGGGACATTCCAGGCTCAAATAAGAACCTGGGACAGTAAATCCGGGGCTGTCCCTGGAAAAGAAGGACGCTTGGAGGGTCTGTTGTGTTTAACCCAGCACTCCACACAGTACGTCATTCGGAGAAACAGGCTTCCCCATTACAGAACATGAGCAAAACACTAAGGCTGACGCCTTCTCCCATTGCTGACAGGAGTAAGACCCTGCCAGGATATTACAGCTGTGCTTAGAGACCTGCACTGGCTGCCAATTTGCTACCAGATGCTTGCTAAAGACATTCTTGTTTAGATAAGCCATCCCAGATGTTAAGGAGGTTGAGGTGAGTTTTAATTTGTTTTAGCCTATTCTTGCTTTAACTTTTCTTATGTTTTCAATTATTGTCATAAGCTTTCCTTGTGATAATTTTCTTGATTTATCTCTTTTGCAAAATAATTCCCTCCCCATACCATCAAGCAGTGTTTATGTTTTATGAAATAAATAAAATAGTGCTTCTGGTACTCTTAAGATAGTCTACCTCTGAACTTGGGAGTTCCATTTATTTATCATGGCTAATATTAATTTAAAGGCACATCTTACGTGAATGCTTCTCACTTTTATAAGCTCACCTGTTGTTTGAAACTTGAAACACCAATCCTGGTAAGGATTTGATTGCCAAAAGAGCCAGAAAGTAATTTGTTGGCTTATCGCCCACTCGCTAATTGAAATCCTTAGCATGGTTTTAGGAATGAAGGCCACTGGATACTTCTTGGCCTTTTGCATTTATTCACAAATAAATACCCCCAGCAGATGGCCAACATCGCCCACCATGCCCCTTTCCCCTGACATCCCCCATGCTTCTGACCTTTGTGTGCTGAGCATGAAAGTCTAAAGAGGGTGTTATGTACTGAGTTGAATAGGATTCAAAATGCAGCAGTCTGATTGGTCCTAGAACAATAGGATTCAGAATGCGGCAGTCTGATTGGTCCTAGAACAATAGGATTCAGAATGCGGCAGTCTGATTGGTCCTAGAACAATAGGATTCAGAATGCGGCAGTCTGATTGGTCCTAGAACAATAGGATTCAGAATGCGGCAGTCTGATTGGTCCTAGAACAATAGGATTCAGAATGCGGCAGTCTGAGTGGTCCTAGAACAATAGGATTCAGAATGCGGCAGTCTGATTGGTCCTAGAACAATAGGATTCAGAATGCGGCAGTCTGATTGGTCCTAGAACAATAGGATCTAGAATGCAGCAGTCTGATTGGTCTGCAGGAGCCACCCAATCCAACTCCAGGTGGAAGTGAATCCGCAACCTGATTAGCCTACAGGAGAATCCCAGAATTAGCCAATCACATGGGGCCCATTGTGTAAATAATGTATATAAAGCAGACACTTCGGGGGAACTTCCATTCCTCACTACTATGAGCTGAATAAAGAACATGAAATCCACACTCGACTCGGAGTATATTTCAGGTGGACTCTGGCCATGTTCAGTTGAACGCACCTTAGAGTCCCTTGCGCCCTTGGCAAGGAGCTATATAGACATCACCCTGAAAAAAATCACTTTACTGCAATAGCCACATTAGAAATTACTACATTTTGTGAGACCCAACTACTTCAAAGCCTCCAGAGTGAGGGCAAGGCGAGGAGGAAGGGTGAAAAAAAACCTGCACGCCTTTGTGCCATGGTGCAAGAAGGACGGGACGTTTGATCTCTTCGTGGTGCAGATCCACACACATATATATGTCATAGACTCCATAGTCTCAAGCGGTCTTCCTTCATACCACCTTGACATTTCTTCTACTGCTCAGCTCCCAACTCTCGTGTAAACTCATGGCCTTGCACAAATAACTGGAGACAGCTTTCTGGGTGATTTTTGCATACACACCTGAGTTTGCACCCCTGGCGAGGCCAGTTTCACCAGCCCCTAGGTATTGGATATTGGATAGCTTTAGCATCCTCAGGAATCAAAGGTTTTGTGACACTCTTGTAAGAAATGTATACTTCTTTGTGCATTCAGCAATTTCCATAGGTGTGTGCGTGTGTGCTTAGAAATGACCATACAGTCAGGAACTATGTTCTCTGTTCTCCTCTTCAAGCCCTCAAAGCAGGACTTGGGCTTCTGTCTTTCTTGGTTTCCTTGACATTGCAGTCTCCTCTTTTGTTTCTTTCACAGACTCCAAAGCTGCAACGTCCGTTACTGGGTTTGCAAGGGCAAGAATGTAACTTCCTGCAGCGATGCAGTCCTTGGGTCACTCTGTAAAGGAATCCACCAGACTGTGGATTCCGAAGTAAACTCAGGATCCAATCCAGGGGCTTGATCTGACCAGATTGCATCAAATGAGCCCACTTTGGAATCTGAGTTCAACAGATTCCCCAACCCTCATCCCCAGGGCTGTGGAACTGGCATGACCCCAGATATTGTTGGATCACAGCTCACATCACCTCTGACAACTGGCCATTGGAAGATGGAGCCTGACAACATCTGGAAGGCATTTAGCTAAAAGCCGCAATATACTATCTGAAACAGGAAAACATTGTTTAGAACCAGAGTCCCTCATCCTCAAGACAATGATCTGTCTGTGTGCTCAGCAAGTGAGACTGTGACTGAGAACCAGCTGGAGTTATCTCTCTAATTGCCCCCTTCTACACGCTTGCCTTCTGAACATGTGTGGTCACAGATTCATGTTTTTGTCATGTGCAAATGGACACATGAATGGGGGGGGAGCATTTCCTGGTGCTCCCATCAAGTGGTCATTTGTGAATAATGTTTGATCCAGAGCTATGCTGTAGTAGGTCTGTCTAGTCTGGTATTCAGCTTCCAAACAGTGTCCATTGAGATGCTTCTGAGAATAACACATGAGCAAAACACTTTGGCCGAACCGCTCCGCTATTCCTCCAGTTATCTGGTACTCTGTGATACACAGCCTCTAGGCATGGGTGTTCCATTTACAGTGGTACCTTGGGTTAAGTACTTAATTTGTTCCGGAGGTCCATTCTTAACCTGAAACTGTTCTTAACCTGAAGCACCACTTTAACTAATGGGGCCTCCTGCTGCCGCCGGAGCATGATTTCTGTTCTCATCCTGAAGCAAAGTTCTTAACCCGAGGTACTATTTCTGGGTTAGCAGAGTCTGTAACCTGAAGCGTATGTAACCTGAAGCGTATGTAACCCGAGGTACCACTGTATTTATATTGGTTAATACTAATTGAAAGGCACACCTTCCATGAATATTTCTAATTTTTTAAGCTAACCTATTTTTCTTTTTTAAGAAACACACCAAAAAAACACTGATCTTGGTAATAGAGAGGTAAAGTTGTGATTGTCGTAAGAAACAGCAAATAATTTGTTTGTTTACAGCCCACTAACTAACTGAAATCCTTAGCACGGACAATTCTGTCAAATTTTGTTTTCTCTCAGTTTCTAATTTTTTGCCTTAAATTAAATTCTTTACATTTCTGCAGCAATTTTCAGTTAAAAAAAAACAAAACAAAAAAACCAACCAGGGTTGAGCCACCCTGCTAAATATTTATCCTGCTGTTTTGCTGCAGCTTCAATTTAATTTTGATTTCCTACTGATGGCGGATTTGCTGCCCGGTCAAGTACAAGGAGTTACCATTAGTATACTAAGCTCTATACTATTAGTATACCAGCTTGCTGGCAGGATCGCCGAGCCCCACACGTGACAATTTGGCCACTTTGATTGGTTGAAGCCACATGATGCCTGTTCCATATTTGTAAGAACTGGATAATTTAGTATAGGCAGCACCTATACTCCCTACTGAGAATACAGTGGTACCTCGGGTTAAGTACTTAATTCGTTCCAGAGGTCCGTTCTTAACCTGAAACTGTTCTTAACCTGAAGCACCACATTAGCTTATGGGGCCTCCCGCTGCTGTCGCGCTGCCACTGCATGATTTCTGTTCTCATCCTGAAGCAAAGTTCTTAACCCGAGGTACTATTTCTGGGTTAGCAGAGTCTGTAACCTGAAGCGTATGTAACCTGAAGCGTATGTAACCCAAGGTACCACTGTATTTTAATCTCTTGCTAACTATGCTGTTTTAAATGCACATTTTATACTTGACATCCTTTGGCAATGTTTTCTTTTGAATTTTGTTTGTTAACTTTGCTATGTTAAATGTGCATTCTGTAGTTGACCTCCTTTGCAACATTTTACCTTTAAGATAATATTTTAGTTTCCTGTTAATTATGTAGCCTTTGATCTTTTAATGTGTTGTAAACTGCTTTGAGATTTTTTTCCTTAAAAATATAATGTGGTATAAACAAGAAATGAATAATTATATTGATGCGCTCGCTGCATTGATGCAGCTACCGCCTGGATCGTTTGACTGATGTGAAACCGAAGCACGCTGACGGCCATCACTATCTAAATAAACCGAACAAACCAACTTTCCTCCAGTTCTAGTTGCTAGGGAAGGAAAGGATAACATGCAGCAAGATTCATCTGTTCATTCATTTGTTTTATTGGGTTATGTGTCACCATGCTCTTGAAGCATGCAAAGCATGATTGAGTAGGGTGGGTTCCCCCCCCCCAAAAAAGAAAGCAAAGCAATTAATCAGAGATAGTACAAAAGAGCCCTCCCACTTCAGAAAAACTGCGGCTTTGTAGCATTGTCTCTTTGAACTGACAATTTTGCTGGTGGATCGTGACTACTTGGATCAGGACGCCCTTGTAAGAATACGCTGCATCCACTCCCAAGGGCCATCACAGGAGCACTCTCTGAGAGGAAGCGTGAGGGACATCTCCTCTTAGGGTTTATTTTTCGAACCGACAGCAACAATCACTATAATAATCACGAACATAATTGCTCCAATGACAATCCCAATGATATTCAGGATGCGGGCCGTGCGGGAAGAGCTTGCGGCTTGATTGATGTTTCCTTCATTGCTGGCGCTTCTCGCCTGGGGAAGGAGAGAGAAATTAATGCCTTGAGCATTGTTTTAACTGTGGAAAGATGGCATACAAATAAAATGATGATGATGATGATGATGATTCTTGCCACCGGTCATGCTCCCCTAAATCCACCTCTGTAATAACATCCGGTTATCAGCTCTAGGAAGCAGAGGTGCCAGCTTGCGAGGGCGATTCGGGGAGGAATTATTATTATTATTATTAATACCCCGCCCATCTGGCTGGGTTTTCCCAGCCACTCTGGGCAGCTCCCAACAGAATATTAATAATAATGATAATAAAGTAATAAAACATCAAACATTAAAAACTTCCCTAAACAGGGCTGCCTTCAGATGTCTTCTAAAAGTCGAAGAGTTGTTTATTTCCTTGCCATCTGATGGGAGGGCGTTACACAGGGTGGGTGCCACTATCAAGAAGGCCCTCTGCAATGTTGTACGCATGATGTCAGGACGTCGGGAGGAGCTGGGGGTGGAGGCAAACATGGTGGCCACACGGCTTCAGTGGCCGGCAGCTCCTCCTTTTCCTTATGTTGGCAGTGCCACTAGTGAGAGGCTGCTTCGACCCCCTCCTCCACGGAAGGAAGAGGAGGGGAAGGAAGTGGCCACTGAAGCCCTGCCACAGTTGTCTCCATGTTTTGCCTCTGTGCCTTCTGTCTTGGGGGCCTGGGCCTTAACCCAAAAATATAGGCGGGGGGTCAAAAGGGCTGGCACCCTTGCTAGGAAATATCCCAGCTAAACAAAGAGGCTAATTTTTATTTGGTGTATTGTGGGAGTCTATACTTCTCTCCTTAACTCTAGCTCACCCAACAGTGCAGAAGTGCAGCGTAAAGAAAAGGTATACTTCTAAGGAACAAGTTAGGTCTGGGATTTCCCAGACATATCTGGGATTTGTCCATTGGAAATAGCGTCCGGATGGAATTTCTGAAAATTGGTAAAAAAATGTCTGGGAAAACCCAGGGGTATGGCGGCCCACGTCAGAAGTTCCCATGTCCAGATTTTCCCTTTTTTGAAATGGGGTAACCCTAAGAAAAGTGAATGGGATGCGGGTGGTGCTGTGGGTTAAACCACAGAGCCTAGGGCTTGCCGATCAGAAGGTCGGCGGTTCGAATCTCCGCAACGGGGTGATCTCCCGTTGCTTTGTCGCAGCTTCTGCCAACCTAGCAATTCAAAAGCACGTCAAAATGCAAGTAGATAAATAGGTACCGCTGTGGTGGGAAGATAAACAGTGTTTCCATGCACTGCTCTGGTTCGCCAGAAGCGGCTTAGTCATGCTGGCCACATGACCTGGAAGCTGTACGCCGGCTCCCTCGGCCAATAAAGCGAGATGAGCGCCGCAACCCCTGCAAAATAATTCTGCTGAGGGCATTGGAAAACAGCAAGAAGGGAAGCCTGGAGGGGAAGGTTATCTGCCAGCTCCCAACTTGTCCAAATGCTCTTCCTTCCTTAAGATCTCCTCCTTTTTTTATAACACTCTTACCACCACTGCTTCTGGAATGGGTGTAAACTTGGTGGAGCTGGAGACGAGACCTGGGAGCGTCTCTTTCCAGTATCCTGATCCATTGTGATGTTCCAAATCCATCAAACCTCCTTTGGGGAAGGTTCTCAGGCAGGGTGGAAGGAGAAAGAACTTGCCCATGTGAAGACCACCTGGTGGAAACCCTTACACATATGGTTCTTAATTGTAAACTATATGCTGATCTCCATCAGCAATTTCTAGATCAACTCTGCATCCCCAAATGGAAACCAGAGTTGGAGGTCATACATTTTATATTACTGGGGAATGATCAGGAGCTCACCAAGTTAGTGGCTAAATATCTCTATTTGGTTTTTTGTCGTTGAAATACACTGCAGACGTCTTATCTCCCTGGAGACCTAGAGATGTGACGATAGACTGTTCCGCGCCTTTCTTTTAGCAAATGTTTTGTGCCACTGGGGAAGTGGTAATTCTGTATTGATTTGTTTTGGATGTTTGGATGTGATGCCAATAAAAGGTTTGATGATGGTTGTGATGTTCTCCACCCAACTGATGTCCCAAGCACAATGGGAGACCTGTGGGCCCAGAGTTCTGGGGCAGACTAGAATTTAAGGCCAGGTCTTGGAGAAAGACCAGATCCAAAGGCACCCTGTGGCAAAGGCAAAACAAGCTGCAGCAATTCAGTGCCCCCTGGATTTCGAGAAGCATCCCTGGAAAACACAATGTTATGCCCTCCAACATTCCCAAGATAAAAACAGGGACATTCTATCAGTATCACTGCTTTGAGCATTTCCTTCTGGTCAGTAAAGGTAAAGGTACCCCTGCCCGTACGGGCCAGTCGTGTCCGACTCTAGGGTTGCATGCTCATCTCGCTCTAGAGGCTGTGAGCCGTCCGAAGACACTTCCAGGTCACGTGGCCAGCGTGACGAAGCTGCAGCTGGCGAGCCAGCACCAGCGCAGCACACGGAAACGCCGTTTACCTTCCCGCTATAAAGCGGTCCCTATTTATCTACTTGCACTTAAGAGTGCTTTCGAACTGCTAGGTGGGCAGGAGCTGGGACCGAACGACAGGACCTCACCCCGCTGCGGGGATTCGAACCGCCGACCGTATGATCGGCAAGTCCTAGGCACTGAGGTGTTACCCACAGCGCCACCTGCGTCCCTTCTGGTCAGTACAAAAGCTATTAGAGGAAACACGCAAAACAGCAGTATTTTAAACACCAAAATATTTGTATTTATGTATTGCCTTTAAGGATGCCTGAGGGGAAAAGGGAACTCTTATCAGTAAATACAGCTAATTAGCAGTGATACTGATGTGGACTGGAACAGCTCTGTTTTCATCTGTTGAATGTGGGAGGGTATGCAATGTTTTGCCGCTGATTTACTTTATCTGTCCTGATTTGATTGTATGGGTGGATCTAGCAATGTTCCTTACAGCTTTAAGTTGTTTGTCCTCCTCCTTGGGGTCATTTGCAGCAAAGGGAGTATTTGGCAGAGCTCCTCAGCCAAGAATGTTGGGGCTGTCGGATCTGCCTTGGGAGCACACAGTCCGCATGGGAGAAAAACCTCGCCTAAATTTTTGGAAAAGCATAGTTGTCTCCCTTTCCGACGCTCTCCCTCATCCATCCACTTTGTTTAAAAGAACCATACGCTGTTAAGCCATTTTGGAGCTGTGTGAAAAGCTTTTATATTTATTATTCTTATTAGTAAGCTGGTGTACATAGTTTGCCCACTCCTCAATTAATCCCCACAGCAACCCTGTGAGGTAGGTTAGGCTTATAGCTGTCAACTTTTCCCTTTTTCTTGCAAGGAATGCTATTCAGAATAAGGGAATTTCCCTTTAAAAAAGGGAAACGTTGACAGCTATGGTTAGGTTGAGAGTGAGTGACTTGCTCAAGGTCAGCCAGAGAGTCACTCTTCATGGAAGAGTGGGGATTCGAACTCTAGTCCTAGTCTGACACTCCTTAACGGCTACACCACACTGGCTCTCTATTTATGACCACATTTGATCGTTGTTAATAGAAAGCAGAAGCGGAACTTGCAAAGCTGCCTTGCATAGAGTCGATTGAGCCATCCAACTCAGTATCACCAACTACACAGCAGTCTTCACCAGACTGGTACCCTCCAGCCTCTCTTGGGCACTGGACTGATGGAGTTGTAGTCCAAAACACCAGGAGGGCACCAAGGCTGGTTGAGACTGACTAGCTAACAGTGCTCCATGGTTTCAACAGGAGTCTTCCCCAGCCCTTCCCAGAGATGCTGCCTGGGATTTGAACCCAAGACCCATGACAAGCAATGCCATTGCTCTACCAGTGAGTTGCAGCCCTTCCCAGTGAGGCCAGGTGGCAAAGCCCAACACTACCTGACAGATCACAGGCTGCCCGCAGCCTTAGGGAGAGGCTAGTCCTAGGGATATGCAGAGGTTCTCTTTTCTAAGCCACCAGGACTGCGAAAGGCAAGCATCTGTTAAGCTGGAGTGATTTCCCACCCCCCACCCCCCTTCCTAATGAAATAGTTAGCATCTGTATTGAATTTGAAACTGTTCCTGATGGGTGCAGTTGTTTCAACTGTTTTTATGCACGCAATTGTTTTGTGCATCTTTTAATTGCATTGTGAAATCGCTTCCAGCCCTCCAGTCTCCAGAAATTTGCAAAATGGATTCCCAAGTGGCATTTTGTATTTTTTTTTAAAATTAATATTTATTAAAGTTTCAGAAAGAATAAAATCACATTGATAAACAAGAAAATTTTAACAAAAACAAAGAAAAATACACCATACAAAATACAAAGTACAAAATAGGAGAAAGTAAAAAAAGAAGAAATAAAAAGAGAAAAAACAGTTTAAAATAGTTCCATCCTTTCATAACCTCTTTTAAATTTACTTGTTTCCCGGACTTCCTCATACCTCCCTCTTTTGTATTCCAATTCAATTTGTAATCCCAGCAATTTCTTTCCCTCCTTTTTAATTCCAGTCCTAAATCATAATATATTATAACATTAATTGAACCAATTTTTCCATTTCTCTTAGTCTTTTTGGTCCTAATCCTTAATCTTGATATGTTTATAGCTTTAAAACCTGTTCAGCTAGAAGCCACTTAACTTCAATCCAACATCACTCTAACATTCGTTGATTTTGCAATGTTTCTGTAAATAATCTTTAAATTTCTTCCAATCTTCTTCCACCGACTCTTCTCCCTGGTCACGGATTCTGCCCAAGTGGCATTTTCTAAACTCTTTCTCCTGGTTCCGATTCTCTCATTTGCAGCAGACACACCAGACAGCTCCGTAAGCCAAGAACAGTGTGTGTGTTTGGCATGTGGGCAGGGAGAGTGCTTTTGTTTTTCAAACCCTGCCAGAGTCAATCTTTTCTCCAGATGCTCTCATGGCCCATGCATCTGTGGGGTTTAAGAAACACGCCGCACCCCACCCCTGGCCAGTGGCTTAGGGCAAAGCATTAAACATTTATAATTTGATTATAGATCGATCCATCTTTTTCCACACTGCAAAGCTGTGTTTTAGAATCATAGAATGCTGGAACTGTAGTATTGGAAGGGACCCTGGAAGTCATCTAGTCTGACCCCCTGCAGTGCAGGAATCTCAACTAAAGTATTTGTGGCAGCTGGCGACCCAACCTCTGCTTAAAAACATCCAAGGAAGGAGAGTTCACCACCTCTCGTGGGAGTCTGTTCCACTGCCAAACAGCTCTTGCCATCAGAAAGTTATTCCTGGTGTTTAGTTGGAATCTCCATTCTTGTGACGTGAAGCCATGAGTTCGAGTCTACCCTCCAGAGCAGGAGAAAACAAGCTTGTTCCCTCTTCCATGTGACAGCCCTTTAGATGCCTGAAGATGACTAACATATCTCTTCTCGGTGTCAGGGGGAGTGTTACCTCAACCAGCACAGGCTGAATCCCTCTTCCCTGTTCTGCCTTCTGACTGACCAAGAGCAGCTCTATCTTGTATGGATTAAGTTTCCATTTGCTCACTCACATCTAGTCCACCACTGATGACAAACACCAGTTTAGAAGCAAGGCAGCTTCTGTGGATTCAGGTGGGGAGGAGAAATAGAGCTGGGTGTCATCAGCATATTGATGACACCCAACCCTGAAGCTCTGGACAACCTCTCCCAGTAGTTTCATGCAGTTGATAAATAGTATAGGGAACAGAACAGAACCCTGAGGGACCCCACAGCCAATGTCCAAGGTGTCAAACAGGAGCCCCCCCCCACACTTTCTGGGTTCACTCCTCCAGGAAGGAACAGAACCACCATAGAAGAATGCCTCCAAGTCCCATCCCACCAGCGTGGTCCAGAAGGATACCATGGTTGATGGTACTGAAAGCTGCTAATAGAAATGTGTGTTGTTCCCAACAGCCAATATTGGCATCTTCCAACCCTGCACCAAACTTCTGCAGAGAATTTAAAAAAAGGGGGGAGCACAGATAAAATCTACTAGCAATTCCAAAATTCATGAATGTCTTTAATTTGCAAAGCAATGTACTATGCTGCTTGCGTCTTTGACGAATATTTTCATGCCTGCCAACACCAAAAGCCCTCCACAACATCCAGACACAAACCACCCCACATGCAAAAACGCAAAGCCCTTTTACAAATCCATTCTCCAGGGCAGTTAGAAATCTGTGATCAAACGTTTCATGTTGAGGAAATTGTTGGAATTTTTAGTGGAGGAAGACACTGTGCATAAAGTACGCACAAGCGTACTAAACATTCACACATGTGCACATTTCCTGACTGATAGGCCGCAGACAGTGAGAATGGGCCCTTACTATTCTTCTACTCTAGTATTAAGCACAGGAGCCCCTCAGGGATGTGTGCTAAGTCCCTTTCTCTATTCCCTGTACACATTTGATTGCACCCCACTGTATGAGTCCAACACAATCATCAAATTTGCGGATGATACAACAGTGGTGGGGCTCATTAGTGAGAACGATGAGACTGCTTATAGGAAAGAAGTACAGGGGTTAATTCAATGGTGTAAAGAAAACAATCTTATGCTTAACACCAAAAAAACCAAAGAACTCATAATTGACTTTAGGAGAAAGAAAAGCGTATTTTTACCATTGCACATAAATGGCGAGGAGGTGGAGAGGGTTGGTAGTTTTAAATACCTGGGCACTTACATCTCTGAGGACCTCTCATGGACTGTAAATATTAATATGGTTGTGAGGAAGGTGCAGGGAGGTTGTATTTCCTGAGAATGCTCAGGGGACTGAATCTATCTCAGCACCTACTTCTGTCCTATTATCACAGTACCATCGAGAGTGTCTTAACATATAGTCTATTATCGTGGTATGGGAGCAGCTCTGAAACGGATAAAAAGCTTTACAGAGAATAATTAAAATTGCCCAGAATGTTATTGGGCTCCAACTACCAACCCTGGATGAGATCTTCACGTCTCGCACTTTGAAGAAGTCACACAATATCCTGAGAGATCCCACCCATCCTGCTCACAACTTCTTTGAACTGTTGCCTTCGGGCAGAAGATATAGGACAATGAAAACACGAACCACACGCCTTCTGAATAGTTTCTATCCAAGAGCTCTGATTGCACTAAATAATGATCTCAGGGCCAGTTGCAAGGAATAGCAAGCAGGGAGTAGGAAGGAATGAGACAGGTTTTTAGGTTATGTTATGCTTTTAATAGGTTATGTTACATTCTGGAGTATGATATGTTTTTATAGATTATGTCTGAATAGGATGAGAGTGTTGGAGATACGTGCAAATGTGTATGTGAACCCGGTCTTCGAGTGGGTGTTTGATTTTCGTTGTTGTGTATACTGTGTATATACGGACAATGACAATAAATTTATCTAGCATCTAGCATCTAGCATCTAACATATAAATGCAAACATCCCTCCTCTGCCCGATGGATGTTTTTAAGAGCTGGATGTTCAGCATTCTCTTATGCAGAGTGAGGCAAAGAACCCCAAAGTAGACTTACCTGGAGAGAGAAGACAAGAGCTGCGATTCCAAGTGGCAGACAGCAACACAGCAGGTTGAAGATAGAAAGGGCAAGGTACGAATTAACATTTCTCTGGGATGCTTCCATCTTCAGAGGTGATCTTGTCTTGAAGAGCTCTCTCTGCTGCTGGGCTTTGACCAAAAACACTGATGCCAGCAAAAGCTTGACTTCAGTCTTATCCCACGCTGGGGGAGTAGCCACTGGGAATGAACACCCGTCTGATGCTCCCAAGCTCAGAGACCAGTGCAGGACTTAGAAACAGCTCTTTAAAAAGCAAGGAAATCAAAATTGCACAATGAACACAGTTATTTCTGGGGAGGAAGAGAGCAGGGAGGGGTGACTGGGAGGGTGCTGGCAGTAAGCTGAGGCCAACCCATGGGCTGGGAAAGCAGAACCCTTCTGAACTGGCATCCCAGAGAGTTTCGCTTGGTTTAATTTACATCAGGTTCCCCCAAAATCCTGGGGAATTTATCCTTCTGAGTATTTGGTCGACAATTCCTCCAACCTGGGGAATTGTGGTTATCCTACCAGCCAGCCCTCAGGTCTGTGGCTGCCGTTGCTGAATGCCAGGTCAGCTCTGAATAAGACCTCCAAAATCCATGATCTCACCCCCATCTGTGCCCACCTGGGTACTCAGGGCAGCATCAGGGCAGACTGGAGGATCAGGGACGGGGAGTTGCTGTAGTCTACAGAGATTCTATCTCTCTCTCCAGGATCTCTTTCCAGTTGTGTGGGGAATCTAGAGTGTGTATTCCTGGCACTGGACAATCGGAACAGATGAGAGATTCCTCTGGTTTACTGCCCACCTCACTGCCCAGCAGTCTCCCTGCCTGAACTGACAGAGCTGGTCTTGGAGGCAGTGTTGAGGACTCCCAAGCTGCTGGGCTCAGGACTGGCTCAGGACTTCATGGCTGCCATGACGACCATGCAGCTGTCCCAACGTGTCATTGGACCAACATATGTGGCAGGCCACACTCTGGACTTTGTTTTCTCAACTGGCCAGGAAGAGGGTGGTTTGGATGGCATGCATATCTTTGGTATGGAAAAATCAAAGTACATAAGGGATTCCTGAACCATGTTGTAAGAAAATCAATTTATGCTATATGGGAAAAATCTAAAAATCTTTAGAAGGTAGAACTCCATGGTGGTTATCACCATTAGAAGCAATATCAGTTTTTTAAAAAAATGAAGGTGAATGGGCAACTTACAAAGAGCTATTAACCGAAGTAGGAAACCAATTGAAGGTGAAAAAAATTGAGGATATAAGACATTTATTAACAGATTAGTTACAATACCACCTACTAAATGGTTTAGGTTGGTCAAAGGAGTGGGTTTCAGTAAAGAACTGTCAAGGTTTGAAAAGGATTTGTGGGGAAATAATGAGAAACTATTGTTTAAAAAAATGTACAAACTGTTGTTGGAATGGGAAAGCTGTTCCACCCTCTGGTGGGGCGGTGTTGCGGTCAGGCCATGTGGCCTCCACACACAGCGGGGGCTGGCGAAACTCCACGTCATGGCCCCCAGCCGGCCAATCCGGTCAACCAGGGGGCATGGATTATCCATTTTAAAGAGCTGCGCGGCCAAGGGGATCTCCCTTCTTGTACCGGCTTCCGCAGATCTACTAGGCTTCAACAGATCTACCGACCATCTGTTTTGTTTTGCTGTACTTGGGGTCTACTGACTGTGAGAGCAGTTGCTTGTCTCATTTGGCTTTCATTGTGATCTTCTTCGGGGTCCTTTACCCACAATCTGTGTATACAACAGTTGGACTGTACACTTGTCCAGTTATTCACACATAAGGTTCAATGAGTGTACAGTCTGGTACATAATACAGTCATACCTTGGGTTACAGACGCTTCATGTTGCATGTTTTCGGGTTACGGACGCGCCAAAACCCCGAAGTACCGGAACGGGTTACTTCCGGGTTTCGGTGCTTGCGCATGCGCAGAAGCACTAAATTGCGCTTTGTGCATGCGCAGAAGCACCGAATCGCAACCCGTGAGTGTGCAGATGCGGTGCTGCGGGTTGCGGGCGCTGTGGGTTGTGAACATGCCTCCCACACGGACCACGTTCACAACCCGAGTGTCCACAATAGTTGAGCTATGCAAAGCAACAAGTGCACACTCAAAGAAACAGTTGCACATGTGTAGAGACAGCTTGTACCAATCTTCAGTGCAATGTGTGAACAAGCACTGTGGATTAGGACTTGCTGTGGGAGAGGGTCTTGTTCGAAGAGCTGGCACTGGGATGTGGATGAAAGCCTCCCACAGGCTAGCTGCGACCCACATTTGTTCCACTCCTGCCCTTCTAGTGCGTGGTTGCATACCTGATTTGGGGGACCTGTAATGTACATCTGATCTTCAGTGTCAGCATTATGACTTCCAGTGTCTTTAAGAGGCCTGTCTTCCGGTCACAACCAAACACTGCTGTGGTCTTTTACACGGCCGCATCACAGCTGCTCATGCAAGATAGTGCTGCTCCTTTTCTCTGAAACAGGAAAGATTCTTTTACCCCATTGGTAAGCGACCCACTTGGCCTCTGAGACTGCCAAGTGGGTTGCTTACCAATGGGGCTTGGAAATCCGCTTTTCATCACAGGAACCCTTTTCTATTTTTATTTCCAACGTGTGGGGCTTTCCTTCCTATGTTGTTGTTGTTTAGTCGTTTAGTCGTGTCTGACTCGTCGTGACCCCATGGACCAGAGCACGCCAGGCACTCCTGTCTTCCGCTGCCTCCCGCAGTTTGGTCAAACTCATGCTGGTAGCTTCGAGAACACTGTCCAACCATCTCGTCCTCTGTCATCCCCTTCTCCTTGTGCCCTCCATCTTTCCCAACGTCAGGGTCTTTTCCAGGGAGTCTTCTCTTCTCATGAGGTGGCCAAAGTCTTGGAGCCTCAGCTTCAGGATCTGTCCTTCCAGTGAGCACTCAGGGTTGATTTCCTTAAAAATGGCTAGGTTTGATCTTCTTGCAGTCCATGGGCCTTCCTTCCTATACTCCTGTCTAATTCTCTAAACTGCATTGTCTCCCTTCACCTTCCCACACAGCATACAGTGGTACCTCGGGTTAAGTACTTAATTTGTTCTGGAGGTCTGTTCTTAACCTGAAACTGTTCTTAACCTGAAGCACCACTTTAGCTAATGGGGCCTCCTGCTGCCACTGCACCGCCACTGCACAATTTCTGTTCTCATCCTGAAGCAAAGTTCTTAACCCGAGGTAATATTTCTGGGTTAGCGGAGTCTGTAACCTGAAGAGTATGTAACCCGAGGTAGCACTGCATTTCCTTAGTCGCTCCTCACTGGGGGTTACCCCCGGAATTAAGCACATTCTTCTCTGGCTGATCAGACCCAAACCAGTCTTCTTCCTAGCTTCCCTGTCGTGTTCTTCTCCCAACATCTATTCCCTAGGGCCTCTCTCCCAACACTCCTGCATCTTGCCTTTTAGGTAGAGGCTTTTTATTGCTTGACAGCTGCTGCCGTCCAGCTTCCTCTGCCCTGGCTCACTAGTGATTTAATTTGTTTTCTGCTGGGAGAGGAATGTCAGGGGAGGCAGATGGAGCCACCTGTTTTCCTTCTGTCTCCTTGGGCCTTTTCGAAAGATGATTTATTGCTTGTTCTCCGTCACCACCAGCTGGCAATGAAACGCAATTGCAGCACCAGCCTCTCAAGTGTGTACAGGTGCTGAAGTTTCTTGGGGATAGTGTGTCTTTAATTAAAAGCTTCTTCCTTCCAGGTTCTGCTCCTTTTACTGCCTCCTAGCAGCTTGGCTAAGGCCAGGCACACCTTGGATGTCCTCAGGGCTCTCTGCTTCTACCTAGACAGAACAGTGGTATTCAGGAAATCAGAAGCTCTGCTTGTTTTGTTTGGGGGTGTCGCACCGGGATGGAAAGTATCCACCTCTGCTGTTTCCAAGTGGCTTAAGGAGACTATTGCCTAGGCCAGACATGGCCAAACTTGGCCCTCCAGATGTTTTGGGCAAACAGCCCTGTGAACCTCAGATGAACAGTGGTATAGAAACATTATTATTATTATTATTATTATTATTATTAATAATAATAAATTTCCCTTTGGTTTTTCTTTTCTTTTTCTTAAAAACACAAACTCAAATCTAAAACACTAATTGAATCCTGAAACCCAGCACACCAGAGAGATTATCATTCTCTCATTGTTACCCACATTTTACTATCATTACCTGCAGTGTTTTTCTTCTAAGAAAAAAGGTGCCGGTACAAGACAAGCTCTGTTTATCACCAAAGGAAACCCCTCTGATTGGGTACCTTACACAAGCATGAAGGAGCTGTAGGAATTTGGGGGGGGGGTAGTGATGGTGTCTAGAAGAAAACACTCCCAATAATAAGGATTTATGAACTTATGCATTGCATGAGCAAAGTGGAAAGAATGCTGAAAGCGGGTGTAATAAAGCAACCAAACACAAACGTTTGTACTCCTAGGCTACCCTGTTCCAGGAATAAGCAATTCCAGTTGCTGGCTTTCTCTGAAAGCTGAGGCTGGAAATAGACAAGAGGCAACCAAGGTTATCCTGTCTACAGGGTGCCCCCTTGACCAGGGTGCTCCCTTGGAAAGAAGCAGGGACAGAAGTGAAGTGTCAGCGATCGGGATGGGACTATGACTAGCATCTTTACGAAGAGAGAAGGTAGGCACTGGTGGAGGGCCCAGCTAGATGTGATGCTAAATGTGTGCTTGCATGTGATAGTGGTTGGTCTGCAAACACACACACTCTCTCTCTCACACACACACACACACTTGCCAGTGCAGATACAGTGGTAGCTTGGGTTATAGATGCTTCAGGTTACAGACTCTGCTAACCCAGAAATAGTACCTCGAGTTAAGAACTTTGCTTCAGGATGAGAACAGCAGCGGGAGGCCCCATTAGCTAAAGTGGTACCTCAGGTTAAGAACGGTTTCCGGTTAAGAACGGACCTCCAGAACGAATTAAGTTCTTAACCTGAGGGACCACTTTATCAGGGTGGAGGGTGTGTGCATGCCCATTTGATATTGTTTTAGGGGGTCACCACTCATTTATGAAGACTGTGCAAACACAACAGTTCTGACTGGAGAAAATTACTGCAGATCTTGAAGGACACAGCGCCCCAGTCATGGGGATATAGGATATGAAATACACCAATCTTCATTTTGAGCTGCAGAGACATAAAAGCTTTGGTTGTATTTTAAGTTTTCAGACTGAACAGTGTTTCAAACTTTTGAACAGTAGTTAAGTCACTTATGCATTCACTGTGTTCTTGTTTTGCAAAACCATCCACTGCTCCCGCCACCAATGGTCACCAGGCAGGAGTCCTGCTGTAGGAAGGGAAGGAAGAGAAGGGCTGAAGACTGAACCACTCCGTCAGTGCAGCTAAGAAACTGGCAATGTTTGGCTCCTTCTGTCCTTGAACTTTTCTGAGTCCATCGGAATAACTAATTTTAATCATGCACCTGTACCTGATTATTTCCATTTCTCTCCCTGTGCCTTTCCCTTGCGTCTCATCTTTTTAGATCGTAAGCCCTAAGGGCAGGCACTTTCTTATGATAATCCACATGGCCAAGTTTTGTGCCCACAGTGAGGAATGAGTCCTTGCTGTAGCAAGTGGAATCTACAGTCACATCAGGGACTCACACAGAAACACCGTGTGTGGACTTAACTGAGGCAAGTAATTTTCATGCACATCCAATTAGGGCTGCCATATGTCCGGAATTTCCTAGACACATACGGGAATCACCCGTCAAAAATAGTGTCCAGGTTGAATTTCCAAAAACCAGGTAAAATATCCAGGAAAACCCAGGCGTATGAAGGAAGTGTTGCATTTTTGGACAAATTTCCTTAAGAAATAGCTCAAAAAGTACAATTTGGCAAAAAAAAAAAAAAGGTCAACTTTGCTTCCCTCTCCACCCGCCCCCACCAAAAAAGCTGAACAACTTTTATTTCCGGATTTTCACGTTTTGAAACAACGGAGCGGGACAATGCAGACAGTGGTCGAAGCGCTCCTGGTTTGCAGCCTTGGAACTGCTTGTCTCGCAGTGGGCGGAGACTTCGCTTTTCACAGCGAAAAGGGGTAAGAAGAGCGGTCAATCTCTCGATTTGTCCCTTCTCGCTTGCCGTCGCCTTTTAGGTATCTTAGAAACGACTTGTGCTTTCCCTTCTGCGCGAGTATTCGGCTTTTAGTGGGTTTGATACGCTGCAGAAGCACGTTCGCATTTAATACTGAACGTTATATATTAGCAATAATTAAGGAATACCCAATCACAGTCCCGAGAGTATTGCGCTTGCGCAGTTGAGCCGCCGAGGGCACAATTCTGGGCACCGAGGAAGGTTCAGAGCCGCTCATGCGCAGTGAGACCAACAGTCTGTCACGCCCAAGGTCCGGATCGGCGCCTGCGCACTCGAGAGGCCCGCGGGCCTGAATTGCAGCGACCGCGGGGGCGGCTCTCCTCCCTTCGGCTGGGCCGGACGCGTGCGCCTGCGCAGTTCAGCAGCCGGCTGCGAGCTGAGGAGATGGGAGCGGCGGCGGCCGAGGCGGACCGGACCCTCTTCGTGGGGAACCTCGACCCCAAAGTCACCGAGGAGCTGCTCTTCGAGCTCTTCCACCAGGTAACGGGGCGGGCAGGGCCTCACCTCCTGGCTTGACTCGGCCGCGGAGAGGGGCCGGGGCTCAGAGCGGCCTACCTCGCAGGGGGCGCCGGCCTTGTTGTATGTGCGGGGAGGGGGGCGTTTCCTTTTGCCTGCGTTTTAATGCGCCGGCCCTCTGCACATGCCCAGGAGCTATAGAAGAGCGCGGGCTGCCCTGAAAGAAGACTGGCATCTCCTTGGTGTCGCTGCGAGCGAAATCGGATCCGGGAAGGGAGACGGGGAGGCATTGGCTTTGTTTGGGTCTCGCCTGCCTCGCTTTCCTTTACCTTTGAACGGGTTTCCGTTTCGCTTGGCTTCGTTCAGAAGCCCTTGCAAGGCGAAAAGCCCCCTCGGGATGCTCTCCTTCCCTCCGTTTCCCTCTTAAAACAAGGCAAGGTGCGAATTCTTGTAAAGGTAAAACGCTGGCGGCAAACAGGTTTGATCGTTAGCTGGTTCCCTGCCCGAAAAATGGGAACTTCGTGGTGGATGGGTGAGATCGGCAGGATTTAAAAATAAGTATCAGAACATTAAAACAACAACAAAAACCAGCAGCTTGCAGGATTGACAACAAAAGCACCAAAATGAACAGAAATGCGTTTTTGATCTGGGCGCCCTGGGTTGTCAGAAGAGGGCAACTTCAGTGGTAACCCAGGAGGTGCATAAACAGGAAAGGTAGGCTGGGGGTGGTTTAGCTCTGTATTTCAAGGGAAGCATAATGTTTCATGAACTGGAAATTCGTCCTATAGCACCACCTTGGATGTACCAGTCCTGAAAACTAATGGGGGCATGTACCCTGAGCAAAATGCCAAGGTTGGTCTTGAGGGGGAGAAAGAAATGGGGAATGTGTTGTAATAACGGGTTGCCTCTGTCATGTTTGTCTAGGCTGTCTAAGGGTACTTCAGGTTACAACCAGGAGGCAAAATGTGTAAATTGTGAGCAACTCTGCCTTGAAACAGTTAGTCATAGAGCAGACTTGAGGGGAAGCTACCCTAGACCTAATTCTAAGAGGTAGTGGAACCCTTGTTTCAAGATGCAAGGGCTATTGATGTCAGGCTCAGCATATGTGTAAGCAAAAAGTTGCCACATCGTCCTGTGCCATCACATTTTATATTCACATTTGCTGTGAAAGTAAGACAGCCAGAATTGTCATGCCTTTTATGGTGCAGTTGCATTCAGAATGTGGTGTGTACTGTTCTCTGGCTGTTCCCATCTAGAAGAAGAAGAAATTGTAGAGCTGGAAAAGGTTTGACAAGGACACAGTTGGCTGTTTGTACGTCTTTCCTACAAGGCTCAAACGCCTGGACTTCTCTGTATAGAACAAAAGGCTACAATAGACATTTATAGATATAGGCATGGAGTGGCAAAAGCACTTAGGAAACAGTTCCAACCACTTTCATAATGCTGGAACCTGGGGTCTTATGATTAAGTAGATTGGCTGTAAGTTTAGAACACACACAAAAGTGTAGACACTCAATGACATTCAGAGATGATTAGATAAAGTCCTTGAGAACTGGACCGTTAGTTCCAATAACTGAGTCAGAGCTCAGGATACTCTTCGATGCCAAACTGTGAGGGAGTAAACAGGGGGAGGGTTGTTGCCTTCATGCACTGCTTGTAGGCTTCCTGAAAAACTGCCCTCCTCTTCTTCTTAATATCTATGTCCAGTTCTATTGGGTGAGGGTGATTGTAATGTTCTCACAGAAAGTTAATGGAACCGTAGAAAGACATTTTGAGGCTAACTTGAAAGGAATGCTTCAGTGCTCCTTGCTTACGTAAAATCAGCATGGTTAAAAAGTGAATGAGTTTTCCTCTGCTTTTGGGGGTGCATGCTTGTGAGTGGAAGGAGGTTCACAGTGCATGTCAACTTTCTGTTCCATGCTGGCATGTGGCTGAATCCATTACAGTGGTGCCTCGCAAGACGAAATTAATTCGTTCCGCGAGTTTTTTCGTCTTGTGATTTTTTTCGTCTTGCAAAGCACGGTGTCGGGAAAGTTTTGGAAAAGCTTCAAAAATCACCAAAGTCTTCAAAAACCTCAAAAAAGGGGGGTGCTTGGGAGGGAGGGAGAGGCGGGCGTGGGGGGAGGCGGGGCGGAGGTTGCTGCCTGAGCCCCCGGGATCAGTTCTGCTCGCCTTGCTCCGACCCTTTACAGTCGGTGCCGTCTTGCTGCTGCTGCTGCTGTCGCCGCGGTAGTCAAAACTCCTACCGGCCTAAAAGTTGTCTGGTGCAAAATCCCTTCTGCAGCAGCAGCCCGAAAGAAAGCGAGAGCGCCAGCCAGCCAGCCGCCCGCCGCGGGCAGGAGGGAGGGAGGGAGCGTCGGCGACGGTGGATGCCTATTGCCCCTGTTGCTGCTGCAGCCGGCCAGCCAGCCAGAAGCGCGCGAGCGGAGAGGGGTGCATCCAGCCCGTTGGAGAGGAGCGCGGGGGCGCGTCCCCGGTGGCTCCCGAGCTGACCTTGCCTGGCCCGGCGCCTTCCGCGCTGCCAAAGGGCGACTCACCTGCTGCCTGCGCTGCGCCGGGACTAACTCGAGCAGGGCGAAGAGAACACACACTCGCGCGCACACACACCGAGAGGCAAACTTGCCGCAGCCGTCGACGTCGCGGGGTTGGAAAGCGCGGAGATGCAGGTAGGGGGCATCCCTCGCAGGGCGAGCGCCGGAGGGCCCGGGCAGGCGCTCTTGTCACCGCCGGGGCGCTGGGGGGGGGGAGAAGGAAGGAGCCCCGTCCGAAGAGCCCCGGAGCCTGGCCTCCCTAACTGGGAGCTGTGGGGAGGGAAGTGTGCGTGCCTTGCTATTTTTCACCGAAACAAAGCTCCCTCTCCCTCAGAACCCGCCTTCACGCGTTCTTGCCCCTACGGAGACGCACACGGAGATGCTATGAGTTGCTCCTCGAAGTCAAGTCGCAACTGTATTAACGGTTTTAAGAAAAAGGAAACAAACTTCCAAGACGTTTCCGTCTTGCGAAGCAAGCCCATATGGAAAATTGTCTTGCGAAGCAACTCAAAAACGGAAAACCATTTCGTCTTGCAAGTTTTCCGTCTTGCGAGGCATTCGTCTTGCGAGGTACCACTGTACTGTTGGTTTCTTCCCTGGAGAATATTGAGTACCAACCAAAGTCGTTTATTTTTGTTTTATTTACATTTCTCTTCTGCAATTCTTTCATCATGGAACCCAAGTTGGTGTCCCTGTGACCATCTTGTACACCCACCCAGACCTGATGGCTCTGGATTCACATGGGGGCATGTACTTTTCTACCTTCATAGCACCTACCTGAAGTGATGCCTAGAGACCAGCAGTAAACTGACCATTACCTAGTCTGAACCACCTTCACCTGCCTGGTGAATCTAGGACTATGTCCTACTCTCCAGTCCTTTGGAGAGTAAAATTGTAAAATGCCAACTATTAAGAAAGTTGTTTTAGAACCTGCCTGACAATGCATATCTTTCATTTAATTGGTAACATCCTACACTGTACTTGAATGCAAATACAGGTTTACCTTAGAACGCAGGTGCATGCAACTAAATAACCTTCAAGGGAAAGTTGCTCCTTTTTTTATTTTAATGTTTTCTTTTGTTTTTTGGTTTGCAGGCAGGTCCAGTCATTAAAGTAAAGATTCCGAAGGACAGGGATGGGAAACCAAAGCAGTTTGCATTTGTGAATTTCAAACATGAAGAATCTGTCCCCTATGGCATGAATCTACTTAATGGGATCAAACTTTTTGGGAGACCTCTCAAAATTCAGTTTCGATCAGGTATCCACAAAGCCTTTAAAACAGCCTAGGTCATCTAGGCAAAATTGAAGGGGGTTCATATTCCTTTTATGCTTAAAATTCTGATGTGTAAAACTTTTTATTCTGGGTGCATTTTTTGTGTTGAATTATATATCAGATTAAAATTTCACTGAGCCTGTAAATCACTCTTGTGTTCATAGTGTTGCTGCTATCTTGAGGAGCTAACTCATTTGAAGGGGGCTTTCTGTCAGTTTTTGGATGGTTAGAATCTTTTTTAAAAGGAACCTTAAAAGATGTTGAAATGCACTTCTCAAAAGAGTTTCAGTTGTTTAGGGACAAACCATCTGTTTTTAGAAGGGATGTCCTACTCTAGCTTTGGATAATCTTTAGCCTTCCATAGGTTGCTGAACTGCAAATCCCATCCTCACTGACAATTGGCTATGCTAGCTGGGGCTGATGGGAGTTGTAGTTTAACAATATCTGGAGGGCCACACATTCTACAAATCTGCTGTACCCTTTTCAGTTGAGAACAGATCTGTGTGTATTCTGAGCTCCTTTGATCACAGAGGAATGCACTTTGCACGTGTCTAGAAGCATTATTTTATCAATTCAGATTATTTCTGAAATGAGCCCCAGCACTCAAGCTGGTTCTAGAGTGGAGCCTTGGAATTGCTAAAATTTATTTTTAAATAAAGGAATTGAAAACACTATTTGGTGCTTATCTGGACTGTTTGAAGTAGTGTCCAAAGCTTTTCACTTTAGGAAAGCTGAGTTTCATCTGCAATTAACTTAAGTTTAGTGTCCTTAGCATTGCACCTCGATTGCATCTTCACCACTGGGTATTCCAGTAGGTTGCAACACTTGTTTTGGAAATCTGTTTGTATGTCTTAATGGTTCTCTAGTGTGATACTCCAGAGCCCATTAAGTAATGTACCATGTTTTCAATCTGTTAGCATCTTGCGTTGGCTTAACCTTTCTCAGTGTAACTGACTTGTTTTAGTTACACTTCAGACATGTCCTTTTACCTTTAGGGAGCAGTCATGCATCTCAAGATAACAATTCACCTTATTCTCAACCTGGATATGCTAATGGAAGCCCCTCCAGTAATCAACAACTGCCAACAACAACTGCCAGTAGCAGGTAAGTTCTTAATGTTAAGCCAGACTTCCCCCAACCTGGTGTCGTCCAAATATTTTGGACTACAACCTTGAGTCTGAAAGATCTCAAGGGCACCAGTTTTAGGAAGCCTGTGGTAAATCATTAAGTACATTTAGAATTGCAGCTTATTAGGGAGTGAACCCCATTGAACTTGGTGGGACTTGCTTCTGACTAATTGTGTATAGGATTGTGTTCTTAGCATTTATTACCATATGGTAAATTCTGTGACTGCTTTCCAAAGTGGGCATAATATAATAGCCTATGTCTGAGCTTCCTTTTCTACCTTTATGCTTATTATTTATCTTTAAGTGGGAAGGAATAATATGAACTGAATTCTAGTGCTGAGAGAAGATATTACTATTATTAGCTTTTCTTTCTAGAGCAGCTACAAAAATCAAATGGTATTGAGAACTTTGATGTGGCACATCAGGAATTTTGTTTCTAAAGCAACAGATGGACAAGCAAATTAGTTTCCATTAGCGAAAGCTGTGAGTCTTTTCAGAATTTTCTAAATTGAGATGCAGAGTAGATTAAAGAAGCTGTTACTAGAAACCTCCTGAGGCTTGCGATCTGTGTTTCTGTATTGCTTTGACAAGTGTGTCAGTTATAAAAATGAAGATGAACTGAAAACAGATTGCTCAGTTATACTCTGCTTAGAAAAATATATATTCAATAACAGTTTATGATGATGGATCAAAGGAAAACTGTATGATGTAGTGGTTAGATTAGAAGTGTTCTGCTGCAACTAGGGAGACCCAGGTTCAAATCTCCCACTCAGTCACAAACTAGGTGACCTTGAGCCAATCACAATCTCTTGTCATTCAGCCTAGCTTATTTCACAACCTTGTTTTGAGGCTAGGAGAACAAATACAGTGGTGCCTCGCAAGACGAAATTAATCCGTTCCGCGAGTCTCTTCGTCTTGCGGTTTTTTCGTCTTGCGAAGCACGGCTATTAGCGGCTTAGCGGCTATTAGTGGTTTAGTGGCTATTAGCGGCTTAGCGGCTATTAACGGCTTAGCGGCTTTAAGAAAAAGGAAACAAACTCGCAAGAACTCGCAAGACGTTTCGTCTTGCGAAGCAAGCCCATAGGGAAATTCGTCTTGCGGAACGACTCAAAAAACGCAAAACCCTTTCGTCTAGCGAGTTTTTCGTCTTGCGAGGCATTCGTCTTGCGGGGCACCACTGTAACTGTCTATGTCTATGAGAATGAGTAGGATAGAAATATAGCTATAATCATAAAGCTGCTAATGCCAGCGTTTATCTGGTGCTTTGCTTCCTGGTTATTTTCATGATACCTATTTTCCCCCACCCCTGGGAAAACCATGCACAAATACCTATAGTAGAATCATAGAATTGGATGGGACCCTGAGGGTCATCTAGTCCAACCCCCTGCAATGTAGGAATCTCATCTAAAACATCCATGGCAGATGACCATCCAACCTCTGCTTAAAAACCTCCAATGAAGAAGAGTCTACCACCTTCTGAGGGAGTCCTTTCCACTGTTGAAGAGCTGCAACCATCAGAAAGTTCTTCCAGATGTTTAGTCACACAGAATCACAGAATTGTGATTCTGGTTTGGCTCCTACCCTCCAGAGCAGGAGAAAACAAGTGTGCTCCATCTTCCATGTGACAGCCCTTCAGATATTTGAAGATGGCTATCCTATCTCTTCGCTGTCTCCTCTTTTCAGGCTAAACATACCCAAAGCCCTCCATAAGGCTTGGTTTCCAGACCCTTGATCATCAGTATAACTTTCTTCAATTGAATACTGTTGACTGGGATTACTGTTAGTGCAGAATTCCATGATCTGAGACTACTTCTGGGAAATTGACTTCTGGTTTTCGCTTAGCAGGTATGAGAGGAATGTGGATAACATCTCAACAGAGTCGCCAACTGTGCAGAGGTCCTTCTCATCCCCAGATAACCTCCAGAGACAAGCGGTGGTGAGAGTTCTTTGTTGGCTGTTAACAGGAAATAGGCAGGAAAGGGTTTGCAAATGAGTGGAGTGGTGCATGCCTCAGACATAAAAGCTGAGTGGTTAACAATAACAACACTTTGAATTCCACTCAGAAAAGTACTGGAAGCCAATGTAGATCTGGGGTTATATAGTCCCTGCGGCTGTTCTCATTCACCAGTCTGGCAGCTGCACACTGTGGCTCAACCTGAGAGATGTTCTTAGAACCAGCCTTATTCTTTCTAATGTAAACAGTTTTAACTGATTTGTATTTTTACACTGCCTCTCTGGGACCTTATGGTGAAGGGCAAGTAAGGAATTGAACAAATCATCATCATCACCCCTGACTATTGGCCATGCCTCTTCTTAACAGAAGTGCTTTCTGTTTCCAGATGAATAATATGTGGCAGCAGTCGCAGTACAGTGGCAGGCACAACTCCTTGCACCCGGAGCCATCCGGATTTGCTTCGCCAGGGCACCACCCGAGTTACTCGTTCACCCAGTCGTCAGCCTCATCCATGCAGTGGCGCTCAGAGACAAGTGCTGCCCAGCGCAAGAACAGAGTGAGCTCCCATCCGTATCCTACTGAAAGCAGGCATTATAGCAGCCGGGAACCTCAGCGCCCCAGCGACTATGGCTCGGAGCATCATTTCAGGGGCATTCGGGAGGAATATGGTCACGATGACAGGCACTATGGAGGCTGGAGTCACGATTATGATAACCGGAGGGAGAACTACCGAGATGGCAAATGGCGCCCCTCCCGCCACTAGCAAGTATTCAGAGCAGATTTTGCATACCTTTCCTTGGCGAAATGGAGTGGCTCTTTCCTTTTTAAGAAATCGTTTTTTTACAGAGAGCTTGCAACGAGTAACTGCACGGGTTGCTTTTTAAAAATCGTTTTATAAAAATCACCTGCAGTATGTATTTCGTGAGAAGTAGCTTCGTTTCAATTGTATTAACTTTCTCTCAGGGTTTAGGGAAAAGAAAGAGAAGGTGCCACGCTTTTAAACAAGCAAAAGAGAAATCAATGTAGTTAATTTTGTAAGGGGGGAAAAAAAGGTGCCGCTTTGGTTGTATTTTAAAATGAACATTGGTATTTTTGTAGAGTGTTAATGAGAAAGGAAGAGAGCCCCTGAGGTGGTTCTGGTAGTAAGTAATCCCATGGAAAAAATGAATGCCACAGAGTAGAAGGCTCAATGGCACATGGAAATATTGGTAACAGTGTTTTTCTACTGGAATAAATGTTGCTTTTAAATACTTGTATTAAGCAAACATGCAGCCTGTTCAGATATTAAGAGTGAAACAAATTTGCTGGATGACTTGATGATTTGTATTGAATGATGTGTTAATTTTTCCAGCTGCTTTCATTGAGAGTCCTTTGATTTTTATATTACGAGCAAGAGAGCCCACAGTATCGTAAAAAGACTTTCCCAACAATTTAAGCGATTAAAACCTCTCAGGAAATCATTGCATGCCTCTGTCCATTCCCTTTCTATAGTTGACATAATTTTTAAAAACCTCATTGAATGGAAAAGTTTAGACATTACAATTGATATTTAATACAAAGCAAAAACGAAGGTAAGTATCTATGAACTTCTTGTCCATGGGCGTCGTCTGGCCAAGTGCTTCATTTCATCCAGCCTGCAGCATTGGTTCATCTTTAAAATTAAATTAAAGTCAATGCTTTGGGGGAGGGGCCATTGGCCTACACTGTTTCGCTGGTCTTGCCCAGCTGCTAGCCTCTACTTGCAAGTACAGCTAAATTTGGAATAGCTTTTAACTAATCAGAAATCTGAGATGAGCTTTTTCAATAGGATGGATTTTTGTGACATCCATCCTTCTGAAGTTGTGCATTTGCAATGCCATCAATGTCTTTAACTATGATTCCCCCTGTACTGAAACATGGTGGGACTTTTGAGATGGAAACTTTTGGTGCCATTTTTAAAAAAGATCCTGCAGCTAAATTGTTTCCGGTAGCTTCCGTTTATGTTCACAGTGCTTCCGTTTGAACATTAGTAATCTCTGTAGCAACGAGTGCAGTAAGCCTGCAACTTGTGCACATTCAGGTTTATGTGCTTGTCAAAAGAAATAATAATAAAAAAGCGGTGGGGAGCAGGCGTCCAGAAAAAAAGACTTTGGTAATCGCACCTGCCTTTGTACCTAATGTCTTTTGACTATACACAATTTTGGCTTTAGGAACAATCCTTGGAACATAACTCCCATGTAAGTTGCAATGTATAAATGCATTGTCTGGACAGTGTCAAATTGTTTCTTTAAAAAAACAAAACTTGTCTGCTCTGCACAGCAAATTATTTTATTTTGAAAAGTATTCAGACCCTTGTCATTTTCAGCTGCAACAAAATTGACAAGGGGGCAATTGCAGCAGCAGTAAAATGTGGCTTACCTTAATTTTTCTGTCACTTCTCTTGAAATACACACACTCTCTCTTTCTCTTTCTCTTTCTTTTACTCTAATCCAAATCAATCGTGGTTTCTTGAACCCCAGTTGTTCTTCCGTGCTGTTTGGGTTTATATCTGGGGGGGGGCTAGAGGAGGGAGATGCTTGTGACCCTCAATCTGCATGCCTAAATGGGACATCTTTTAAAAAATATAATATTTTTGTCAAATATACACTAATATAAAAGGATTCATTGTTACCTTTTGGCTTACATATTTATGGCATTGTTGCAAAAACAAGCACCCGTCTTAAAAAAAAAAAGAAAGGTTTACCTAATTCAGAACTTCCTCAAGCAATACTGTTAATAGTATTTTTAAGAAACGCACTTGGTTAGCTATATTTTTATTTTCTCTAAAATAAATTCTCGTTCTTTCAAAATATTGTGTGCAAGCAAATTTTCCTAAGAACTAAATTTTACAGCTGGTGTTCTCTCTTTACAAATAGTTGTTATATTTGCATCCAAAAGTGATTTTTTTATATATATCTTCTCATTGGAAAGTTTGTATTCGAGAGAGTGGCATTTGATGCCTTCAGAGTGACTGAATGTGTGAAAATGCCCGGCAAGCTTTTGCATTGACGTGCTCAGCCTGCATCTTAAATAGGGCACATTTCTTAAGCTGTTACACCAGATGCCTAGCCATCAGTCTTCACACTGTATTTTTTAGACAGATTGTACACATGCTGTCCACACATCAGCCATGTGCTGTGCCTCTTCAACCTGCTTTGTATTCACAGAGGTAGTTGTAGTGTCCTTTTTCCCCGTTACACCTGGTGCGGGGCAGGGGAATGTATATCAAAGTTGATTGACTAACATTACTAGCGTAGGTCAGAGCAAGACATTCATTGATGTTTCTTGGCAGGAGGACTATTCCATTAACGCAGAGGGTTTGCTGCCAGTGTCTTGTCTGCAGTAAGTGGGGTTCTCTGTCATTCACAAGCAGGCGAAACCTTAAATAAAGATTGCAATCCTAACCATGTAAATGCAGAAATATGTTCTATTGAATTGAATCGGGTCTCCTCCTTGAATTGGGGTTAGGATGGCAGCCTCAGGGTTTTAAAAACCAGAAGGCAACCTTGATTTTTTCCCTGTTCCTTGTTATTCCCTAACCCAGCCTTTTGCAACCTGGTGCCATCCAGATACTTTGGACTGCAACTCCCATTAGTCTCAGCCAGCACCAGGTTACAGATCGCAGCCCAAGCCTATAAATGTAAAATAAATGCATTTTTTAAAAGTGCTTTGTCTCTCTTTTGGTGGGGAGTGGAACATACTATGAGGCCAACTAGGACTTAAAAACAAAAGGGAATCTAGACTTTCTCTGGTTTTCAAGAGGACACAATGGGGGCAGCTGCAGAGGGTTGTTTCTTATATTGCAATGATAAATGCATGTTCCATCACCATGTCTGCATGTTCCAGTTCTGGCTTTGTATTCTGTGAACCTAACGTGTGTTTGGGTTGGTGTAAACACACTGCATACTATAGCACTCTTAATGTGTAAGGGATTTCGCAAATGCAATGTGTAAAGAAGCTTTGAGGCGCAAAGTTGTCGTGTAATGACGTTTCCTTAAACAGCACGGCCATCTTCAAATATAGAATGTAATTTCTCATACCTGCATACTGCTTCTGTGGCAGCCATAATAATGCTCAAGTACAGTGGATTTAGGTCGTGTGGTCAGATGAGGGCTTCCATCTTAAACCTTCCTGGGTCTAGGTAAGTGCTTCACAAAGTTCACTCTTTAAAAGAATCCCTGAAATGCTGAAAGTGACACAGGGGCTAATGAGAAGGATTTTTCTTTCTGTTATAAGTACCACTATGTCAGACACAAAATTGTTCATGCGCCAGTGTTGTTTCGTGGTGTGGCTTTGAACTAATGCATGGGACACTGGTTTGTCTCCCTTTAAAACTCCTTTTTTTGTCTCTGATGGAGGGGCCATCTTTCTATGATACATGCTTTGCATGCAGAAGGACTGAAACCAAAAATCTCTCGCATTTTCTTCAGTTAGGGCTGGGAATGCCTCCCACCTGAAACCTGCCTGTGATAACACTGATGGGTCTCTTATTCCCCCCCCCCCACCACTTTGAGGCATTATTTTAACTTTTATTTCCTGTCTATTCCTGAGTTAATTGTTGTATTCATACATTTTTTTTCATCCCTTTACTCTGTTACTTCCAAGCTTTTTTTGGGGGGGGGGGGAGAATCCTGCTCCCTGCATATTTGTTTTTTTTAAGAAAGAAAAAGATTATGAGTCTCAGGAAGGGTTTTCCTTTGTTGCACAGGCCACATATTGTGTGTTTTTAGAATAACACGTGTTAACTTTCGGCTCAGTGCTTTCACTAAAAAGGGCTAGTATTTGCTTTCTTAATATGGCAAGAAAATGCAGCTTAGTATTGGGGAAGGGGGGGGGACGCAAGCCCAGCTGAGCCTTTTACTGGGCCAGCCTCCCGTTTTGGAGGATTGGGGCACGACGCCGCATTACAGCGTGAGAACCGATCGCCTCCGCCGCCGGAGCCTCATCCCTCAAACTACAACCCCCAGCATGCCAAGCGAGGCACTAAGCGCGCAGCGACGCTCTCACTCCTGCTGTCGCCACGCAAAACTACAAATCCCAGGAGGCTGCGCGGCAGTCCCTTATGGCCTAGCGGGCGGGGCTGGCGCGGGGCCTGCTGGGCTTTGTAGTTCTCCGGCTTCTCCAGATGATGCGCGCTGGAGGAAGGGCTTGGCGGCTTTTCGGCGCGCCTGCAGGGAGGCAGTGGCTGTCGGGGCGCTGCCTGAGCGGGTTGCGAGCCATGGCAGGAGCCGGAGGGGCGGCGGAGCCCGGCATGGGGCAGAGAATGGTCTGGGTGGACCTGGAGGTGAGGCGCCCTGCCCGTAACGAGGCCTCTGCGAAGGGGCATCCCATAATATCCTGTCGTTTTCGTCCCCCGAGACGCTTGCACCATGTGGAGTGCAATGCGGGGGCTCCATCCCGTAGTATCCTGCTCCCTGGAATTGGGTGCAATGTAGGGGGGTGTTTAAAAAGGGCGCTCCATCCCATAATATTCCCCCCTTCCCCCGCGACAGGTGCGGTTTAGCTCCCTTTGAGGAGGCTCCATTCCGTAATTCCCCGCTGCCCCAGAACATTGCTCTCGAAGAAGTATGAAACAGTTATGCAAATAGCTTCTATCCCATAATATGCCTCTATGAGATTTAGTTCAGAAAAATTATCATTTATCTTAAAAAATATTGTAAACAGTTAAAATCGTTATTAGGATCGGAATAACACTTGTAGTTTAATGGTGAATTTGGATATAATGGAGATATAAAAGAGTTAGATTATTATAAAAGATGCAGGAGGAAATGATTAATAATAGGATCCACAAAGGGGAAGGAGGGAAGTCCAGGAGGTTCTTTGGAATCTTGTTTTTATGATATGCTGGATATGTGATTGCAAAACTTTAATTTGAAAAACTATATGTGTATATATATATGTGTGTGTGTGTATATATATATATATAATATGAATGAGAGATTTGGTTCAGTATAATATATATATATATATATATATATTTGGTTCAGTATCAATGTGTAAGGAGAGGGCGGGGCTGCGTCCCACAAAATTCCCCTACCCCTTGAGACAGCTGGGGGTGGGTGGGGGGAATACTTGAGAATCGCAATCCCATAGTATCATAGTATCCATTGTCTAGTATCTGTTCATGTAGAAAGACCTACACCACGTAAGGCAACGTTCTCAAGAGATGTGCCTGTTGGGTTATTTGCAAAGGAGCTGCAGCCCATAATAATATTCCCGCAAGAGATACTGGTGCAGTGTAGGTGCAGGATTCATCCTCCTTCCCGAAAAGAGGCAGGTGCAATGTAAGTGTATGCCTGTATATGAGCAAGATTGGGCTCTCTTAGAATATCCTTTGAGGAGATGTGTATCCTACGGGGGTCACATCTCATATTGCCCCAAATCCCCTGACTCATGTACTACAGGATTGGTGCCCATCCCATTATTCCTGGGAGCCTTGGCGTGTGCCCCCATCCCATATTATCCCCCACGATACATAGGCACTGTAGGTGGATGTGTGTGAGAGAAGGAAGGAGACCATTCGCCCTTTAAGTGTTTTTTCTAGGAAATGTAGAAAGTTTGGTTTGTGGGGGAAGAAACAGCCTAATTTCACAGGAAATGAGATCTTGGGAGCAGAAAATCAAATATGGTCACCCTAGGGCAGCTGGGAAGGGACACGGGTGGCGCTGTGGGTTAAACCACAAAGTCTAGGACTTGCCAATCAGAAGGTCAGCGGTTTGATTCCCCGCGACGGGGTGAGCTCCCGTTGCTCGGTCCCTGCTCCTGCTAACCTAGCAGTTCGAAAGCACGTCAAAATGCAAGTAGATAAATAGGTACCGCTCCAGTGGGAAGGTAAATGGCGTTTCCATGTGCTGCTCTAGTTCGCCAGAAGCGGCTTAGTCATGCTGGCCACATGACCTGGCTCCCTTGGCCAATAAAGCGAGATGAGCGCCGCAACCCCAGAGTCGGTCACGACTGGACCTAATGGTCAGGGGTCCCTTTACCTTTACCTAGGGCAGCTGGGACCCTTGGTAGGTTGGAAAGGAGTGTTCTAACATATATCTGCATTGGCGGTGCAGGAATTCACATGGGATCTAGGGCAGCCTTCACCAACAGGGTGCCCTCAAGTAGGCCCACTCGAGCCTGATGGGAGTTGCAATCCAAACCATCTATAGGGCACCAGGCTGATGAAGCTGCATCCTTGTGCTATGAGGAAATGAGGTTTCAAATTCACAATTTGATTTGAAGGGGATATGTTGGCTCCATGTGTGACCAGACTGAGGATCAGTTCTGTGCACCCAGCAGTGGCAGACAAGATGTCATTTCTTATTGTTGGCTTCCAGAAGCCACTGAATATGGAGGCCATTTATCGCTCTTCATAGTCATCGAGAAGCCTATTTATCACAAATTGCCCCACACTTTAAAAAGATTGACCTCTTCCCCTGGGCCTCTTGCAGCAAAGCAATTCACAATCCTAGATTTTATCAGCTTGTGGAGGCTTGAGGTCCTAAAACAATTGACATTTAATAATAATATTTTAAAAAATTATATCCCGCCCATCTTGCTGGGTTTCCCCAGCCACTCTGGGCGGCTTACAACATGTATAAAAACACAAGAAAGTATCAAACATTAAAAAACAAAATATCCTCTGCGAGCAACAAACCAACCAATAAATCAATAGAAACCAATAACAACAACAACAATAATAGCAATTATAAACAGTTTACGGTTATACCCAATTTAAAATAACCACCAACCCGAACTAAACATTTAACCACTTGGCTTAAGTGAATAGGAAGAACATCACTGCTGTGGCCTGACATTAAAGAAATAAACTGCGCTCCAGGGCAATTTTCCTAGCTCTTTGTGAGGCAGACAGATTTGTTCAAACCTTCAGTGGGTCTTCCCCCAACCCCCATTTCCTGGCTGCTGTGAATGCTTTTTTAACCTACCAGCATCAGGATATTTAAGATATAGTCCAGGGAAAGGATTAAGGTTTGTTAAAATGCACTTTTGCTAGCACACAGTGGAACAGAAAGCTCTTCCTGACATCTTACACTTGTTAACTTTTTGACTTCGATATAGATGACTGGGCTGGACATTGAAAAAGACCAGATCATTGAGATGGCCTGTCTCATAACAGATTCGGACTTGAACATCTTGGCTGAGGTATGTTGGTTGCTGATTTTTGGGCTGGTGCCTGCTCAATGCCAGCTAGCAGAGAAATAACAAAAATACTGGAGAAACCTATTAAAAAAACCACCCTCCTGAAATAGCATTGTTGGGTATATTCAGTGCAGACTACCAAGGGTTATCATATGAACATGTAATTGGTTACGTATTAGTGGTAAGAAGAACATTGATAGCTAGAAAATGGAAGGAAACAAAGGGTTTAAATGTGCAAAAATGGTATAATGTAATCTGGGACAGCCATTTCTGAAAAACGGATGCAAAAAACTTCTTTGGTGGTCTGGTGGCCATTGAGCCAGTATTTGAACAAATACTTTACAGGACGAACTGTACCTACTGCATTCCATAATATCTGTTTGTGTTAATATTCTCCTTCATACTGACATTAGTAACTTTCTTTTTTTTCCATTTTAGTGCTTGTATTAACTGTACTATTTTTGTTTACATCTGAACTATGCCTTTGAGATGGAGGAAAGGGGGGAAGGAAGGATTTTAAGTTTGTAATTCTTTTTTTCTTTTCAATATATATTTTTTAAATGCCAGCTAGTTAGCTAACTGCTGTGAGTGGCCAACTAGTTACTCACAATTTCCACTGACTTCTTTGCCACATAGCTGGCTGATGAAAAGCCCTTTTTATGCATGCAATTTCCAAATGTTTTTAGCGAGGGAAGTGAATGCCAACTGGATATTGCGAACTCGAAAGGTGACCAGATTACGGCTGTTTCCTGTTGCCATCAAGTCTAAAAGTTCATCAGGATTTTTTTAGTTGATTATTTTTGTTACCTGGTGCAAACTCACAATTACACTTAAGAGTAAAAATGAATCTGATTGCGCTACAAGTTTATATCCCTTTGTGTTCAAACACAGGTGATTATTTCTATTCATAATACATACTGCTGTTTGAACAGCTCCACTTATATTGCTACCACACACACACACCATCCCTTCCTCCCTGAACTGTTGTCCTTTAGCAGCTCTTGTTTTGGACTGTTTTGAAGAGAGAGGTGGAGCTCCAGGGCCGTTTCATTGACTCTTAAAAAAGCCAACCACGTTTGACTCCTCTAGCAGGTCATTATAAGAACCCTGTAGCTTAAGAAGAAGTGCCTGAGTTTGCTTTTTCCTCTTCCCTCTCAATTCCACTTCCTTCTGTGTCATGTCTGGTTACATCAGGCATAGGCAAACTTGGCCTTCCAGATGTTTTGGGACTACAACTCCCATCCTCCCTAGCTAACAGGACCAGTGGTCAGGGATGATGGGAATTGTATTCTCAAAAAGATCTGGAGAGCCGAGTTTGCCTATGCCTGGGTTAGATTGTCAGCCTGTGGGTAGTGGCTGATATATGTGATATATGTGAGCAATCCTGGGAACCCTTGTCGGCTGAGAACCAGGATAAAATGCTAGTATTGCTATATTAATAATTGCAGCAACAACAACAAATAAGCATAACTGATGTAACAGTCTGATCTGATTCCCCATTGTTTTCTCCTATTTTGCTGACAGGGTCCCAACCTGATAATAAACCAGCCAGATGAGCTGCTGGACAGCATGTCAGAATGGTGCAAAGAGCATCACGGCAAGGTAGAGGCCTGCTCCTTCATCGCTCGCACTCCCTTGAGAAGAACTCCTTTGTCTTTTTACAGTTCCACATGCAACAGAACCTTATCTTGACCGTGCCATGTTCCCTGCAACAGAACCTTATCTTGACCGTGCCATGTTCCCTGCAACAGAACCTTATCTTGACCGTGCCATGTTCCCTGCCGTCTGCATTAAGCACTTCTTTGAAAAGGATGGCTGGAGGTTTATCTCATCCGTGCAAAATGGGCCAGCTTTTTGCCGAATCATCATCCGACTTCACAGTGTGTCCTTAGCGTGACATTAGAGTTTCCCATGTCCATTATGAAGACTTTTTGACATTAAACCTTCTTTGTTGTGCTAAAATTGCTGCATCCTTTGGCTGGGGTTTGGGAGTGGGGAGACTGCTTCCTTGTTTACCAGCAGTTCCTGCGAGGGAATGAGATCAGTGACCTGTCTCAGCCACATTCATCAATGGCTACTAGTCTTGATGGCTGTATGAGTCTTCCAGATCCAGTTTCAGCCTCCCTCTGAATATTAGTAGTGGAGTGCCAATGCACCATGCCCTGTTTTTTGGCCTTCCCTGGGGCATCTGGGCCGATGTCTGTAGGAAACAGAGGCCTGGATTAAATGGTTATTTTGGCCTGGTCTAGTAGTGCAAATCCTCCACTATCCATTAAGATGTTGTTGTTTTCACAGTAGTGTGCTGCCAAACCTTCCTGTGGCTGTTAAGGGGGTTGTTTTCTTTCTGTTTTTATGGTATAATATATTGATACTTATGTTCTAAATGTGTTGTAATTGGCTTGGAGGCCTCTGAGTAAGAAGTGACCACAGGTTTAATAAAAACTAATAATAGTATTGATTCTTGCATGACATCTTAACTGCCTGGCTCTTTTTAAGGCACAAGCAACATGATGTAATTTTGGCTTCTCTCTTTCTTCCAGTCTGGCCTTACAAAGGCAGTGCAGGAGAGCAAAATCTCGCTGCGTCAAGCAGAGTACGAATTTCTGTCTTTTGTCCGTCAACAGACACCTCCAGGACTCTGCCCACTTGCCGGTAGGAGGTTTTAACATTTACGAAAGATAGTCATTTTTATTGATTTGTACCATCCCTTGCCACTCAAAAGGCCTAAGGCAGCTAATGGATTCAAACAGAAAATGCAAACAGTATATGTATAAAAAACCATTAAGAATAACTCTTAACATCAACAAATCATAATTTGTTGTATGCGACTAACTTCAGCTATTCAAATTAATGGGCCCCAGTCATCTAGGTCTATTAATTTTAGTGTGTCTGCTCTGAGTATGTGTAACATTGGGTGCAACCCTATGTGGTTAATCAAAGCCAGTTTGAGAATCAGCAATAGACCATCCCTTAATAGACGTTCATTTCTCCAAAACATCATTTGGTATAAAAAGTTCAACTGAGAGAAGGGAAGGCGACCTCTGTGCCTTTATGGGAAGGGAGTTCTGGAGACTGAGATTCAGATGGTTTAATCCCTGACTCCCCTCCGTCTTTCTTCTGAAAATATATGTAGGGACAGCGCATCTTATGATGCTGATTGTAGAGCCTGGGAAGGTTCAGGTGGGAAAATGCAGCAGCTTCAGATTAGTTGCAATTAGTGTGAGTGGAAAGCAGGGCAAATTCAGCGCCCAATTGCCCCATTTTACATCACCTACCTGGACATTTGGCCAAGCGCTTTCTTTGGTCAAGCTGTAGCAGTGCTGCAGATAAAATCTAGTGGTGTTGGGAGGGTATCCTGATTCTGTCAAAGGCAGATTCATGTGTTCATATAAAAATAAAATAATTGGGCCAGTAGTTGAGTATGGTCACCCACACTCTAGCCTCCATTTTTGTGAAGCCTGTCTCTAGTCTCAGAGTGGCATTAGAGACACATTTTCAGACTTGAAGGGCTGATCTTAAAAATTTAGACTGTACAAGTTCTAGTGGTTCAAAGTCAGAGAAGGGGCCCAGCTGGGCACCATAGAAAAGTTGTGCTATAGAGAAGTTGTGCTAGCCATAGTCTTTTATATACTACATCCGTTTAATGCTCCTAACCCTTCTTTTAGATTCTTTTAGATTCTTTTATATTTGTATTTTAGATTATTTAGCTTCTATTATATATACCTTCTGTTTTAATACTGTTTAGCTTTCCAAAACGTTTTATAGATTTTAAATGGCTGTATCCCCTGCTACGTATGCTGGTCTAAGACTGTAACAAAGATTTGAGATTGAGATTTGGGGGTGGGTGGGATTTGGGGGTGTCTTCGCCACCCACCTGAGAATTCCACGTTGAGCGCATGAACAGAATCTGTGCCTTTCCACCCTTTTCAGGAAACTCGGTTCATGCGGACAAGAAATTCCTCGACAAGCACATGCCCCAGTTCATGAAACACCTTCACTACAGGATCATTGATGTGAGCACCATCAAAGAACTGTGCAGGTCAGTACCCACTACATCATTTGCCAGAGCTTGGGTGTGTGGGTGGCTCCTTGGGCAGCGAATGGCATGCCAGAGACTTTGAGGAAATCTTGCGGGTCTTACGTGTAATATGTGACCACCAAGATGCCTACAGTCAACAGTAGATGCAGCTTTCTGAAAGGTTCAGATTCTACAGCCGCAAAATATATTTGCATTTATTTTTTATTTATTTGATAGCTCAGTCGGTAGAGCATGAGACACTTAATTTCAGGTTGGGCAGAGCTCCAGGTTGGGCAGAAGATTCCTGCATTGCAGGGGGTTAGACTAGAACAGGGGTCAGCAAATGTTTTCAGCAGGGGGCCGGTCCACTGTCCCCCAGACCTTGTGGGGGGCCAGGCTATATTTTGGAAAAAGAAAAAAAAAAGAACGAATTCCTATGCCCCACAAATAACCCAGAGATGCATTTTAAATAAAAGCACACATTCTGATTCCCAGACCGTCCGCTGGCTGGATTTTGAAGGCGATTGAGCCGGATCCGGCCCCCGTGCCTTAGTTTGCCTACCCATGGACTAGAAAACCCTCAGGGTACTTTCTGAGTCTGCAATTCTATAATTCTACGAACATGAGGTTTTGAACTGTAACATGAGGTTACAGACACTTCAGGTTACAAACACTTCAGGTTACAGACTCCGCTAACCCAGAAATAGTACCTTGGGTTAAGAACTTTGCTTCAGGATGAGAACAGAAATCGTGCAGCGGTGGCAGTGGGAGGCCCCATTAGCTAAAGTGGTACCTCAGGTTAAGAACAGTTTCAGGTTAAGAACAGACCTGCAGAACAAATTAAGTTCTTAACCCGAGGTACCAATGTATAGTAAAATTATGGAGTAACATGGAACTTTTGGAAGTGGAAAATATTACTCTGCAATGTAATAACTAGTTTTCGTGAGTTTTAGAAAATTAAAGCTGGAATTTTAGCAGTTCTGATTTTTGCATGAGATCGTTTCAAATTTGGTGTGTCTGCGGCTCCGGAGTCCTGCGTTTGTGGGTGCTCTTGCCTATGGCGTCCACCACATTTGGTAGATAATTTAGATTTTGGATCATGGGGACTTGTTTTGTGTGTGCAGACGCTGGTACCCAGAAGACTACGAGTTTGCTCCAAAGAAGGCTGCGTCTCATAGGTAATTGTTTGGCTTTGAAGAGAGATTGTTTTGTGTGTGTCAGATTGTATCACCAGGCATCAACAATGAGGTTATGCAGTATGGTAAGGACAGCGCAGTGGGGGAGGTGCCATTGATAAAAGTTATTTCTTTTATTAAAGTTATTTCAAATCTGGAAAGGGACATTTGCCCCGCATCCAAATGGAGAAGGGTTGGAGCTCAAGGGCAGAACAGGTGCTGTACATGCAGAAGGTACCAGGCTCAATCACGGTCATTTCCACATTGTGCATGGAGGGACAGAGTGCTGCTGCCAGCCAGTGTAGACCAGGGATAACTAATATATTACCTTCTAGAAGTTGCTGGATTCCTCTCCCATCATCCCAGACCATTAGCATGACTAATGGTCAGGGGTGATGGGAGTTGTAGTCCAGCTATACTGGGTGGGCAAGAAGTTGCTTACTCCAACCTTGATGGCCCATCAGGCTTGACTCAAGTATAAGTGTGCCATTTCCTTTTCTCATCTGTTAACTGTGCTGTTAAGAACCTTTCCCCGTCCATCTCAGAACTTGCCTTTTGGTCATTATTCAGCAAGATGAACGTGCTGTTATTATCTACTCTCTTTCATTGTGCTTGATCATAGCGATTCAGCCCGTAAGTTTATTGCCAAGATGGGTAGCATGTTTTGTATTAGAACAACATTTCCTCCTTTATTGACATTATTTCCCTAGGAGAAAGTGTGTGTTACAGAGCAGTTCAGAAGTGGCAGGGAGGGAGAACCAAGAGGGAATAAGTTGCCAAATCCAAAGTTCTGTTGGTCTCATTCCAGCAGGGGAGAAGGCATGTGTGTAAGGGCGTTTTTGCTCTCCTCCCTCCAACCAGCTTTGAATCTCTCCTTCAGTTCCCCTTCTGTAGGGTTCCATACCACATAGAAGTGCACAACCTGTTTGCAGCATTTTGGGGAACACTGTAAAGTCATACCTTTTTCAGCTTCTTTTAAAATTAGCCTGCCCTTGCGTTTGGAGGTGAGTGTGTACGGTGCAGCCTTCTTTTAAAGGAACGCTAACTTTTCCTGAATTCCCTTTAGAGCCCTGGATGACATCAGGGAGAGTATCAAAGAGCTTCAGTTCTACAGAAATAGCATCTTCAAGAGGAAAACAGACGAGAAGAAAAGAAAGCTAGTGGAAAATGGTGACAATGAAAAGCTGGCCAGTTGATCTTGCAGCCTGGTTCTTTAGCAAAAGCACAAGGCACCAGAAGTGTCTCCGCCTGCCGTTTTCAGTTCACTGTTGGTTAAGGAAGGGGCTGCTTTCCGTTACTTTGCTTCCTCAAGATTGTTAACAGCTACTGACTACCACATGTGACGGGTTGTTGACATCTGAATTGCAGGCCAGTGCCTTGAACTAACTGCAGCCATTTGGTTCATGCGTATGGAGTACCTTTTGTAGTTAAAGAGCCCCTGTTTGGTTCTAGGCACCCTCTTTTATTATGCAATAAAGCCAGCCTTGCTGAAAGATGCTTGCCTCTTTTCTAGACTTTAGCATTTCTGCTTTGCTTTTCCTATTTTGTGTGTGTGTGTGTGTGTGTGTGTGTGTGCGCGCGCGCGTGCATGCGTGCGTTTGGGGGCTGCTAGCAGGATTTGGCCTGAGTGGCACTGGAGTCGTGCCTTTATTCTAACAGCCCCTTGGAATCTGGCTGCGGCACTTGCCCCATTTTGGAGCTCAGAAGCAGAAGCCAAAAGATCGCGGCTAGTTCAAGGTCACCTAAGCAGTCCAAGGCAAGGTGCTGTTTACTGTGTCTCCCCCTCAGCATGTGACATATCGCTTGTCTTTCCAGCTTGATGATTTCAGGCTTAAAAGTTTGCAGGCACCTTGGTGTAGGCATCTGGTATAGGCACTTAGGTCAGAATCCAAGGAGACAATTTTTAGCCATGCCCAAGACTTCAATATGATGCATCTATACACCTCTGTAGTGGCACCCACCCATCAGAAGTCAAACAGATCAGCATCTATTTGATTTTTAGAAGGGAAGTTTTTAATTGTTGATGTTTTACAGATGTAACTTTTAACAGATGTAAGTTAAAAGCATATTAATTTGATTCACAACCACATGATCTGCTGGGTGGACACTGCTTGTGCCGTAGGCAACCGTCATGTCCCAGGCGTCGACAAAACCCACTTTTAGATCCCGAAAAATGTCCCTTAGTGCAAGGTATTGGGCATAGCCATGGAAGTCACCAAATCTCTCCTGGTCGATGTCTATCTCCCGAGTGTTCTCTGCTTTGATGATGACTTTTGTATCTGGGCTCCTCAGGAGAAGGCACAGGATGGCTCCCCGGATGTTGATCATCCTTTGAATGAAGAGCTTGATGGGGAAGGGACGGAAGTGCTGGCCCAAGGAGATGACAACCACCGTGTCTCCGTCGCCTGCCATGTTGTCAATCTCTCGAGCAACATAGCTGTGGTCTTTCGTGGTATATTCGTGGACTGTAATGATGGGGTGGCCATGTTTTTTCCATTGGACTTGGATGTTCCTGGCCGTGTCTATAGAAAGCAGATTCCGGAGCTTCCCAGTCCCATAGGTGTCAAAAGGTTTTAGGGCTAGCAACAAAATAAAGACATAGGATCAGTGCAAGTTGATGCTAGGGAGATAAAGCCATATGCACAACCGATTACCGCAGGTGAGTGGGTGCCATTTTGTCATGGAGACCTGTTCTCATGTGCCAAGACACTTTTGATAATGAAAAAGTAGCAGCCGTGATCTGTAAGGATTAATGCTGGACTTTCAACTCCCAGAAGCCCTATTCAGTATGGGCAGTAGCCAAGGATGATGGGAATTGTAGTCTAACATCTGGAAGGCCACAGAGTAGCCACCCCCAGATTAACAGCAGGTGGATGCTTGAGGTAGATGGCTGTGGTTAGTGAGCTGAAGGCCTCATGGAAAGTATCTCGACTACCACAAAGCCCACTAACTGCCTAGTCTGCCTTGTTAAGTTGGGTGTGAGAAACATGCAATCCTCCAGAAGTTTTTGAACTACAACTTCCATCATTCCTGGCTATTGACTAAGTCTTCTGGGGGTGATGGGAATTACAGTTCAGCAACATCTAAAGGGGCTAAGGTTCCCCACAAATTTTTGCTGCCTTTTCGCCTAGTGAGGAACAAACTACTCGCCATCTGTGTGAGATTTTCCATAAGACATAATTGCTTTCCTTTGGAGCACATGTTAAATCTCACCTGAAGTCCTTAAATTGAGCATAATTCCAAAATGTGTTGTCACTAGTCTTGCCCCCAAATGACTCACTCGGCTCTTGCATGATGGGTGATTCCAGGGCACCCTTGCATCATTACCCTCAGTATTCCAAAAATGGGGGTACTGGGCCTTCGAGAACTACCATTCAATTCCACAGAGGCTTGAACTGCCTTGGAAAATCTGTTAAGTGTTAATTTGTCCCCACTGTAAGGTTATAAGGATTATCTAAGCCTATATTTGCTTCCAGCCTGGATTTCTCATTAGCTGGGGAAATCTTCCCTGCCTAGGTCCCATTGACTCCAAGTCTGGGCATTGTTCTTTCCAGGCATGAACCAACTATGTGACAAGAAATCGCAAAGCAGCAGCCCAAAATCTGTAGAACCACTTTCCTCAAAGAGCCAGTGGTAGTGTACTGGTGCAGGCTTTCCAACCTCAGCCCTCCTGATGTTTTTGGCCTACAACTCCCATGATCCCTAGCTGGCAGGACCAGTGGTCAGGGATGATGGGAATTGTAGTCTCAAAACATCTGGAGGGCCGAGGTTGAGGAAGCCTGGGTTAGAGTGTCGGATTAGGAGCTGGGAGACCAGGGTTCAAATCCTGAAGCTCCCTAGGTGACGTTAGGCCATTCACTACCTCACAGGGTTGTTGTGGGGGATTAATTTAGGGGAAGAACTCTGCATGCCTCAAGCCCCTTGGAGGAAAAAGATGGGATATAAGTGCAATAAATAAAAATGGAGAACGGAAAACCAATATTTGTGAGAGACAGCATCTGCCTGCTGGCAGGAGCTGTTCCTGGGAAGGATCCGGAGTAACAGGAGGCGGCAACATCAAGTCTGTGTCTGAGCAAATGGTGGTGGGTGCTCTGCCAGATTTTCAGGGAACCTACTGTCCACAGTGTTTTCCAGATGTTCTAGCCATTGCCGCACTGTTGAATCTCCCATGAAATAAACCCGCTTTTTCCCCAAGCAAGTGTTAATCTCATCCGCAGTCCCCATGCTGGACGTTCTGCAAAAGACGGGGTGCCACTGGTCCTTCCACACAAAGCCAATGGGGAATGCGGAGCTCATCCTGACCGTGCACTTCTGGCTTGGCGCCATCTTGCTCCCTGGTAAACAATAAGAACAAAAACAGCTAAGTGGACGGTTGCATCTGTTGGTAGGTTTTGGTGCACTCAACTTGCTGAGAGGGGTTTCCATGGGGTTTAGAGAAAGAGACCTCCAGACTCCCAGAGCATCCCTGTACTTTTATCTCTATGCTGACTTCTCTCCATCCTTTGAAGTTTAGGCCGATACATCTCAGGTGGCATCCTGTTCTCAATTCCCTCCTCCTCTCTGCTCACACTTGTTCTGGACTTTGAGACGAGAGGTAATCTTGGATCTACTCTTTCCTATCCAGAATGTGTTTCCCTTAAGAAAGAAGCTTTCTTGTGCTCTGCCAAGTCTGAATACCTTTCAGCTAAAGGTGTGCTTCAAGCAAGTATTTATTTAACGAAAGCTAGCTTCTGCTGTTGCATGCAAATTTCTATATGGAAACAGCATCAAACAGCTGCTCTTCCTGGTTTTGATCAAAACCACATACAGTGGTACCTCAGGTTAAGTACTTAATTCGTTCCGGAGGTCCGTTCTTAACCTGAAACTGTTCTTAACCTGAAGGACCACTTTAGCTAATAGGGCCTCCTGCTGCTGCTGCACTGCCGGAGCACGATTTCTGTTCTCACCCTGAAGCAAAGTTCTTAAGCCGAGGTACTATTTCTGAGTTAGCGGAGTCTGTAACCTGAAGCGTCTGTAACCCGAAGTACCACTGTACCACAATCTATGGAAAAAGAAAACTTCCCCAAATTGTTATTTCTAAAGCCAGTCAACAGGGGGAGCCTGCTGCAACATAGGAAGATGTCTTCTACTGAGTCAGGCCTTGGTCATTCTAGCTCAGTATTGTATACACTGACTGGCAGCAGCTCTCCTGGGTTCCAGGCAAGGACTGTCTCCCAGCTCTACCTGGAGATGCCGGGAATTGGGCCTGGGCCTTTCTGCAGCTCATAACTTGTAAAACTACCTGTGCAAGAGAAGTTTGTGGATGGGCGTGGGTGTCTAAGCCCTGCAGACCTTGGCTTCCTGCAGAGATGTAGAAGGGCAGAGTGCTCAGCTTCTGCTTAACAACCCTTATTTCCTTTCCTTTGACACATGTTTCTGAGGGCAGATCTACACACAATTTTTAACTTTAAGGAACGGTTTTGATAATGCATATGGACACACGACTTCTTTTAACGTTCACAATGCGATATTAAAATGAGACACAAAGGGCTTTGCAGAGCAATCAGCAGTAGTGAGACAGCATTTTCAACAAAAAAAAGGGTAAAAAACACTTTAATTTACAAGAATGCCCTGTGATGTTTTAGAACGAAGTATCTAATATTGTTCTAATAATGCTAAACAGGTCTGTGTAGATCCAGTTGAACATTTCCCTCTGTGGATTTTTATAGGAACCAGGTAAGCCTGTGTGAAAGCATCACTTATTTGGTACTAAAGGAAAAAAGAAAAAGACTTCAGTTCACTTATCCCTTGTTTTTATTTCCTTGAGCAACAGAAATTTCTTTGCAGTTTTACTCGCTCTATTTAATTCCAACAGCTGTCTATACTCAGCACAACCTTGTCTCACAATACAATTCCAAAACATTTCACAATTCTAACATTCAACCATTGGGTTGGTTTTTTTTATTTAAAGATCTGACAGTTGACTCAGGAGCACTCTTGCTTTCCAATGGCAGGGCTCAGCTCTGCAGTATTATAATTCTTTTAAATTTATATCCCATTTTTCCTCCCAAGGGAGCCCAAGTGACTTAACAGTTAAAACATCCAAAAACAATTCTAGTACAGATGCAGACTGTGAAAGTAAATCCCAAAATGAAGACCTCTGCATATTTTCCACCACCATCCCCAACTTTGGAATTCCAAGGAGCCTTCAGCTCTAAAACATCTAACTTTAGAAGTGAATTCACTTCTGCTACCAGCTGCACAAGATGATTAGCATCCTTTGCTAGCACCTTTTTTCACTGACTTCATTTCCCCTCCTCCTTCCTCTCTATCCTGCCTTATGTGATTGGCTGCAACATCCCATCAAATTTTGTTTTCAGGGGTCCAACAGCAGTATTTGTGAGATCACATGTGATGCCACAACTAATTGGTGAAATGCTAGTGAAAGTGAAGGAGGTGGAGACGAACCACAGAGAAAGAACACTGAAAGTGAAAGGTGCTCCTTTGATAAACATGAAATGTTTTGCAGCAATTGCCCACTATCCAGATTTTGTAAGGAGCAATGCTTGCCCAACTGTGTGGGGTGGGGAGGGAGAGGATCTCTTGCACAGTTGAAATGGAGGGTGTCAAATCTGAGAGATGCAATGCTGTCACAAGGCTATGTTTGTATAACATACAAGACCATGTAACACCGGTCCTGAAAGACCTACATTGGCTCCCAGTATGTTTCCAAGCGCAATTCAAAGTGTTGGTGCTGACCTTTAAAGCCCTAAGTGGCCTCAGCGCAGTATACCTGAAGGAGCGTCTCCACCCCAATCATTCTGCCCGGACACTGAGGTCCAGCTCCGAGAGCCTTCTTGCAGTTCCCTCACTGCAAAAAGTGAGGTTACAGTGAACCAGGCAGAGGGCCTTCTCAGTAGTGGCCCCCGCCCTGTGGCATGCCCTCCCATCAGATGTTAAGTAAATAAACAACTACCTGACATTTAGAAGACATCTGAAGGCAGCCCTGTTTAGGGTAAGGTTATCAGATGCCCCCTTTCCCAGGGACAGTCCCTGGATTTACAAATCAGTCCCCATACAAAATCCACTGAAGTTGAAAAGTGTCCCGGGATTCATTGGGGGAAAAAATCTGGTAACCTTAGTTTAGGGAAGTTTTTAATGTGTGACATTTTAATGTATTTTTAATCTTTGTTGGAAGCCGCCCAGAGTGGAAGCAGCCAGATGGTTGGGGTAGAAATAAATTATTATTATTATTATTATTATTATTATTATTATTATTATTATTATTATATTATAGCAAGGCAAGTTCACAGCACTTTGGAAAAATATTTATAGGGCAATTGTTTTGTGGAGCTAAGCATGTTATGTCTTAACAGATGCTTTCTCAGTGAGTTATGCACCTGCTGCAAGTTAAAAACTTCTCTTTGACTCCAGGCCATAGGAGCCAACTCCAGGGGGCCATGGGTGTTTGGGCACCCACAAAAATATACCATATTTCTTGCACCATAACACTCACTTTTTTCCTCCTAGAAAGTAAGGGGAAATGTCTGTGCGTGTTATGGAGGGAATGCCTACGGGTGGCATGCCTATGGATTTTCCTCCTCTAAAAACTACGTGCGTGTTATGGTCGGGTGCGTGTTATAGAGCGAAAAATACGGTAATTGTGGGTGCTGGGTACACACAAAGTCAGTGAGAAAAGCTGGCAGGCGGCAGCTGGGCTGCCTCTGAGAGAGGAGTAGTTCAGCTCTGTCCTCTGCAGCCAGCCAGTGAAGCACCTTTTTCTGAGGGAAGCTGCCGCCACTGAAATGCAGGCATGCAACATCACACACAAAGACACACCTGCACATGGTGCGTGTGACGTCACACGCACTATGTGCAGGCATGTGTGTGATGTGACACGACCACGTTGCATTGGCGGGCACCCACAATCCTGAGGGTGAGTTGGCACCCCTGCTCCAGGCAGCTTTCCTCAAACCTAGTGCCTTAGCAGATGTTGCTGCACTGCAACTTCCATTAGTCCCATCTAGCAAGGCCAGTGGTCAGTTGCTCAGAAGCAGACAAAACCAGCTTTACTTTCTCATCAAATTTTGTATCATTTGTGGACTGGAAACAAGAGCAAATAGCAGTTGCATTCACTGGATTGATTTCTGTTCCAGACATGGGATGAATCTGTGAACATTGTAGGATTTTTGTTGTTGTGGGTAGGGGTAGACAGAGGATATTTGGGGTACCAACCCATCCTTGGACCTAAGTGCTTAGTAAGTTTGACGGACTTCTCCACACCCAGACCTGAACTGATATTCGCTCTCCAAGTGATCAAATGTCAAGAGGACTTAGGGAAATAAATCAGTGTGACTGCCCTCATCCATCTTCATTAAGTTTCCTGATAGACTGGAACTTTGTACTGTCTGTCTCCAACCCTCTCTTCCCTAAACTAACAGATGTATGTTAAAAACATAATGATTTGGTTCCAGATCACATGGTCAGGTGGATGGACGTCATAAATGGCGTAAGCAATGTTCATGTCCCAGGCATCTATGAAACCAACATTCAGACCTTGGAAGATGTCCATTATGGCAAGGTTTTGGGGGTAGCCATTGACATCACCCAACCGCTCCATGTCTGTGTCCATCTCCCGGGTGTTCTCTGTCCTGATGATGACTCTTGTTTCTGGGCTTCTCAGAAGTAGGCGGTGGATGGCTCGGCGGATGTTAAGCAGCCTCCTCACAAAAAGATCCATAGGGAAAGGGCGGAAGTGCTGGCCCAGAGTGATGGCAATGACCGTGTCTTTGTCCCCAGCCAGCCTGTCAATTTCATTGGTGATGTAATTGCCATCCTTTACAGAGAAAAGTTTCCTAGAGACAAAAGGGTTCCCGTGTCTTTTCCACTGAATGAAAGTGCTCCTCTCCAGATCCAAAGCTATGTGCGTTTTGAATGGCCCAGCACTGTGGCGATCAAAGAGCTTCAATGCTAGCAAACAATAAAAGGAAGAGAGTTTGAAAGGGGGAAAGGGGGCCAACCAGCTCTTGTACCTAAAAAAGGGAATCAGGCGTCCTACTATTTGAAAAGTGGTGTCAATTGGTAGCATTGATGTGGACCCAACTTTTAATGGCAGTTTTGGGTCCTCAATGGGGAGAGCACTTTTATTCTTCTTCATTCATTGTAGCTAAGTTTGTGTTTAATGTGTATCAGAGAAAGAGCATGTGGGCTCTAGACTCTGCAGATCAAGTCCATGGGGAGGGAGTCTACCCTACCCTTGTGGCTAGCAAGGAAGAGGCAGATAGCAATAGCTGGGTTTAAAAGTTGGCCACAACTTCATAGAATCGTAGAGTTGGAAGGGACCCTGAGGATCATCTAGGCCAGACATGGCCAAACTTGACCTTCCGGCTGTTTTGGGACTACAGCTCCCATCATCCCTAGCTAACAGGACCTAGTGGTCAGGGATGATGGGAATTGTAGTCCCAAAACAGCTGGAGGGCCAAGTTTGGCCATGCCTGAATTCTAGTCCAACCCTCTGCAGTGCAGGAAAATGCAGTTGTCCCATACAGGGATAAACCTGCAACCGTGGCATTATCATGCGCTAATTAACTGTGCTGTCCATTAATTACTTGCAGTAAATCATCAACTGCAACCAATATGTATACGAATGGGAATGGGATGCGAAGCTGAAGCCAAAAGCGAAGGGTGCTCAGAGCAAATCTGAAGGCAACCCGCATACCAGGAGAACGTACTTGCCACCTTTTCAGTAAGGTAATAGATCCATTGCCTTAACGTTGAATCCCCCATGAGATAAATCTTCTTCTTCTTCAGGCATTCCTGGATTCGATCCAGAGTGCTAAAATCAGATACGGAGCAAAACTGCGGGTGCCAAACCTCCTGCAAGGCATAGCCGCTGGGAACGGGCAAGTTCATCCCGATCGTGCATTTGTCTCTTGCCATCATCGTTGTACTTCCTAACAGAAACAGATGAGGGATATTTGGTGGTGAACATGGAAAGAGCTGGGTTTCTGGAGCTTCAGTTTCCTTGTGTGGGATTTACGGTAAGCATCTTTGGAATATGGTGTGCCCCTGGCACTTTGAGTTCAAAAGGACAGGACCCTTCAATATCATTGAAGAATTATGTGAGAGACTGAGATCTGAGATACTGCTTAGATTAGGGACTCCTGTGGATTTCCCTCTTCCTCCAAAGCTTTGTTCTTTTTAGATGCACAGCAGATAGGACTTCAATGGGTCTACTCTGAGTAATACTAGCACTAAATACAGCCCAGAGTCTTTTAAGTCAGACTATTGATCCATCTATGTCCTTATTGCCTACACTAGCTGGTAGCAGTGTTCCAGAATTTCATACTGGAGTTTTCCCTGGTTCTATCTGGACAGGAAGCACAATTTGAACCTGGGACCTTCTGCATGCAAAGCCGATGTTCTGCCACTGAGCGGCAATCTCTCCAAAAGTGTTTAGCATGCTTGAAAGAAATAGTTCTGAGGAATGGGGAGAGTTTACATCAGATCTGGTGGCACAGTGTCACTACAACTGGTGCTAAGCCATGCACCATTCATCAAAGAAACCCGTGTTGGTTAAAAAGACAACTTACTGTTACAGGATAGGACACGAATCTCCCCAAAACTTTGTGGTATCTCGATCCCAATGTTGTCCCTTCAAAGACAGAAGAGAATGGCAAATGAGTGCATAGGAAATAAGAATGCTTCTTTGCCTCTATTTGACCTTCTCTACACATGCGTCACAGGGACGCAGGTGGCGTTGTGGGTTAAACCACAGAGCCTAGGACTTGCCGATCAGAAGGTTGGCAGTTCGAATCCCCACAACGGAGTGAGCTCCCGTTGCTCGGTCCCTGCTCCTGCAGGAAGGTAAATGGTGTTTCCGTGCGCTGATCTGGTTTGCCAGAAGCGGCTTAGTCATGCTGGCCACATGACCCGGAAGCTGTATGCCGGCTCCCTCAGCCAATAAAGCAAGATGAGCGCTGCAACCCCAGAGTCGGCCACGACTGGACCTAATGGTCAGGGGTCCCTTTACCTTTACCTTACACGTGCGTCATGCATGTGTTGGGATCATGCTGGCAAAAAGTGTCCTTGGGTATGATGGAGGACTCTGTCCCATTGCCACCATTCAAGGGCGAGTCCGGTTGGCTTCTGCAGGTTATGGAGGGAGAGGGGTGGCCTTGTCTTATACATCAGACAGCAAAGCATCTTGGGTCAGCACTGGGTACCTATTGCTAGGTATGAGAAACAAAACCATCTTCCGGAGAAGACTGCTGCAGGAAATCTGGCAAGGGCACTTGCATAAGAATGAAATAATTGCAAGCAAATTTATGGGGAAGGGGGTTTGAAACAGCCAAAGGACTCCTTGGCAAACTTGTAGCATTTTGCAATCATTGAAAGCCAGATTGGCCCTGGCAGATCCCAAATACTGTGTAGCTTCTTTTCTGGAAATGGTTCTGTTCCACGCTATATTTGAGGGTCTCTAACTCAGGCGTGAAAGGACGCGGGGGCGCTGTGGTCTAAACCACTGAGCCTCTTGGGCTTGTCGATCAGAAGGTCTGCGGTTCGAATCCCTGCGACGGGGTGAGCTCCCGTTGCTCAGTCCCAGCTCCTGCCAATCTAGCAGTTTGAAAGCATGCCAAAAAAAGAAAAAGAAAAGTGCAAGTAGAGAAATAGGTACCACTCTGGCGGGAAGGTAAATGGCGTTTCCGTGCGCTGCTGTGGTTGCACCAGAAGTGGCTTAGTCATGCTGGCCACATGACCTGGAAAAACTGTCTGCGGACAAACGCCAGCTCACAGCCAGTAAAGCGAGATGAGCGCTGCAACCCCAAAGTTGTCTGCGACTGGACTTAACTGTCAGGGGTTCTTTACCTTTACCTTTTAACTCAGGTGTGGGGAAGAGAAACTGTAGCTCTCCAGATGTTGGTGGGCTCCAATTCCCATCATCCCATTGGTCATGGTAGCTGGGACTGATGGGAGTTGGAGTCCAACAACATTTGGAGGGCCACTGAGTTCCCTCTGCTTTAACCCAAAGAGAGAGAAGTTAATGGTGCAGATGACTCATGTACTGAGCTGTGATAAAGCTTCAAGGTTTCTCTCCCAGTTTTGTTTGGACTTCTACCTCTGTGATCCCCAGACTGCTCCAAGGTCCTCACAAAAGGGACCCACCTGCCCCTTTCCCACCAATATTTATATTCAGCTGCCCAAATGAGTTTTAATAAATCTGCCCACACTCACAACCAGTGCACTGCTGTCTAAGCTATAGGTCTGATATGGAATTGCAAACACCTCCTAAAAAGGCTCTGCTCCAAGGATGTGAGGTAGGTGATGGGCTTGTTGTCAGTCGTCAGGAGAACAAATGCTTCACAGGGCACATTCTTTGGTTTTACGCAGTAGAAGGCTTCTTGGTCTCGTTCATCCAGATACTCGCACAGTTCTGCGTTTCTCTCTATGACAAAACCACATTTGGTGCAGACGCGTGATGTTCCATTTAAAAATGTGCCTGTAAAAGCTATTTTGTCGTAGCCTTTCTTCCTCGCAGCCCACAGTGCAGAAACTCCTTCGCTGGGGTGGATGAGCAAGATGGACACTCTGACATCGCCCTCCCAAAATAAAGTGAAATTGACCAGGTATGTCCCATTCTTATAGTCTGTGATGCGCCCAGAAGCTCCAGCCCTAAGACTTGAAGAGTAGATCCTCGCTCGTAAGAAATCTCCTCCGTATTCCTTTCTCTTCCCCAAGTGGTTGTACAAATCCAGTCGAACTATCAAGGAATCTCCAATGCAATAAGAACCCTTTTGGTTTAATATGGTGGCCTTGCTATTCCTGGCACTTGTGGTGGTCATTATATCTGTGAAACTGATGCTGGGCATTATCTGGTCCAGTTTCATAAGGATTTCCTTTACCTCCTGCTCTTTTTTCCACCGCTGCACCCTAGTCCTGCACTGGGCTGCATTCTCTGTCTGACAAATCCTATTCCCCGTGAATCTAAGGCAAAAGTCTTCATTTGTTTCCAAAGCACCTAGAAAATCCCCCGGTTCCTGCATGTGATCTCCAAAGAGAGTGATCTTGAAAGAGAAACAAGAGAAGGCAAATGATAAGGAAACAGAATTCAGAATTGCTGAGTCTCTCTCTCTCTCTCTCTCTCTCTCTCACACACACACACACACACAGAGAGAGAGAGAGAGAGAGAGAGAGTTCTTGAAAACTTCACAGACACTGAGTCCTCTGTAATATCAACTGGGCATATATGAGCTGGGGTATCTAGGAACAAAGTGCCCTTCATACAAAGATGTCAGATTCCAAATAAGACCCTTGGTCCATCTCCCCTTCCCTCTGACCAGCAGCTCTGCCGCTTGTGAGGTTGGGGGCTGAACAGGTGACTCCCTGGTCCTGAATGGGGTAATTGTGCCCCTGAATGACCAGGTGCAGCCTGGGAGCCATTTTGGACTCACAGCTGTCCATGGAGGCACAAGTCAGTTCTGTGTCCAGGGCAGCTATCTACCAGCTCCACCTGGTACACAGACTAAGACCCTACCTTCCCATGGACTGTCTCACCAGAGTGGTGCATGTTCTGGTTATCTCCCGCTTGGACTACTGCAATGCGCTCTATGTGGGGCTACCTTTGAAGGCGACTCAGAAACTGCAACAAATCCAGAATGCGGCAGCTAGACTGGTGATTGGAAGTAGCCGCCGAGACCATATAACACTGGTCCTGAAAGACCTACATTGGCTCCCAGTACATTTCCAAGCATAATTCAAAGTGTTGGTGCTGACCTTTAAAGCCCTAAATGGCCTCGGCCTAGTATACCTGAAGGAGTGTCTCCACCCCCACCATTCAGCCTGGACACTGAGGTCCAGCTCTGAGGGCCTCCTGGCAGTTTCCTCACTGTGAGAAGTGAAGTTACAGGGAACCAGGAAGAGGGCCTTCTCAGCAGTGGTGCTCTCCCTGTGGAATACCCTCCCATCAGATGTCAAGGAGATAACTATACAACCTTTACAAGGCATTTGAAGGCAGCCCCGTATAGGGAAGTTTTTAATGTTTTGTTATGTTCTTATATATGTTGGAAGCTGCCCAGAGTGGCTGGGGCAACGCAGTCAAATGGGTGGGGTACAAATAATAAAGTTGTTGTTGTTGTTGTTGTTGTTGTTATGAACATAGGATTTCTTTCAGACAGAGAAAATGCTCTGTCTGCAACTTATGCCCACCCCCCTCTTACCTTGAACACCCTCCTGTACAGAGTATAGCTCAGGATGAGGAAGCCTGCCAAGCCCAATGTCAGAAGGAATCCTTTCCTGATGATAGTGATGAAGAATGTCATGACGATTGCCTGCAGGGAAATGGAGAACACACTCACTAAAGTGCCTCAGATCTCGTGAAATCCTCTTTGCATATAGTTGTGGGGAGAGCAGGGCGACTACGTAAGCAAAGCAAGCCGTGTGGGTGAAGCTGCCAAGTGAAACAGTTTCAAGCGTGTACTTCCTTTTAGGAGCAAAGCGGTGGTTGCTGAGTTAGTATTTGGCAGCAAAGCAACAGGTCACTTGGTCAGGAGCTCAAGTCCAGCTGGCAAGAGACAGCAAGGAGAAGGAAACCTCAAATTTTGGGGGCTTCTTTGGGACTGGTGGCAGCATAACCCAGACCTTTGGACGAGCCCCAGCAGGGAATAGTAACTGTTGGAAAAAGAACAGCTGATCACTTATCTGTGATTTCCTGCTTTGCAAGGGTTAGACTAGATCATCATCATCATTTTTAATTTGTATACCGTCTTTCTATTTTACAGTACTCAAGGCGGTTTACAAGCTGAAGAAACAAAAAATGTACATCTTATAACAATCTAATGCAATACAAAAATGTGATAATAAAACATAACTTTAAAATAGGCGACCTACATCAAAAAAGTAACATTCAGCAATCATTAGAATAGTATAAAATAATAATATCAACATAAAAGTTAAACAGAAATGCACTCAACAGTTACAATAAATAATATTTAAACTATAATCAATAAAACAACGGCAAGCCATAGTACCTAAAATAATACAATACACATTGCGAAGCAGAGACTAGAGGGTAGAGCAAGGCAGGTGGAAGGAGGGCTTGCCTGATGGAGGGGAGAGACTAGATGGCCCCTGGGTACCTTCCAACTCTGCAATTTTGTGATCTATCCTTCTCTATCCCGCTACACCCAGCTTTGGGTGAGAGAACACTGGAGACTTTTGGTGTGTTTGCAATGTTTGGCTAATTTAATACTTTCAAGCTGTGCTCCTGGAGTCAGCTGTGCTCCTGGAAACATGACTCAGCTAACTCAGATTCTCAGAAACGAAGATCACTTCCCCCTGGAGTGTATATTGAGCAACAGTGCTTATTCGTTTTCACAAAATTTGTTGTGAAGTTACGTCTGTGGGAGAGCGTCTCCTGCAAGTTCCATGGATCTCAGAAGCCTCTTCTGCAGTAACCTGCCCCTGTTCTGTGGAATAGCCTTCCTATTGAGCTATGACAGAAGCGCGCTATCTGCACTTTATGAAACAATTGTATACGTTTTGTTCTGACAGGTTTTCCTAGCTGGAGAAATGGGTCTTTGTCATGAGTGTCGATTCGGAATGGTTTTAGCTTTGTTCTAAAGGTACTTATTGTATTTAATTCTTTTTATTGTACAGCACCTTGAGATGGTTGTATAGAAAGTGATTAATAAATCAATAATAAACAATATAAAAAATCAACATCATGTGGTTGTTATCCTGCATTTTCCACTGTGAGTTTTCATCATTTTTCTTATGCCAAAAAGTCAGGCATGTTCTTTTTCTTTATCGGATTATTATTATTTTTTTGCACACAATTGCAGCACTGTCATTCTATTAATCACCATTTACCTGGTATTTGGGGGGGGGCAGGTAGGGGTTTTTTTTGGCAGTGGGTTATGAAGATGCACTCTTTATTGCATGTGGGAGATATGATGCTGACCTAGGATTTCTTGGTGGTGGCTCCTTGTTTATGGGATGCAGTTCGAAAGCACGTCAAAGTACAAGTAGATAAATAGGTACCGCTCTGGCAGGAAGGTAAATGGCGTTTCCATGCACTGCTCTGGTTCGCCAGAAGCAGGTTTGTCATGCTGGCCACATGACCCAGAAGCTGTACACCGGCTCCTTCGGCCAGTAAAGCGAGATGAGTGCCGCAACCCCAGAGTCAGTCATGACTGGACCTAATGGTCAGGGGTCCCTTTACCTTTACCTCCTTAGTGAGATGTGTCTGTCTCCCTTATAATTAACTTTCTGGATCGACTTAGAAACATTCCTATTCACTAAGGAATTTGATGACAGAAATATACTGTCCCTGACATCCCTGAAAACTATTAACTGAGAGGGTATGTGGCTGTTTTACGTGTGTCTATACTGTTCCTAATGCTTTTTAAATGTGTGTAGATTTTTAAAATGGCTTTAATTAATCTTTTATTAAAAGTATCTGTAGTGTATCCACCGCTTACCACCAATTGATAGTGTGGTGGACTCACCCCACTAACTGCCCCCCCCAATTAAATATAGCACACGCAACTCACTGTATGCCCATTGCACAGTTTTACAATTTACCACGGGCTTTCGTGTGGGGGACCTGCATGAGGGAAGACTTCGTGCCTCAGACAGGAGTCGATCAAACAAACAGGAGAAGTCTTATTAAACAAACAGAAGGCTCAGAAGTGGTCCTCCGGTTGCGAATTCCTTGGGATATGGCTGGACCTCCAGAACGGATCCCGTTCACAACCAGAGGTACCACTGTATTGACAAACTGGTGCAGAAGAAGGAAACCAAGATGACAAAAGTCCTGGAAACCATGCCATACAAGAGATGGTTGAGAGAGCTAGGTCTGCTTAGCCTGGAGAAGACCGAGAGGTGATATGATGGCCATCTTCAATGACCTGAAGGGTTGTCACATGGAAGATGGAGCAAGCTTGTTCTCTTCTGTTCCAGAGGATAGGACCAGAACCAATGGATTCAAATTGCAAGAAAAGAGACTGTGACTAAACATGAGGAAGACCTTTCTGATGCTAAGAGCAATGGAACGGACTCCCTCAGAAGGTGGTGGACTTTCCTTTATTGGAGGTTTCCATGCAGAGGTTGGATGACCATCTGCAAGGGATTCTTTAGCTGGGATTCCTGCATTGCAGGGGGTTGGACTAGATGACCCGTGGTGTATCCAAGTATACAGTTCTATTATTCTCAGCGCTCTCTCTCTCTCTCTCCATACTATGGAAGTAAGAAAGCATTGTTTTCCATTCTGCCCTGTATTCATCACATGCAGCACTTCCTCCATGTAGCTGCAGTTCATCTTCTGGCAAAAATCAACTCTCTGTTCTTTATGGCAAAATGGTGCTACTCATGTCTTAAGCCACATCATTAAATACATTCTGCCAGGCTTATGCAGGCAATTAAGAATGCATGCAGAACTCTTCTTATTGTGCTTTGCTTTATTATGCTTTGCAGATATTGCTCCTTACAAAGACATGGATGAAGCTGCAGGAAGCCTGGCTGCTTCTAGGGCAGCCATAGGCAAACTTGGCCCTCCAGATGTTTTGGGACTACAGCTCCCATGATCCCTAGCTAACAGGACCAGTGGTCAGGGATGATGGGAATTGTAGTCCCAAAACGCCTGGAGGGCCAAGTTTGCCTATGCCTGTTCTAGGGGAAGGAAGCCCTCCTGCCGCTGTCTCTCTTCTGGTCGTGGGAGTGGAGCTGGCTAGGGCTGGAGTCTGGATTAAAGCACTCACACTTTATGTATAACTGTTGTAAACTGCTCTGAACAGTGGGTTATAAATATTTTCAGAAATATAATAAATAAGCAAACTTTAACAAAGGAGCAGATTGCCCTGCTCGCTTCCAATCCTGTCCTCACTTACCCCATAAACATCTGCTCTCCTGGCAGATGAGCAAACTTGGACAGCTGTTAGATCAAGCTCTAAAGTTCTCCAGAGAGCCCCTTCATGGTGGATGTGAATGGTTCTTTTCATTCCCAGAAGGAAAGTGAAATATTGTCACACATTCACCACTTCTGAGGGGCAGGGGCCCTGCTCTCTAAGGTCTTGCCTGTGGTTGAAGCACTCTAGAAAGTGATGGTGCCTTGCCTTCGTGATAAATACATTGTAGCATGGGGCAAGGAGACTCTTCAAAGCAGAGAGTGTGGTCAGCTGTTATCAGTTCTGTTTCAGATTCACAGACAACTGGCTCCATTGCTCGACCCCAGCATTGGCTCCAGTCAAAATCTTACCTTTTCTTGTCTCCCAGTCTCTCCTTTGAACTGTCACTTTCTCCTTGCTCCTTTGCCTGTCTTCTTCAAGACACTACTGAGAGATCCCCAGCTGATAGGAGTCCACCTCTTAATGCAATTCTCCCAGGTGAAGCATTAACCCAATTGTCCCCAGCTATTAACCGCAATTCACCTAACAAAAGGGTTGTCAGCCAGGTGCCATAACAATGCACACCTCTCATAAATCTTTCCCGGGCTCCTGAGCAGATGCAGCAAACATGTCCTGGCTTTGAACTCTTTGAACTCTGATTGGACTTGAAGCAGCAGCAGCAGCAGATGAAATTAAAATGTGACTTTAGGTTAATAGCTCAGCCTCACCACAAGGCTCAGGGATCAGGGAGCCATAGACCTTGACCACATCCTCTTCCAAAGAGACATCATGATGTAGATTCCAGAAGAGCAGCTGTTAAGCTTGGTAACTCTGGAGCACGCCAGTTTGGGTGGGTTTTCTTGAATAGTTGGTAACTTTGGCAGCTATTTCAGGGTGAGTTCACACGTGCACATCAATTCACTGCAAAGTCAAGGGATGAATTCTCTGTTGAAGGGGTAATCACAGATGAAATGCCATTGATAGGACTTCCATATCACACACATCACCTCAACTCTAGTCCTTTTCAGTGGATTTACTGCACTCATTCAGCTTAGAGCGACTAGGGGAGGGGTTAACCCATATTGCACATATTGCATGTTTGAATGTGCTTTGAGTCCTGGGCCAATGACTTCTGCAATAACAATCTATTTTTTTACCTTTAATATCCATGACGGGAGTGATAGGATATGAAATGTCCACCTGACAAATTTCACAATTGGGGTTGCCATATGTCCTCTTTTTCCAGAACACATCCTCTTTTTCATGGGTAGAGTCATCATATCGATCCTTGGTTAAAAGTAGAAGTCAGCAAATGTGTCCTTTTTTTTTTGGTCTTCAAAATATGGGAACAATAACTCAAGCAACCTTTTTTTAAAAAAAATGCATCAAAGATACTAGTTACCCATTTGAAATGTTTTACAGTGTTTTTATATGTGCTGGAAGCTGCCCAGAGTAGCTGGAGAAACCCAGCCAAATGGGCAGGGTATTATTATTATTATTATTATTATTATTATTAATAATAATAAACGAATAATCATAAGAGGACATTTTTTGATACACTCGCAGTGCAATCTATGCATGGCGACCCATTGAGTTCATGGGACTTACTCCCAGGTAAGTGGGCACAGGACTGAAGCCCAAATGCTTTCTTCATTTCTAAAACCCTGCAAAGTGCTCTTGTTGTTGAATCTCTGCAGCTGACCCTGAAATTACCACCGTAAAGCAAGCACACAAAAACCTTCAAAA